AGCGCGGCAGTGTCTTTTCCGTTTCCGCCTTCTGGTCTTCCTCCAAGACCTCGTTTTTGTCCAGCACTTGCCGGATCAGGGGGGCCAGGGTTTCCATCAAATGATGGCGGAGATGGTTTTGACGATGAAGTTGAAGAATTAATTCGAGATCGCATGCCCCAAAACTTTACCAGTCACAGGGATCTAGTTGAGAGGGACATTGTGGATGATCGTTTGCTTCGGTATGCCACATTAGGTCCGGTTCCTTCCAGCGCTTCGGATTTCAGAGTTTGGAAAAGCCAGTTGTTGCTGATCATGGCAAAGTTGGATGTCAGTGATAGTGATTACTTAGCGCATTCCAAAACTTATGAAGTGAATTCCGATGAAGTGATCAAACATGATTCTGGTTGTGTTCCGCGTTTAGATCGTTGGTTGGCACCTGAAATTTCCAAAGGTTGTGAAATGTGCCTGACTTGCAGTTCAAGATCATGGGGTACATTGAAGGATGCACTCGAATTGGAAACCCTCCCAGCTCCCAGGGGCAGATACTTGTTGCACATTGTTTCCAGGCATTTTGACATTGATCGCACTCGTGGTTCGTTGCTTACTTCGCAATCGATCTTTCAAATAGGGCTTGATGGTTACAGTGCCAAGCATTTGCAAAAATTTTCAGGTCGTGTCCTTCGCACTTTGAAAAGTGTGCCCAGGAAGATTGGCCGTCTCAGCGCATGATGGGTGAGTGGTTGTTTCATCAGTTGAGGCAAGTTCGCAAGTTGGAAAGGACCATTGATGAAATCAAGAGAAGCGATGCTCAGTCGCCACTCCGTGACTTTGATCATCTTTGGAATAGGTTGCAGCAACACTTGCTTGAAGAAAGACAGGACATCAATGCGCAACCAATTGAAAAGTTGAAGTCCAGCTTGCCAAAGAAATTGCAGCCCGACAAACCCACCAGTGCGCCTGCTGCCATCGCTCCGTCGTATGAATCGAAGACGTCCCAAAAGGTAAAGCCAAGGGAAAGGGAAAAGCAATGACAGCAGAGCAAAAGGCCAAAATAGCGTGCATCTTCCATAGGATGCCTACCGGATGCGTCCATGGAGAGAAATGCCAGTATCTTCATGAGCCTGCTCCCTCACCTTCCTGAGGATCAGGGGGGTTCATCCATCCAATTGTCAGCAAATCCATGAAGTTTGTGCTGCGCCGAGCTTAGTTGGATAGGAGTGTTGTGGTTTGGCGATTCTCCTGGCTGCTTTTGGATTTCATCGAAGGCGTTCAGCTTCTGGTTTTTCAGTTTCTTGTTTCTTCCAATTGCCGGTTGATCCAATGAAGCTTGTGCTGTGCCGAGCCTAGTTGGATTGGAGTTTTGTGCTTTGCCGATCCTCTTTGCCGCTTTTGGATTTTTATTTGTCTCGTTTGTCATCGTCTCATCTCAACATTTCGTCAAGGCCGCGGTGGTTGCATGGTCTTTAGACTTTATCTGCTAAGCAACTTTCATCAAGTGCGTGTTTGTCGTTCTTCCGCTCTCTCGCTCGTCAGTGAATTGGGCGCCATGTCAATTTCAGCGTTAAGTCAACCCTAAGGATTTCGATCATGGAGGCAATTTATGAACTTCATTGTCTTCAAACTTGTTGACCCTGCTAAGCATTCAACGATTTAGGCTAAGCCTGTAAGGTTAAATCTGTCAATTTTGTCAGTTCAATGGGCTTGTGCTTTGCCATCCTCCATTGGACTTGAGTGCATGATGTGCTAAGATGTCATTCGCCGTTAGTTCTCAGGGGTCAGCCTTTTGCCATTTGTCACCACCCGGGTGTGGCAAGTTGCTGTAAGCACAGCATGGATGCTACTAAGTCTCATCTGTGAACTTTTCACCTATTGGATTTTGGTGAGTCATTTCTTGTGATATGTCATTGGACTCTCATTGTCTTATCTACGAGTCTTGTATTCGTGCCTAATGGAGGTTGGCTGCGACAGCGCCGCTCCTGCATCCGTGCATCGGCAATTATACTTGCACGGTTCGTCATTTGCCTGCATGGAATACGTCTGAGCCATGAGACGATCATCCAGCTTCATTCTTCCGTAAGCCTGATCAACTTCCGGTAGTTTGTGTTTGTAGTTTACAGTTGACCGTGTACAGTTCAGTATGAGGGGGGACTTGAAAGTTTACAGTTAAACATGCCCTGTACTTTCATATGTATAGACATCCTTCCTTCCAGGTCAACCGCCAAACACGTGACTTGTTTGGCTCAAGATGTTCAAAACAGGTCTGCTGTGCGCTTCTGTTGTGTTTGTCTGTGGTGTTCTCCTTGGGGGAATGATTCAAAATCAATTATGTCCAAACTTTTCAAGGGTTCTGTGTGGAGACGCGCCGTGGTAACAGACCACAACCGATTCTCCATGCACCACACATGCCCCTGTTTGTCCACGACATTTTACGTGCAGGAATGGCATGAGTTCTTGTCCAATGATGGCGTGCTGGGCATGCAAAGCCGGACAAAGCGGCTGACATGTTAGATTCGGATGTTTATCAAGCAAATGATGGAGAGGCACCAGCTCTGACGGATTCCTTACTGCAAAAGTTCGTTCAAGTACTCACCTGTACGGATCGGGCGCATGTCTCGGACAAAGATTACTTCCTTTTATTTGCCCCAGACGCGCTTGAGTATTTTTCGGTTCACTTCGACCAACGGGTGTTGCAGCAAAAATTGTCCCACCTCCAAAACCCGAAAAAGTTTAGCCACGCAGGAAAATTCAAATCGCTGCCATGGAGACTTGCCATCCTGCAGCACACTTGGAGACATGCCTGCTCCTACTTGGAGGACCCAGATGCTTTGTGGAGCCGCAGGTTGTCGCAGACCGGCGTTCAAGTTTTTAATTTTTGTTTGATTACTTATCCGTGCGCCCAATTTCTGTCCCCCGGCTCGGACTTCCCCCAGCTACTGATTCAAAACAACCTGCAACAACAGGCAGCGCACAAATTTCCTCGCTTGGTTGCCCGCGTGATTCAGCGCAATAAACCCTTGAGGTGCGTCCGGTCCGTGTTTGTTAGGTTGACCACAATAAACCTTAAATGTGTCTTACCTGTTTCTTTACTTGCTTGTGCGCAATAAACCCTAAAGGTGTCGTACCTGTTTGCTTACTTGTTTGAACACAGTAAACCCTAAAGGTGTCATCCCTGTTTGTTGAGTGGGTTGACCACATAAACACAAGCGCTTCATCCGTCTGTGCTAGGTTGAACGCAATAAACCCTAAAGGTGTCGTACCTGTTTCCTTGCGTTTGCTAAGTTGCTTCGACGCAATACACCCCAAAGGCGTCGTTCCTTTTCCCCAACAGCTTAAGCTAACGGGGTCTTCAGCCCAGAATAGTTCGGGTGTGCAGTGGTGCAGGCGCTGGGTCAGGTTCAACCGAAAGTTCCGGAGAAGGTCTGTGAAGCTTTGGCGCAGAGCCAGGTCAGGTTCCAGGAAGCTTTGGTGCAAAACCAAGTCAGGTTCAACAGGGTTCCGGAGAAGGTTCCCGGAGAAGGTCTGGGTGGCTTTGGTGCAGAGCCAGGTGAAGTTCGACAGGGTCCCGGAGAAGGTTCCGGAGCTTTGGTGCTGGGCGAAGTCAGGTTCAACGGGTTCTGGAGAGGGTTGCGGAGAAGGCCTGGTCAGGTTCAACAGGGTTCCGGAGAAGGTACCGGAGAAGGTTCTGGGAGGCTTTGGTGCAGAGCCAGGTCAGGTTCAACAAGGTTCCGGAGAAGGTTCCGGAGGAGGTCTGCGAGGCTTTGGTGCAGAGCCAGGTCAGGTTCAACAGGGTTCCGGAGAAGGTTCCGGAGAAGGTTCCGGAGGGAGGCTTTGGTGCAGAGCCAGGTCAAGTTCAACCGCGTTCCGGAGAAAGTTCCGGAGAAGGTTCCGGAGAAGGTCTGGGAGGCTTTGGTGCAAAGCCACGTCAGGTTCAACAGGGTTCCGAAGAAGGTTCCGGAGGTCATCCGAAGAAGGTTCCGGAGAAGGTTCCGGAGAAGGTTGCAGAGAAGGTTCCGGAGAAGTTGTTTTGTTTCTTTTGTTTTTATGCGTTTGCACACTGCATACATGTAAAGATAAAACGTTGCGGCTGTTGGGGATACCACCGGAGCTTATTTGTGTGCCGCCTTCTTGCCGGTGCCATGGATGTGTCAGTCTGTATTATCCTTGGATCTTTCCAAATATGCCATTGCAAAAGTTCGTTTTGACACAGACCCATGCTATCCGCACGTAAAAACAACAAACAACGCAATTCTGACAGGTCAAGGGGCCACCTCACCGGGAAGTGCCACTGAGCAAACCCAATTGATTAATGTCAACGGTGCATGGCTTGTCATTTTCATTACTTTCAACGCCATTTTCATTTGCAAATTGCAATGCTGGTTACACTAATATTTTCAGGGCCCTTTGGCAATTTGTTTCAAGTGCCGCCTGGAACGGCGTGACTCTCTGCTACTTTGAAGGGTACGTCTCATGTAGATTCGACATGCTGTGGGTTGCGTGCGCCTATGAAGGTTCACATAACTGTCGGTACTGATAGTGTTCCAGCTGGCGGTGGTTTCCCTGAATTCTGATTCTAGTTTCTTCTCATCCTTGCAACTGAAAACAAACAGTGGGACCAGGCAAGGCGATGCAAGGACCAGCAAAGATGAATTGTTTTTTTGGTTTCAACGAATGCCATTTATATACTTGATGTATCTTGATGTGTATTTCACACACCACTGCGTACTATTCACGGTTCACTTTGTGATTTTGGTTCCCGTTTGTACTTGGACTTGGCTGATGCATGTTGGATCCTCAGCTCATGTGGGAAGATGTGATGAATGACGTGCTAGCACGCAGATGGGTGACTTTGAGACATGAATGTGTGCAGCAAAATCATGACTTCGCAAACACTTTCCATGCTTGACAGGTATTCTATACATTTCTACACTAGGACAACCAATAGGAGACCATAAACTTCGAACACTTTCCACCCACTATTTGCACTTTGTGAGCAGTCTGACTCTTGAAAAGTCCAGTTGAACAACTCGCAGCCCGCAGCCATGGACAATCCCTTGCTAGCAGAGAAGAAACAAAGTACTTTGTCTCCGGGCCTTTTGGTTTCTTGGAATTTGCAATGTATGTATATACTGTGCTGGTTTTCACATTGTATCATCATACTGCAAAACATTTTTTTGAAGTGGCTTTAGTGTTCCTGTCGCTCATGAAATCAAACATGTGCACGTGAGGCCATGGTTGCTGGAGCTTTCTTTTTTTCGCTCATGGCACTGATCGTCAAACTTTTGAACAAATTTGGCACCTATGAACTTGTTTTCTGGCGCTCAGTCTTCATGTTTGCAGGCGCCCAGGTGGATACTGATGCTTTTTTGTTTCGTATTGTTATTTTGTGAAAACAATTCATGAATTTCAATTCGCAGAACCGGCAGTTTGTGGATCAAAAAAATCAACAAACGGGTTGCTTCTGAGATCTGACCATAGCTGGTCTCCTGTTCCATCGCAGGCACTATGTCGATTTTGGCCGCAAAGCGAATCAATCCACTGGGCCCTGCAGGGAGCCGTGTGTTGCTGTGGATCCGAGCTGCAGCAGGCTTTGGCTTCATGAGCACCTTGGCCGCCTTGGCCCTGTGCTGTCGTAGAACTTTCATACTTTCACCAATCGGACCAATCGTTCAAAACGAAGTTGAGCAATGCCGAAGTGAAATATCATGAGCTAAACTCACTTGACTCTCCCTCGGAAGTTTGCGGCCAGGTGGTTATTATTATGCAATCCAGCATTTGCCGTAGAATTCTCAGACTCAGAGTGATCAACTTCAAGTGCCAGTGGTGCAGTGTATCCAGCATACTTACCATGAGGAGTTGGGAAAATGTGGTTCCAACATGTTCCAACTTGAGGCTCAGCGATGCTGTGGTTATCACCTACACCAGTCCGGTGATCACTGCGATAGCAGCTGCGCTCCTCTTGGGAGAGGCCTGGGGCAAGTTGGATGCCCTCGGAAGTGTCCTTTGCATGTTGGGAGTGATGCTGATCAGTGCCCTGGCAGCACTGCCATATGCCATCTGCCCTGCTGCCCCGGTGGGTGCGGATGGACAGGGAAAACACGAATCTACGACTCTACGACATTCTACGACCTAGGTAAGCCGGGCTTTGTGATGAGTGCCTTCGGCTTTCCTGCAGAGCCCATTCCATTGAATGGCCTCATTGGGGCTGTGCTGGCTGCTGTAATGAGTTCTGCGGTCTATTTGCTGGTGCGTGTGTTGAAAGGCGCCCGGGGAGAGGTGGGGGCATGTCGCTTAGTTTTTCCCTCTGAGAGACATCAGGATGGCAATTCGAATTTCATGGCTGGGTTTCATGCCAGAGAGATCTTGAAACGTGCAGTGTCATCGTGCCCATGCGCATTTACAGCGGTTTTTGGCAAGGCTTATGATCAGTAGATCAATGTTGATGTGGGAGGAACCGGTCAACAAGTATTTGCTTGAACTGGTTACGGGCGGGGCCGCTGGAGGTGTGCATCCCATAGTTTTCGTGAACTATTTCGCAGCTGCTGGCATCATTCTTGGCCCCATCAGCAGCTATTTGGCAGGTGCCTCGTGCAAGCTCAACCCTCCATCTCTTTCCCCACTTTGTGAATGGTGGTACATGGTAGTTAAATCTTGGGGGAAGCCACCAAAATGAACGAACCCGATCCCACATCCTAAGGAATGATTCCCCAAACTTGTGGGCAACACGTTTTTTTCCCTCACCAAAAGTTCTCCGCTGCAGGTGAGACTTGGTCCTGGCACACCAAGAAGGATTGGCCACTCCTGGTCCTTTTGGCCGTGTTCTCTGTGGCTGGCCAAGCCCTCATGAATTTGGGCCTCACTTTAGAAACTGCCGCCAAGGCTACGGCCATGAACTACTCTCAGGTCGGGTGGATCATATCAATAGATGCCTTCTGCCAGTGGGATGAAGAACTTGTGAAGTGTTGAAGTGCATCCTCTTTGCAAGTTCTGTTCGGTCTTTCAAAGGACCTTCATCTCTTTATATATCCCCCGAGATTTCTCAGTAAACATCCGCCAACTGGCAACTGGCCATTTCTTCACGATAAAGCCATGATTGAAGCCATGATGAAAACCACATGAGCGCACCATTTAATCCCTGAGGTGGTCTTCGCCTTCATCTTTCAAACTTTGCTGTTGCATGAGCCCACTGATCCTTTAAGCGTCACCGGCTCCCTGATGATCGCCATGTGGGGCCTCATCGCTCTGGTGAAGGACAGCGGAAGCGAAAAGAGCGACCAGAAGAATGAGGCCACAGTGCCGCAGATGATGCTGAACCGACGCAATTCCTTTGAGTTGGAACACCGCGATTCGGAGTTCGATTGTCACTGAGTCAGCTGTTTTTGAGCTGGCTGATGTGCTGTGGTTTCAGCTTCCACGGCTGTTGGGCAATGGCCACGGCTGTAGGAGACATGACGAGAAATGTATAGTTTCTGCACCTAGGAGATCCGCAGAATCTGGAGGCGATGATGTTCCAAGCAATTGGATTGATGTCAGCCTTTGCAGGGAGGAAATGGGAGGAACATGTTCAACATGTTCTTTCTTTTGAAGCACGCATGAAATGCAGCGTCTCGTGTCCAGAAATAAACAGCAGCTTATTGTTGATTTTTAGGTTAGATTTCCTGCTGAAGGCCTGCATGGATCTAGCTTGAGGTTCACGTTCCAAATATAGTTTTGTCAAGGCTGGACTTTGTGAACGTGTCCGCCACAAGTTTCAAACTCTTGTTGAATGCGGCGACAACAAGATCTGCTTGACCACAGTGATGCCCAGTGACATCCAGTGGCATGGTGACGTCCAGAGCTTCCACGTAGCAGCGACGTAGCAGGTGGGCTCAATAGGTACCGGGGCTCCGGCCGCGGCCCACCATGTGGAGCTTCTCGCAGCTTCCCAGATCTGGGCTGCATGGCGCAGTGCAGCCTTCAACGGGGCTGTCAGGTGCGAAGGAAACCTGGAGGTGTGACACAGACGGATAGGCTTTTAGGTACGGTATACACATAATGTCACATATATAATTTGATATTATTTGTATACCTGATTAGTACATTATATATAGCATATATATATAAATAAAATACGAAACGCATGTTATATGATGCATTTGTATATCATGCACGTTAAGTTTTACATCATATGCATCTATACCTATTGTGTATACATTATACACAGAATACATATCTATAAGCCAATGCGTCTGCATTTGTGCCTAGGTTTTTCCACATTTCACATGCGCTGAAAATGACAGATGTTTGGATTCGATAGTTGTGGCAAGTCTCTGGGAATCTTCCCCATCGCAGGCCAGCCGAAGAAGGCATTTTCCATGCCATCACTGCTGACAACTGGCATTGCCAGTTTTGGCAAGAAACTGAGTAGGCAATTTCAGCAAAAAAATGACAATGCAGGGAGGTGCAAGATTCTATGTACTGTGTGACTGGTGCAAAGCCAAGGAGTCGGCATGTGCATCCATGATCTGTGGAGCAGACGACGGCACCGAAACAGCAACAGGCGAGGAAATGGGAATTGCCCAGTCATTAGAGAGGGCATGACATCAAATTGAATCTTAATATCACGTGTTCCTAGGGTTGCTGTGCCCAAAGCTTTGCTTAAAGATCACCAGGCCCTGCTCCTTGAACAAGCCAGCGAGATTGAAGATGCGGGCGCAGGAGGGTGAGTGCAGTTGCAAATGCTGCACAATCTTGGATTGTCCGCCCATCCACTTAAAGGGGGTCCGGAATGGTCCGGAAGATTCATCAACACTCGAGTAGCCTGTCGTAGACTCTTCAAATTCAGCTTTTACACATCCAGGGAACGTAGGGGACGATCCAGTTACATAATTTGTTGCACCCCTGGAGTTACATTTTTCAGGCAGACTCCTGTCAAATCTCTACAGGATGTGGTTGGCCGAGCTGGATTCCTGCGGGGTCTGCAGTGGCCGCTCGGGTTGCTGGGTCGACGAAAGCCCGGTGCTCAGACAGCTGCGCGCTGGGTGTGGATGCAAGAAATGGCTGGCTGTCGAGGTCTGGTGGCACAGCCACACTAGAGAAGGCTCTGGTGGGACTTACTTGGTGGCGGACTGCATCTGACTGCATTATTCAACTTGGTGGAATCTGGCAGACAGTTTCACTTGTTGTTCATTCACATCTATTTACTAGATCTGTATCCCTATCCACATACTTGGGAAGATGTTAGGATAAATTCTTAGCTCATTGACTTATTGGGAAAAACGGCTTGATCCACCAGCAGTGCAGTGTTTACTCTATGACTGTGGCAGGGCGAGACAGACAGCGAGGCTCCCCTGGAGGAGGAGTTGGCCCGACTCACCAATCCCAAGCAGAACGTGGCCATCATCGGAACCCGCGACTGCACCTACAATCACCAGCAGGTCGGCTGCTAAGCTGGCGAAACTCAAGTTGTGAATGGATGGGCTCTGATGATCTTGATGCATCTTGATGCATCTTGATGTTGCAAACTGCAGGAGATAGAGGCTCTCACTCAGGCAGGGCATCAGCAGTCGTCCAAGCAGCATTGCTGGGGGTTCATCGAGCCTGGATGCGGCGACAGGGCCACGTGGAGAGAGGGCATCGCATTTACACCTCGGGGTTGCAACCTTGGTGGGGCTGTCTCAAAAATGGGTCCAAGAAAGCTTTGCACACACCTACGTCCACATGTTCATCATTTGTTATCATTTTATCAGGAAATCAACAAGATCATGCTATAGTCTATAGTGATCTATGGTGTGGTATCATTCTTGATGGTGATATCAGTTGTATCACAGTCGCCAGTCACATATGCATAGCATCAGTCTCAGGTCCAGCGGCACCAACTCTGCTGTCATTCAGGCGGTCCTCAACCACAAAAGGCCGGCAGCGACCTGGGCTCTCTGGGCTCGGCCTGGGCTCGGCCTGGGCTCGGCCTGGGCTCGGCCTGGGCAGATTGGGCAGGCCAGAGCTACTGACAGTTGAACTTCCACAAAGCTTGGAGAAGCAAGATGAAGAGATTCAGGTGGGGTGCTTGGTGCTTACAGATGGTGCCAGTCTGTTGGCTTGGTGGTTTATGTGGTCTTGCTTCTTCACTTCCACCATGATGATCCCCATTGACTTTCTTTTTTTTCACGGGTTGTGCCGACCAACCAGGTCGAAGTTAAAAATCACAAAGACAATGCATTGCACAGACTGCCACTTCTAATTATCTCCGCTGATTTCAATATACAGTGATTCCGCCCCTCGAGAATCCTTGACGCATCGGGATGAAGGCTTTAAACGGATTACATCCATTGACGGGAAATCAAGGCCAACAATTTCGCGCCCCTAGATGCAAATTTAGGTTCTTTGCCTTTTGGTGCCTCGCTTGAAACATGCTTTGTGAATTTTGTGAGCTTGGGCCATGCATGCCCTGCAGGTCCTTCTCAAAAGATGCAGACAGGAAGGTGTTACCGTCTGTCCCCACAAGGAGAACGATCACCTGCAGCTAGCAGAAGCTGCAGCCAAGCCCTAGGCTCAGTTGCTCAGTTCACCTAAGTTTTCTTAGTAGGCTGCTCCGCAAGAGATTGGGTTGCTTCTATTGCTTCTATCTATATACCTTATTTTGCCCGGTGGAAGAAGGCAGGTGAGGAAAATCGAGAGCCGATCTTTCATGTCGGAAAATCAGATCACCTAGCTGTGATAATTATGTTGGGAGAAATCATGATGAATCATGATGCACCTGAGTCGTCCTCATCATCATCATCATCATCATCATCATCATCATCCTCATCCTCATCCTCATCATCATCCTCATCAATCACAACCATCACCATCATTACCATCATTACCACCATCATCATAATAATAATAATCATCACCATCACCATCACCATCACCATCACCATCATCATCATCATCATCATCATCATCACCATCACCATCACCATCACCATCACCATCACCATCCTCAGAGAGAGTCGTAGCGGCAGTGTTGCACGCGCTGGCCGCCCAAGCATGGCGCCTGCGGGCGCCAGGCTAGAAGGCTGCAGGATCAGCAGCATTATCCGCAGCACCAGCAAATCACCATCCTCATCATTTGCATCCTCCACTTTGCCTTCGTCTAGCTTCCATGCGACTGAGGTGCAACTCCTTGATTCTGGGAAAGGTGGACAGGTGCACATCAGTGTGGACCTGTGCTCCTCCAAAAAAACAATCTTAACTAGCTCGTCCAAGGGTCTAAGGACCTTCACAAATCAGCAGCACACGAGAACACACTTCCTTGGGATTTTCCCGAGTATGCGAGCATCTTGAGAAGCGATTTGACAATGCATGTGGCGAGAACTCTGGCCAGGCTGGTGGTTTTTGCTACAAATCGTTCAGACAAGTACTTGAGCTTGGTGAAAGAGGTGGGGATCCATTGCTGTCTCTGAAACAGGAGTATAAATTTTAGATGAGTATAACTGTATAACCTGCATCTTCATGCTATTTATCTGTAGGCCAAGCAAAACAATGTCATGGTGGCTGCGTTTAATGTGGACATTTGACTCCTCCGCTCCGACGTCGCTGCAGTCGCCTTCAGCTCAGATCACGGGTGAGGCAAGGCCTCAAGGCTGTCGTTGGGTTGTCACTGTGAGGCACACTATTCGCAGGATGTTGGCATCCAACGACTCTATTGTACAGCTCATGGCTCAGTTGCGATGTTGGGCCCCCTCTCTATCTACTGTATATATCTGCAAAAGCAGCATATCAGCATATCTTTTATTCTTATGGGATCCCCACATATAATCATATTAATATATATATATACATGTATGATATGTATGTACAAACAAAAAACCGGGTTGTGGGTCACTGTAGTATCTCCAATCATACCTATGGGTGTCGAGGTTCTGGGGATCTTCCTGTGATGCCACAGCCTGGATAAGCTGCGTTAGCCGTTGGCCGTTAGCGTATTTTCCTTTTTTCAACAATCCAATCGCTATTGGACTTCGTTGGTGGTTTGAGTGGTGTATTTCATTTTTTAATAAATCCTAACATTTTGTTTCGTGCGTTGTATGCAAAGGGGCCTGTCCAGGATACCCAAACCACCATCCCAATACCTGTGCAAATGGCGACTGGCAGCTTGAGCGAGGGTTCCCTAGCAAAAGCATTTGAAGTCACTATGACAATGACACTATAACTCTGGGAAAAATAGCAGGAATTGGGAGAACCGGCTTTGGGGACTTGAACCCAATGGTTTTTCCCTACCAAAGTTACCCAGCGCATGATAGATGTTGGCCTTAGGTCTGAACAACTATCAACACCGGTGGCTCTTTTGACACCCTTTCTGTTCAGCTTGTCATTTGCGGAAGATACTAGGTCTGGGATGATCCAGGCATAAGTCTCGGCGCAATCTTTGGCCTTGAATGTGCAGCCTGAGCATGCCACAACGGAAAAAGGACTAAGGGCATCGTGCAACAATTTTGCTTGGTGATATTAAGTCTTACAGATACCTGCATAATCAAAGGAAGTTTAGTGGGAGAAACTTCCGTGTTACGGACTTTTAGAATGTAAAGAAAGAGTTAGTCAAAGAAACAGTTAGTCAAAGAAAGAGTTAGTCAAAGAAAGAGTTAGTCAAAGAAAGAGTTAGTCAAAGAAACAGTTAGTCAAAGAAACAGTTAGTCAGGGAAAGAGTTAGTCAAAGAAAGAGTTAGTGAGGGAAAGAGTTAGTCAAAGAAAGAGTTAGTCAGGGAAAGAGTTAGTCAAAGAAAGAGTTAGCAAAGAAACAGTTAGTCAGGGAAAGAGTTAGTCAAAGAAAGAGTTAGTGAGGGAAAGAGTTAGGAAAGAGTTAGTCACAGAAAGAGTTAGTCAAAGAAAGAGTCACAGTCAGGGAAAGAGTTAGTCAAAGAAAGAGTTAGTGAGGGAAAGAGTTAGTCAAAGAAAGAGTTAGTCAAAGAGTTAGTCAAAGAAAGAGTTAGTCAGGGAAAGAGTTAGTCAAAGAAAGAGTTAGTGAGGGAAAGAGTTAGTCAAAGAAAGAGTTAGTGAGGGAAAGAGTTAGCAAAGAAAGAGTTAGCAAAGAAACAGTTAGTCAGGGAAAGAGTTAGTCAAAGAAAGAGTTAGTCAGGGAAAGAGTTAGTCAAAGAAAGAGTTAGTCAAAGAAAGAGTTAGTCAGGGAAAGAGTTAGTCAAAGAAAGAGTTAGTCAAAGAAAGAGTTAGTCAAAGAAAGAGTTAGTCAAAGAAAGAGTTAGTCAAAGAGTTAGTCAAAGAAAGAGTTAGTGAGGGAAAGAGTTAGTCAAAGAAAGAGTTAGTCAAAGAAAGAGTTAGTCAAAGAAAGAGTTAGTCAAAGAAAGAGTTAGTCAAAGAAAGAGTTAGTCAAAGAAACAGTTAGTCAAAGAAAGAGTTAGTCAAAGAAAGAGTTAGTCAAAGAAAGAGTCAAAGAAACAGTTAGTTCGTCGAAGGTTCGTCAGGGAAAGGGTTAGTTAAAGCAAGAGTTAGTTAGGGCATTGATTGTTCCCGCAATGCAAATGGGATTGCAAGTGGTGCTGCCGGATGAGTTGCTGATGGAGTTTTGAAGGAAGTCTCGCACGAAATGCGTTTTTGAGAGATAGCAGATGCACGAAACCCTATGTTTTTCCATACAAAGTCTGTCCCCGAACCTCGATGATCTACCTCTGCGGTGCGACGGGTGCGAGACGGTCTCGTGTGTGGTCGGATCATCCTCGGATCATCCTCGGATTGGTCTCGGATCATGGTCGGATCGGTCTCGGATCGGTTCCGCATTGTAAATGGGGTTTCAAGTGTTTTTCGTGCATGTGCGGTCGACAGAATTCCATTGTGATTTGCAACTGTAGGATCGTCCCCGCAATGTAAATGGGATTGCAAGTGGTGCTGGTGGAGGAGTTGCCGATGGAGTTTTGAAGGAAGTCTCGCACGAAATGCGTTTTTGAGAGATAGCAGATGCACGAAAGCCTATGTTTTTCCATACAAAGTGTGTCCCCGAACCTCGATGATCTACCTCTGCGGTGCGACGGGTGCGAGACGGTCTCGTGTGTGGTCGGATCATCCTCGGATCATCCTCGGATCATGGTCGGATCGGTCTCGGATCGGTTCCGCATTGTAAATGGGGTTTCAACTGTGTTTCGTCTATGTGCGGTCGACAGAATTCCATTGTGAATTGCAACTGTAGGATCGTTCCCGCAATGTAAATGGGATTGCAAGTGGCGCTGGTGGATGAGTTGCCAATGGAATTCCATTGTGATTTGCAACTGTAGTATCCTTCCCACAATGTAAATGGGATTGCAAGGTTGCTTCCTGCTTTGGCTGCATACGTAATACTATTGTCTTTTGCAGCTGGACTTCGTAAATCGTATTGGAGTGGCTGCATGAAGGCTGCGACAGTGATTTGTCAGCAGATTTTCTCCATTTTGGCGCTAGTGATTTTCCTTCTAAAAATCCTTTTAAAAAGTGCTTCAAAATCGTCTTTTTTTCGCTCTGGCGTCGAGATCCGGTTTTGGAGCTACAATTTCCGACGCCGTTGCGCGTAGTTCTATTGTGTTTTGCAACTCAGTCTCTGCAGATCGCATTGTAATGGCTGCGTCAAGGTTGCTTCGTGCTGTGGCTGCATTTGTCATACTATTGTCTTTTGCAGCTCGATCTCGTAAATCGTATTGGAGTGGCTGCATGAAGGCTGCGACAGTGATTTGTCAGCAGATTTTCTCCATTTTGGCGCTAGCGATTTCCCTTCTAAAAATCCTTTTAAAAAGTGCTTCAAAATCGTCTTTTTTTCGCTCTGGCGTCGAGATCGGTTTTGGAGCTACAATTTCCGACGCCGTTGCGCGTAGTTCTATTGTGTTTTGCAACTCAGTCTCTGCAGATCGCATTGTAATGGCTGCGTCAAGGTTGCTTCGTGCTGTGGCTGCATTCGTACTACTATTGTCTTTTGCAGCTGGACTTCGTAAATCGTATTGGAGTGGCTGCATGAAGGCTGCCACAGTGATTTGTCAGCAGATTTTCTCCATTTTGGCGCTAGTGATTTTCCTTCTAAAAATCCTTTTAAAAAAGTGCTTCAAAATCGTCTTTTTTTTCGCTCTGGCGTCGAGATCCGGTTTTGGAGCTACAATTTCTGACGCCGTTGCGCGTAGTTCTATTGTGTTTTGCAACTCAGTCTCTGCAGATCGCATTGTAATGGCTGCGTCAAGGTTGCTTCGTGCTGTGGCTGCATTTGTAATACTATTGTCTTTTGCAGCTGGATCTCGTAAATCGTATTGGAGTGGCTGCATGAAGGCTCCGACAGTGATTTGTCAGCAGATTTTCTCCATTTTGGCGCTAGTGATTTTCCTTCTAAAAATCCGTTTAAAAAGTGCTTCAAAATCGTCTTTTTTTCGCTCTGGCGTCGAGATCCGGTTTTGGAGCTACAATTTCCGACGCCGTTGCGCGTAGTTCTATTGTGTTTTGCAACTCAGTCTCTGCAAATCGCATTGTAATGGCTGCGTCAAGGTTGCGTCGTACTGTGGCTGCATTTGTCATACTATTGTCTTTTGCAGCTGGATCTCGGAAATCGTCTTGGAGTGGCTGCATGAAGGCTGCGAAATGGATTTGTTAGCAGATTTTCTCGATTTTGGCACTAGTGTTTTTTTGTTGCACGTAGGTTTAGAGCAGTGTGAAGTGTGGGGCGTGAAGAGTGCAGTGTGAAGTGTGAAGTGTGAAGGAAGCAGTGGGAAGTGAGAGTGTGAAGTGTGGAGTGTGAAGTTTCAGTTTGGAGTGCGAAGAGCGCAGTGTGAAGTGTGAAGTGTGAGGTTTGGAGTGTGAAGGAAGCAGTGAGAAGTGAGAAGTGTGAAGTGTGGACTGTGAAGTGTGAAGTGTGAGTGAAGTGTGGAGTGTGAAGTGCGAAGTGAGAAGTGTGAAGTGTGAAGTTTGGAGTGTGAAGTTTGGAGTCGGAAGGAAGCAGTGAGAAGTGAGAAGTGTGAAGTGTGGACTGTGAAGTGTGGAGTGTGAAGTGCGAAGTGAGAAGTGTGAAGTTTGGAGTGTGAAGGAAGCAGTGAGAAGTGAGAAGTGTGAAGTGAGAAGTGTGAAGTGAGAAGTGTGAAGTGTGGACTGTGAAGTGTGGAGTGTGAAGTGCGAAGTGAGAAGTGTGAAGTTTGGAGTGTGAAGGAAGCAGTGAGAAGTGAGAAGTGTGAAGTGAGAAGTGTGAAGTGTGGACTGTGAAGTGTGGAGTGCGAAGAGCGCAGCGTGAAGTGTGAAGTGCGAAGTGTGAGGTTTGGAGTGTGAAGGAAGCAGTGAGAAGTGTGAAGTGTGGACTGTGAAGTGTGAAGTGTGAGTGAAGTGTGGAGTGTGAAGTGCGAAGTGAGAAGTGTGAAGTTTGGAGTGTGAAGTTTGGAGTGGGAAGGAAGCAGTGAGAAGTGAGAAGTGTGAAGTGAGAAGTGTGAAGTGTGGACTGTGAAGTGTGGAGTGCGAAGAGCGCAGCGTGAAGTGTGAAGTGTGAAGTGTGAGGTTTGGAGTGTGAAGGAAGCAGTGAGAAGTGTGAAGTGTGGACTGTGCAGTGTGAAGTGTGAGTGAAGTGTGGAGTGCGAAGTGCGAAGTGAGAAGTGTGAAGCGTGAGTTTTGGAGTGTGAAGTTTGGAGTGGGAAGGAAGCAGTGAGAAGTGAGAAGTGTGAAGTGTGGAGTGTGAAGTGTGGAGTGTGAAGTGCGAAGTGAGAAGTGTGAAGTTAGGAGTGTGAAGGAAGCAGTGAGAAGTGAGAAGTGTGGAGTGTGGAGTGCGAAGTGAGAAGTGTGAAGTGTGAAGTGTGAAGTTTGGAGTGTGAAGGAAGCAGTGAGAAGTGAGAAGTGTGAAATGTGGAGTGTGAAGTGTGAAATGCGAAGTGAGAAGTGTGGACTGTGAAGTGTGAAGCGTGAAGTATGGACTGTGAAGTACGAAGTGTGAAGTGTGGACTGTGAAGTGTGAAGTGTGAAGTGTGGACTGTGAAGTGTGAAGTGTGAAGTGTGGACTGTGAAGTGTGAAGTGTGCAGTGTGAAGTGTGAAGTGTGAAGTGTGAGGTTTGGAGTGTGAAGGAAGCAGTGAGAAGTGAGAAGTGTGAAATGTGAAGTGTGAAGTGTGGAGTGTGAAGTTTGGAGTGCAAAGAGTGCAGTGTGAAGTTTGGAGTGTGAAGAAAGCAGTGAGAAGTGAGAAGTGTGGAGTGTGAAGTGCAAAGTGAGAAGTGTGAAGTGTGAAGTTTGGAGTGTGAAGGAAGCAGTGAGAAGTGAGAAGTGTGAAATGTGGAGTGTGAAGTGTGAAGTTTGGAGTGTGAAGGAAGCAGTGAGAAGTGAGAAGTGTGAAATGTGGAGTGTGAAGTGTGAAGTGTGAAGTGCGAAGTGAGAAGTGTGCACTGTGAAGTGTGAAGTGTGAAGTGTGAAGTGTGGACTGTGAAGTGTGAAGTGTGCAGTGTGAAGTGTGAAGTGTGAAGTGTGAGGTTTGGAGTGTGAAGGAAGCAGTGAGAAGTGAGAAGTGTGAAGTGTGAAGTGTTAAGTGTGGAGTGTGAGGTGTGGAGTGAAGAGTTTGGAGTGCGAAGAGCGCAGTGTGAAGTGTGAGTGTGAAGTGTGGAGTGTGAAGTTTGAAGTTTGGAGTGCGAAGAGTGCAGTGTGCAGTGTGAGGTGTGGAGTGTCGAGGGAAGGACACGGTCGGGACAGGGTGTCTTTGAACTATAGGTCATTTATGTTTGGGAAACTTCCGCCGCCGGCTTGCCCGGGTCTATGTTAGATATGAATTGATATGTGCCCTCTGTACTTAATTAAGCTAAAGAAACATATGTATGTACATCATTAACTATTAGCTATTTAGCTATCTAGCTATCTATGTATATATGTATCCCTGCAGATATCTGTCTGGGCGTCTGTGTATCTGTGTGTTGTGTACCTACATATCTAGATCGCTATCCAATCTTTCTACTGTTCTCTGCATCATTCTGACTGTCTATCTAAGATATCTATCTATCTATCTATCTATTTATCTATCTGTCTTATCTAATCTAATCTAATCTTTATCTTTATCTTATCTTATCTTAATCTAATATTTTTTAAATCTAATCTAATCTAAATCTAAATCTAATCTAAACTAATCTAATCTAATCTGATCTAATCTAATCTAATCTTATCTCTCTATCTCTCTATCTCTCTATCTCTCTCTCTATCTCTCTCTGTCTCTCTCTGTCTCTCGGTCCCTCTGTCTCTGTGTCTCTCTGTTCCTGCTGCAGGCCCATGGCCTTCTCTCTCCATCCTGGCGTTCGTCAGCCATGACCTCAAAATGTAACCATCTTATGCGCGAAAAATTGTGCACTTAGAGGCAGGCGTATGCACGTGTGCATATGTAGTGTTCACATATGTATGTATGTAATGTAATGTAATGTAATGCAATGCAATGTAATGCAATGTAATGTATGTCTGCCTGTCTGCCTGTCTGTGCCTGCCTGTGCCTGCCTGTGCCTGCCTGTGCCTGCCTGTGCCTGCCTGTGCCTGCCTGTGCCTGCCTGTGCCTGCCTGTGCCTGCCTGTGCCTGCCTGCCTCTGCCTGCCTGTGCCTGCCAGCCTGTGCCTGCCAGCCTGTGCCTGCCAGCCTGTGCCTGTCTGTGTCTGTCTGTGTCTGTCTGTGTCTGTCTGTGTCTGTCTGTGTCTGTCTGTGTCTGTCTGTGTCTGTCTGTGTCTGTCCGTGTCTGTCCGTGTCTGTCGGTGTCTGTCGGTGTCTGTCGGTGTCTGTCGGTGTCTGTCGGTGTCTGTCTGTGTCTGTCTGTGTCTGTCTGTGTCTGTCCGTGTCTGTCCGTGTCTGTCCGTGTCTGTCCGTGTCTGTCCGTGTCTGTCCGTGTCTGTCCGTGTCTGTCCGTGTCTGTCTGTGTCTGTCCGTGTCTGTCTCTGTCTCTGTCTCTGTCTCTGTCTGTCTCTGTCTGTCTCTGTCTGTCTGTCTCTGTCTCTGTCTCTGTCTCTGTCTCTGTCTGTCTGTCTCTGTCTCTGTCTCTGTCTCTCTCTCTCTCTCTCGTCCGTCCGTCCGTCCGTTTGTCTGTCTTTCTATCCGTCCGTCCGTCCGTCTGTTTGTCTGTCTGTCCATCCATTGATCTAGTCTGATCTAATCTCATCTCATCTATATAGCTATAAGATGATTGGTATATATAAATGTTCTGATGCACATGCAGTGAAATCTGGTGCGGCTGCAACAAGCTGCTGTCAAGTCCTCTCCATTCTTGCGCGCTGACTCACCTTCTGTCTCAAGGGAGGCACTGGATGCATTTTAAACACGACATGTCACAAGTCACATGGCTTGTACCGGTGCCACCAGGACTGGCTAACTACTGCTTTAGCCAAGGATTGAACCATGACCCGACTGACTTGACATAACAATGAAAGCCCCAAAATACCTAGATCTCCAAAACAAGTTGAAGCTGCTTGCCACCCGCCGACTGTCGCAAACATGGGCCCGCGCAAAGGCACCTTGACTCTTTGACACTATTGACTCAAGACTTGGAAGTGAAGACAAACAATTTGAATTCGCAGAATCATGGATGCAATTGCAATGTGTGCCAACAAAGGCCTTGCAAGAGGGTGAAGTCAGCCATGAAAGAATATGTTCCTCTTCTTGTCAACCAGCCCGCCCCAAGTTTTTGGGGAACATTTGCCACGGAGAAAGAAACTTGCCAACTCAAGGCCGCGGCCGGGACAATCGGCAGCAGACTTTAAGCTTATGGATGCGACGAGGCGTGATTTCAGGGATGATTGAGGGTCATTCCCCCTTTAGTCAACCTGCGCAGGTCAATGATTGTTTTCTGCACAGGGATGCAGTTTCTTGATGTTTCTTGGCTGCGGCACATGCCTCACTGTCCAAGTTGCATGCTGCCCTCCAAGTCCTGCGCAGGCGGCGACAAGCCCAGCGAAGTCCGTGAGCAGGTTGCCGACCCTGACTCTGATGAGAATTCGCTGGAACCGCCAGCCAAGCAGCGGAAGGCAGGAGGGGACCAGATAAAAAAACAAGGGAGTTGACGATAAACAACAGGTAACATCTAAATATGCACATGATCATGGGCACTGAAACTGCCAAGCTGCCCGCCACACAATGGCCGGCACAGTTTGCGCAGATACCGAGGTTTATCGTTGATATGCACACACACACATATATATATATAATATACGCATACACATGTACTCCATATTTATACATCACTATTGGCGGACTATATGAGATGATATAAATAAACCAACACTGTAACTTGATGCCCTTTTGTCAGCGAACCTTGGAGGTGACTTCCCCTGGTGGTGCGGCACCCTCCCTCCGTGAGCGCTTGGCTGCGCGAGGGGCCGAGCCACCACCGGACACTGCGCGGGGGTCGCCTGAGGCCCTGGCGGATGACAGGGTGCGCGCTTGGTGAATGGTAGGACCTGGTAGGAATGGTAGGTTTGTTGATCCATTTTGTTGGGGTAGTTGGAGGAATTGATGTTATGATGTCCCATTGGACATTTTTTTAAAGATCAGCCATGCCTTCGGAATCACAGATTAACTGTTATTTTTGTTCTGTTGCACTCAATATCGCCTCTTGCCGCGGTGATGGTATGGCTCGGTCCTTTTTCTGCAAATCCATTGCCCGAGCTTTGGCTTTATTTTTAGTCTGTGGCGTGTGGAACAAGACATCCCGCTCCATCCGGCTGAAAGGATTCTTCCACAGCAGGGGATGGGGTGAATCGAACCCTGAGATGACACCCCTAATAAGGAATCAGCTGTTGCATTGCAGCCAGGTTGAACATCCTTATGGCTTGTGTTACCTTCCATTCTATTCCAATCATGGGTCACCATGGGTCAGAAGTCAGTGACCAGGCGCTGCGGGGCAAGGCCCCGGCCACGAAGACTTCGGGGCAGCAGAAGCTCCTCTTCCGTGCGCCCGCGCCCGCGGACCCGGAGTCGGCCGACCCGGAGTCGGTGGAACCGAAGTCGAGGAAGTCGACGAAGTCGGTGGCCACGCCATGTCGAAGAAATGATGTTTCCACACCGAAAAGTGCCAGCCTCAGAAGATAATGGAAGATGATGGATGTTTGAACCTGAACCTTCTAGCTTCAGTTTGGATCCAAGAACCTGTTTCGGTTGAAGAGAGCACTTCTGTAGGTTTTGCTCATGCAGCATGGATCTTGTCTCACTTGTGCAAGGGTTTTTGCAGCTGAAGCCACCTATTTGGGGCGGGTGGATTCAGATTTTTATTGCAGTTCCATAGTTCCATCTCAACCCCCCTTAGCATTCGCGAAGTCCAAGTATTTTCGTTGGTTTGCTCAACCAGCCTGCAGGTGACTGCAAGAGCGACCTGTCAGCGAGCGCAGATTCCACGCCAAAGGCGGCTGCTTCCCTGGCCGAGGTGGCAAATGACAGCCCTGCCTTGAGAAGGCGCCAACTGAGTTGTGAAGCTGGAGATTATGCCACAAACACACACACGCACGACAGATAGATAGATGGATAGGATAGGATAGGATAGGATAGGATAGGATAGATTGGTTAGATAGATAGATAGATAGGTAGATAGGTAGATAGGTAGATAGATAGATAGCTATTAATGAACATAATGATAATAATGATAATGATAACGATAATAACAATAATATGAATATATATGTTTAATTATATATTTCATATAATCATATATGTATACACCACTTTGTGCGAAAACTATGCCAAGACGATGACTGCAGGTCTGGTGAATTCTGAGTGAACAGTGTGAGCCTCCAAACGAAAGCATGCTGCCTGTAGAGATCCTATCATCAAGCGCGTTATAACTCCATTGCAAACAATGGGCACCAAAGCAAAACCCATTGCCAGCCAACAACCAAAAACCACAAATCCTCCAAAATGTTCAAGCAAAAACCGGAGACTTAGAATATTTTGAAGTGGTAAAGGCCGTCAAGAAATTAAAAACCAACAAAGCACCTGGCCCTGATGGAACCGCAAGTGAACTTTTCAAGTTTCTTGACCAAGATAACGTGATTTCTTGGACAGAATGTTTGAACCGTTTATGGCGAATTAAAAAGGTTCCAGATGAACTTGTACAGGCACACATTGCAAGCCTTTACAAGAAAGGAGACCACGAAAACCCTGAAAATTAGCGCCCAATTTCATTACTGAATATTTCATACAAGATTTTTGCATCCGTCCTCAAGTTACGTTTGGCGGACGGACTCGAACAACACATTAGGCCAACTCAGTTCGGTTTTTGGGAGGGTAGATCAGCAGTGGACCCATTATTCTGCATAAGGAGACTTACAGATGTTTGCGAACAAGGTAACGAAAAACTCATTTTATTTTTCTTAGATTGGGAAAAAGCCTTTGACAAAATTCCACAACAAGATGTTCCTCTCCCTTGAAAGATTGAATATTCCCAGCGATCTACTTGACGCCATCAAAGCTATCTACAACAATCCGACATTTCAGGTAACCCACAAAGATAAATCCAGTACGTGGCTGCCTCAGAGAACTGGCATACGACAAGGTTGCCCTTTAAGCCCATACCTTTTCATCTCGACTATGCACGCTAATTATTTGGAACTAAACCTGAACAGATCAAAATGCTGCTACATCGCGTGCAACTGTCAAGGACAAATTCGTTTCCAGAATGGAGAGCCCATGAAATCTTCAGAGGAAACCACATATTTGGGAGCGTCCGTCAGGCAGCACATAGACCCTGAACATGAAATCAGAAAGAGAATCTCTGCTACAATGGCCATACTCAAAAAATTGGACATCTTTTGGATAAAAACACATTGCAGCAAGAAATGGAAACTACTCGTTTTCAACGGAAACTTTGGAGCCCACGGAAGCAGCTGGAAGGCTATTAAACACGTTCCAACTAAATAAAGGATTTGCGAAAAATTCTGAAACTACACACCACGTTCGTGCAGCGCAACAATTCCAATGAATATGCGTATAGAAGAGCAATTGAAACTCTCAACGCGCCATCAGAGGGACCTGGGAGACAAATCAAACCACTAACCGAAATTCTGGAAGACAGAAAACTGAAACTTCTTGGGCATGTCTTGAAGAAGGGATAGGCAACATCCACTACACCAAGCTGCGTTCTCCACAAGATCCGCGCTCCCACGGGCAACCGAACACAGAAGACGAGGCCGCCCACGACAATTCTGGACAACTAACAACATGAGTAAAAAGCATGGGAAGTGATTAAAACGCATGATGCTACACAACCGCAAATACCATTCGACAAGAACAACCGATCGATACGTGAGAGGATAATTGAACAAGCGCAGCGATACCAACCCCCATTCAACAAAGGAAACCCAATATGAGCATTCAATGTGAAAGTTGTGCTCAGTGTGACACCTTTACTCAGTGTGAAACTTTTGCTCAGTGTGACACCTTCACTCAGTGTGAAACTTTTGCTCAGTGTGACACCTTCACTCAGTGTGAAACTTTTGCTCAGTGTGAAGTTTTTGCTACATGGGAAGATTTCGTTTCAATAATACACCACCAAGCAGTGAGCGAGGCCCTAGGTTCTTGATAGTAGGTAGGAAGCGGGTTAGTGCCTACGACCTGTGGCAATGTCCATATAGTATGGGAAAAAAAAACGATATAAACCGCCCAGCTATCAGCTTCGAGATGCCAGGCCGGATAGCGATTTGAGCGTCGCGTCGGAGCCGCAGGCCGGGCTTGTCGGTCGCAACACTTGCGATCTCAGAGATTTGTAGAGATCTCATTTCATTGTATACAGGAGTGATGTCGATAGCAGCCAATGATGGGTATAGCTACATTTAACTCCCGTAGTTTGAGATGGAAGCTATTTTGAGCCCAGGCATGCTCAAGATCACTTTTGGAGTAGACAGAAAACTTCTGGAACACTAACACCAATATTTTTGGCCCCCTGGATTTTGGAATTTGGACCCATGCCAAAGGCTGAGCAACAGTGGCCAACTCCTCATTATCATTTATTCTCGTTACAACACGTCACTAACGCAAACCCATTTTATTTCCGCGGATTTGATGTGTTTAGAATCATGCCGGAGAGTTAAAATCTATTCGAATGAACTGTTTTGCTGGATGCTCATGGATTTTCATTACTATTTCAGTGGATTTCCTGCTGAGGATGCAGCCCTGCAGCGGCGCCGGGAAGAAGCATCCCAGGAGATCGCGCGGATCTTGCCGCTGAAGCACAAGAGGTTCTGCTCAGAGGCATGGCTGGAGATATCCAACAGGATGGAACCCCATGGTGATTTTGGGCACCCGATTTTGAGAAACTCCACCTGGAAAGCGTGGATGCAAAGGTCATCAAAGGTCAAATCTTGACAACTGAACAGGCTGAAAACAATTTCTGAGACGTTTTCTTGAATCAGTTCTACATTTTTTTGCTGGAACAGTTGACACCTTTGGAAAACCTTCCGCATCCACCAGATTTGTCGATTTGTGATGCAGGTCTTGAGGGCCAAAGGCATTTTGGGGCTGACGGTGGAGGCCCATGAGATCTCCTTGGTGCAGCAGGCCTTCCGCTCGTTGATGCGGAAACTGCACCCCGATCGCATCGGGCAGTGCCCAAGGGCCGCAGAGGCCATGGAGATGCTACAGGAGGCGAAACAGCAGTGTGAGACGCTGGGGCTTTGGGATGATGGGGATATTCATCATTTTTCATAATGATCCAACCAACAATGGGCTCTACCATTGGGTTTGCTATGTGAGATTGCTGAAGTGCTGACTGGATAAATGATAGATGTAGACCAGACGAAAACAAGGCGAATCATTGAAAAGAGGCGGAAAAGCGATGGATACTGCAAGTAAAGGACACACACCAACATGACAAATGGACAATTAAACGAACATAGTTCAAATGAACAACAAGAGAAATCTGCAAACACATGCGCATACACCTATAGAGGAATGCTTGGTTGATTTTTGAGGACACGAATGTCAGAGCGCGAGAGAGAGAGAGAGAGAGACACAGCATCTGAACTTATCTAAACCTTGGTTGAAACCACTTGACCCGCTGACGCTGAACTCAGGAGAGCATTTTCACAACTCCGACCGCCGGCGCAGCCGAAGCACCTGAGCTTCAAGGTATTGTGTGCCACACCTGGCCGGCGAAGAATCAGATTAGACTCTTGGAATCTCTGGGATTTGGGGTGATTCTTATGTGTTTTGATATCCACCATAGAGGGGAGCTATGGGGGATAGGTGCAAATATGAAAATATATAAATGTATCGATAGAGACGTGAATAGATATTGGTATTACAGTATATCTATTTATCCATATTTATCCATTTGTCTATCTATCTCTTTATTTGTGTATCTCTTTATTGGTGTATCTCTTTATTGGTGTATCTCTTTGTTGGTGTATCTCTTTGTTTGTGTATCTCTTGATTTGTGTATCTCTTGATTTGTGTATCTCTTTATTTGTGTATCTCTTTATTTGTGTATATCTTTATTTGTGTATCTCTTTATTTGTGTATCTCTTTGTTTGTGTAGCTCTTTATTTGTGTATCTCTTTATTTGTGTATATCTTTTTCTATCTGTCTGTCTGTCTGTCTATCTATCTGTCTATCTATCTATCTATCTCTCTCTCTATCTCTCTCTTTCTCTCTTTCTCTCTTTCTCTCTTTCTCTCTTTATCTCTTTATCTCTTTATCTCTTTATCTCTTTATCTCTTTATCTCTTTATCTCTTTGTCAATATGTTAACTATGTTTTACTTTGAGGGGCCCCTGGAGCATATCGAGCATATCCAAGGACTGGAAGGCCCCGGAAGTCACTCAGACCTGCCCAGTGCGGCGATATCTGGTGGCAGCCTTGGACCCAGCATATGGACAAGCCCTCACCATCACGGTCCTGGAACCTGAATATAACGAAAAACTAAAGAGGTTCACCACCATAGAGGACTGGACTGGCTGCTTGTTTCTAATGATTTTACATGATTGTTGTGGGATGATGGTCCCAGATTAACTTTGATATTTTGCACCGGCGATACTGTATCTCCACCAGAGGAGCTCGCAACGTACGACTTGGCAGAAGAGGAGCTGACCAAGATGCCCCGCTTTTTTCAGCAAGCCAACGCGGTGGTGCGCGTCGCTGCAGAGAACGAGCTGGGGCAGTCCAACTGGTGCTCCCTTCAACTTCCATTAATCGGACTGACTGCCCTGGCACCGGCTGTTCCCAGCATCCCCACCGCCCCAGCGCCCCAAGCTGCGGCCTCCAAGCCATCGAAGAAGGCTGCGGCAGCAGGGCCCAGCATTTCATCGAAGGAGTGTCGAGACTTTGAAACCATGACACATTCTTTGCGCGAGAGCGGGAATGAGTTGTGCAGTCACTGGATTATGGGTTTATTACGTTTTATTCAGTTTTTGTAGTCATCACATCACTTTAGACAATGAACCGGCCAAGATAAACCTGCCCGAAACAGTTCCTTTTCCAGGGTTCGATGCCACCAAGCAGGTTGGCTTCGCAAACAGAGCAAGGCTTTACTATCTGGTTGGTTGAGATCGCAGGGCTGGCCAACGACAGGTCCGGAGTGGGGAAGGGGAAGTGTTAAAAAACCAAAGGGATGGCAAGAGATGGTAATCTTCCAGCAACACTGGTGATGCATTTTACTTACAGTAGTGACTCAGTAGTGCTGTTGTTCCTGCGGTTGTTATGGGAATCATTTTAGTCCACTTACCTGTTCCTTTTGCATCTTTTTGCCATGTTCAAGCTCTCTTTGTCTCCATGATTTGCTCATTGGTGAGCCTGGTAGGTTCAAAAGACGAGCTTGTAGATCGAGTTGCCTTCGCGGTTGGTGCTGTCAGCAAGGTGCGATGAAATTTCTTCCCTAGACTGGTGCCTCACAGGGCCACCAAAAAGGGTTCCGCCTCTGGCGCAACCAAGTGTTTTGACAAATGGGGCATCATTTCAAAATTGGGGACCTTCCTATTTTTCATCAAGGAAGGCCATTTGATCTCAGGGTCCCCAATTTTTGGACGTACCCAACTGTACAGCGGATCCCATTCTTCTGGGGCTGGAGATGGAGGAGAACACCCCACCAGCTCTGCTGGCCGAGGGTGCCGGGGATTTAGCTCAACATGAGCTGAGGCGGCGTGCGCGGCATGTTGGCTTCATGCCATGGGTAGCACAAAAGCGCCTAGCCCGTTGATGAGATGGAGAGGACGTAGAGAGGAAGTAGATGGAAGTAGATCAAGGCAAATAGCATGCAATAACTGATTCGAAGGATTGGTATCTGCAGAATGCAGGAGGGCCAATACGTGCAGGATGATTTCCATACCAAACAGAATGTAGCCCAAGGGTTTGCGATTTTGATCGCTTTGGAAGGTCCACAGTCTATGTAAGAATCCCCGATATGTGGCCTGAAAAACCACACTGTCCAGTTTGGGTACTCGTTTGGTCCCTTGATGAAAGCTCGTCCTCGCTGCACTTCTGCTCCAGCCAAAGTGCGGCGAATCTGCAGATGAATCTGAGAGGCTGTACATCACTTGCACCAACCCTCTCAGACAAGCAAACTTTCAACAAATATGCCCCTAAACTTTCTAAACTTCTTACTTTGAGACATTTCCTGACCTGCACTTTCACCCCACCTTGTCACTTTCTTTTGCAGTCTTGCCTTGCAGCGACCCCAAACAAGAACTAGATGTCAACCTCTTTTGAGCAGATTTCCAGCAGCCACAGCCACTCCATTCTGACCATTGCCATTGGACCATCACTTGAAGTTTGGTTCGACCCATGGCAGAGGATTCGCCGGAAGAGAAGCCATCCTTAGAGTTGGATAGGGAAGACATCCACAGACTGAAGGAGATCATGCGCCCCCTGGCATGAGAGGTTCCAAAGACACAATCGATATGTCCGGCATGTAATGTATACTAGTATGTCACATATATCACTGAATTGAATTAAGGGTCAAACGGTTTCTCCTAGAAATGCTTTTCTTGACCATGTGGTGGCGATGACGATAAGGAGGAGGAGAAGAGGGGACGATGACAATTATGAGAATGGTGACGACGTTTTTTTGTTGTTGTCACATTTACTTTCGCTTTTCACCTGTTCGTTGTTCAGGCCCCGATCCCGACTGGATAGCTTTTTCTTCGACTGAAGCACGCTGGATCAACTTCAATACGCAGATGAGAGTGACCCGCTTGCAATGCGTGTCTTTGAGCCACCACTGCCAAAAACTTGGCTTGACTGGATACCGTTTCAATTTTAATCTAGCCGTGACAACAGAACGCAAAGTTGAGAGTACAATGTACAAAACACAAACCAGAGAAAACTTACCATGAGGAGCGTTGGATCGACATCAGTTGAAAAGATGGCCGCTGCACATTTCCCGAGGCTGTGTTTGGACGAAGCAGAAGTTGCCGCTGCGATGAAGACATGGTGAACGCTTGGATCGATGATGCCATGAGCGTACTGTTTCACTGGATCTCAAAACAGCCACTCGAGCCACAAATCAGGTTGCAGGTCTGGGTATGGCATGGTATGGCCATTATATTCGAAATCGGGTGCTTGATTTTTGAGCCACAAATCAGGTCCTGCGTTCTCGGGCTTCCTGCGTTTTGTGCAACTTTCGTTTGAGCGGGCTCAGTGGTTTGCGTTTGGGCTCTTTCTTTTGCTGTCACAGTCCAGCCACCATCAAGCTTGATCTCGCCCAAGTTTCCCCTTCAGCCCAGCATCCCTTTGGCAAGGATCATCATGACTGAGTCGCGCTCTGCACTCTTTCGCTCCCTTGGGAGAGGTTGGATTTGGATCCAGCTCTCATCCTCTGGGGTTGGCAGGCGGGGCAGGATGGGAATGTGGCCATGGGCTATCGGTAAACTAAGGGTTGGATAAATCCATCCGCTTTTCTTTTTCCTTTGGAGGACAAGCTGTGCCAATTTTTTTCGTGGGTCAGGAGTCGGATGGGGTTTGACACATCTGCTCTTTGAGACTGGGCGGTTGAGTAAGCTGCTGGTACTGCGGTCAGTCCAACTCGCGCAGGGAAGACAAGAGCAAACTGCCTGAAGAGCAACGAACTCGATTTAAATGGTGGTTTGAAAACCTGAGCAGCACCTTGGTGTTCAGAGCAGGAAAGTATGCGCTTCTCTCATGACATGAGGACCCCAAGAACGGGACTTCAAAAAAGCAACACTTTCCTTTTTGACGATCCGATCATCTGAGGAGTTCTTCGGAACCGACAGCATGACATCCAGAAATTGAAGTTGAAAGGTGACATGCTCAAAAAGTACACCACTGGCTACATGCCAATGTCGGAGTTGGTATTTCTGATCTATGGCATTGCACCTGCGATGCCCATCATCGGCATACAAAAGTGGTCTCCTCACTACAAGGCGTGGGTTGGGGGTGTCTAGGAGCTTTGACCTGAAGTGAGAGACTCTGAAAAACATTGTCAAACCATGTCAAACCTGTATAACATACTAGAAAGATCCAAAAGGTCCTTTAGGAGGCGGGTTATTGTCCACATCGTATAATATACCCAAGGACTTTATTGACAATAGTGCTGATGATTAGATAAAGCATATAAGTAGTATCTTATAATATGAGTGTGACTCAATGGACATCGATATTTAGGGTACTTCTGTTTGAGCAATCACACACACACATGCACACACACACACATATATATATAAATTAATATACATACGCACAACTCATTTGGGCCTAAAGTCACATACTAAGCATCATTAAACATCCAGCTTCCGAGGAGGTGGACCGCTGGGCCACGGACGACATCGTGAAGCGCGCCGTGGAGAAGCCCCTAGCGTCGGAGGCGGAGAGACAGGAATACGCCGCTTGAAAAAACGGAGAGCCATGGGAAATGTTTATGGTTTTCCCATGGTTTCCCTATGGTTTTCTATTGGTTTCACCATATCCAGTGGGGATTATCATCCATGTATGTAATGTAGAGTTGAAAATGAACAACCGTGGGTATGGGTCAAATTCAAAACTGGTTTCACAAAACAAACTAGCTAGAATAGCTAGTGATATTGGTTGCAGACATTCATTCTCCTACTCAGTTGGCCTACCTTTCCCTTCACCAACATCAAGGGGAAAGGCGGGTGCTCCATGGGCCCAGCATGGCCCAGCTATGTAGATAGATCTAAATCTATCTAAATCTATCAATCATAGATATCAGATATCATAGATCTGGATAGCCAGGCCCTCAAGCACCCGTTCCGAGGCTGCTCATGTGGAGCAACAGAAGACCCGCAAACAGCGGCAGAAACGTCAGATGCACATTCAGTTCGGGAGTGCATGTCGAGAAATTCCCATTCTCTTTTCTTGGGATCAACCACTCTCAGCCTCCCAGTTGAAACAAACATTGAATATGAAATGCACGCCTGGTCTTACAAAGGAGAAAGATTCTGGATTCGGCCACTATACTGTACCAACGGCAACTCCTCGCCCTAACTACACTAAATACCCCCTTAGAAGCCCGGGTTTTGGTAGGTTGTTCATTTCGGGCTCCCATGGGAAATGTCAGAGGTCGGGGCAGGGATTGGCCGGAGATCTTCGGAGATCTCGGGGCCAAGGAGAGAACGGCAAAAGCTGAAGAGGCAACAGCAAAATGGTGAAGCTCCAGCGATGGACTTGTCGCGGCCGGCCATGATGGAGCAATCCAACACAGACTCCTGGCAGCTGGGTTGGGCACCTGATTCTCCAGGGGCTTTCAGAGTGAGCCATGTAGAAGTGAGTTGAACCACCAATGCCTGAGAGAAAACATGGAAAAACATGAAAAGATATGAAAACACAATAAACCAACAGCCTATGCTTTGGTGCGTTTGATCTGGGTGGTGAATGTCGTGGCCCAGGAATTTGAAAGCTTGCTGGCATCTCTGAAGAAAGAAGCGGGCTTGATGCCCGGTGAAGCTGTGAGTGGCCTGGTTTCAGGCGAAGATGAGCCTGAATTGGCGGATCTTTCACTCCTTGATGAGCGATTAGACGTCGGTACTGGCGCAGTTCACTGAGGTTCAAAATGGAGAAATCTAGAGTTCTAGAGTTGCCTGTTGGAGGGCTGCTGTGGTTGGTGTAAGGGAAACTGGCTGTGGATTCTCTTTTGATGCCCTTCGGGCAAAGACCTTTCCGCGCAGAATTAGGTTAGGGGACATTCACACAAACAACTTGAATAGCCATCACACCTGGCCTTCTTTGCATTTGACAGCACACGTTACCTGCCACTATTCTTGTGACCTTTTGGTTCAAGTGTCAGAGTTTGAATCTTGAAGGCCACACCCATGGTCAGCAGTACGACCCAGTCCCAGGTTTTGCACCAAAGTCGTGTGAGAACATCAAAGCTGTTTCAAACCCAAGAACAAAGCTACAAGTCTGGATGGTTTACACCTCCCATTTCTGCTAAAATTGAAGATTGTTATAGATTGTTTGTTATTGGGCTTGCCACATTACTGTCATTCAATTCTTAGTGTAGAGGTGTGTGACATGCTGAAATAGTGCGCCTGATGGCAGCTGAAGTGGGTGACAGCCGGCACATTTTAGAGAGCTCTGCTACGAAGCTATGCGAACTCCTACGTCTAGGGGAGCTTACAAGCATCTCAGCATATGCTTCAGTTCAATTCATCGGAAGGTTTGATGGTGCATGCAACCGATGTCTTTCATCCTTTGTTGACATGCTGGAAAGAAACCTGGTCTTGTGTATAATCCCGCAAACTTTTCTTGACATATCTTCACATGACACACCCGAGGCACGAAAGCCGACTGACAGCATTTCACTTCATTTTTTGTTGGCCTCCAGGCCTCCAGAACTAGAAAGAACGCCTCCACACCTCCAGCCATGGCGCCCAGGTGTTGCCGTTCTTGAAGCCTTCATCGCCAAAGTCGAGGCGGATCCGTTGACGAACGCCGTGGTGGTCAAAGACTATGGCACCGCCCGGACGCGCGCTGCACGGGCGGATGAGTGCTGGCGATGCAGCGGCGGTCGCAGCTTGTGGGGACGACTTCATGGCCTGCCAATGACCGTGAAGGAAGAAGTGCAGGTACAGGGCCTCTGCAGCCACAGGGCTGATGGCGACGGCGAGATGGACTTGAACAATTGCGTGGCAGTACAAAGGTTGCTGGATGAAGGGGCGATCATTTTTGGAAAGACCAATACGCCAAGTCGCTGCAGAGATTGGCAGACCTACAATGAAACTTGCTTGAGCTTCAGTTAATATGTAGATTCCATCAAAGTTTTGAAAGCCTTTATGAGGATTGTTGGGGCCATTGGCACCTGAAGTAAAAACGCAGAAATGAGAGAAGAGCATATGTAAGTTCTTTTTGGGGACATGTTCGATTACTGTCCTGATGTCCACACTGAATTGGCTACATTTGCATCCTGCCTGGATTAACATTTTTTTTGGTGTTTTTAATGTCAGAATGAGCAAGATTTAGCCGTAATTATCATAGGGATGGCAAAAAAAGAATAAACGCTGATGATTTCTGGCAGGATGACCCAGAACAGATCTGAACACTGCTGGTCCAACCTGGGCACCTGCCCCCCCCGCTCCAGGAGACCTTTGGTCCTACTGTCAATCCCCATGACCCTCAACGCAGCTGCGGTGGATCTTCTGGTGGTTCATGCGTGGCCGTTGCTCAGCAGCACAGCCCCGTGGAGTTGGGTGCTGATGTGGCTGGGTCCATCCGAGTTCCAGCATGTTACTGCGGGGTCTTTGGAATGCAGGGCACCTACGGCCGCATCCCCACCACCACCTGGTGCATCCCGCACTCCAACGACCATCCCACCACTGATTTGGAAGCGCTGGAAGCGCCCGTGATTGATGCGAGCACAGCGCATCTCACAGTGGCACCCCATGGGTTGAAAGTGATAGGACCCATTTGCAAATATCCGGAGGATTTGGCCTTGATGAATGCAGTTCTGGAGCGGGCAGCTCCCATGACATCCCTTCCAAAAGTGCCGTCCGTTGAAGTTGACTCAGTTGACCATTCTCCAGCCATGTTTCGAGTTGCGCTCCTCTCAGAAATCTCCACTGGCACTGGCCCGGAACCAGCCCTGAGTGGTACCATCCTGGATGCCTTGGACCGAGTCCGGCGTCAGTTGAGCAAAGCGGAGGCGGAGCCACTGGAGCCACTGGAGCCACTGGAGCCACTGGAGCCACTGTCGAGGTCTTGTAAGTCTTGCGGAATCTCAGTGGTTACTTTGCGGAAACTCTTTCCTGCCAACTTTGCTGAGGTGAGCTATGACTTGTACCACCAAATCTTGGCCAACAGATGCTCGCATCAGGATTTGAGAAGGCATTTCGTTTTCTTTGGGTATGGATGATGTTCAATAACCCCTGAAACTGCAATGACCCCTCTCTTTCCAACCCGTCATGCCACAGGAGACCTTGCAACAGACCCAAAGGTCATGGCAAGCAGGTCATGGTGTCGCATGGTGTGGAACGCCTTCTTCGATGCGAATGCGATCGATGTTGCTGGATGTTGGATGGGTTGGAGTAGGTCAGAAATAAACACATCATATAAGCATCTCCAACATTCATTAAGATTTAGCCATGGACGATTGGGGGAACATCTGAAGTTTATTTGCTCATTCTCGGGATGTGCGCTTAGGTTCTAGGGTGAACTAACAGACACTCACACGTCTTTGTTTTGGACACCCAATTTTGGCATTAGCTGAGTTGGGATGGCACATTGCAGTGTGGGATCAGGCTTGGTTGACAGTTTTTCTATCCTTGTCTCTCCTTTGGCCAAGGCTGTCCTGATGCCGATCAGTCCTACGTTGCCGTTCCTTCGCAACGAGCTTCTAGGTGCAGATGCCTACACCCCGGAACGAAAAGTCTGGGTAAATGACTCGAGTGCACATCCTCCGGAGCAAAGATGCTACGCGGATTATTTTTATTGGCCGCATTTCAGTATTTTGGCACAGCTGCCATCCGTGAGCATCCCTTGTGGACTTCTGGAAGTCCCACAGGTACAAAGTCCGTGTGAGGCATTTACTCCAGCGTCATGTTTGGAGCATCCTGCCAGCAAGGTGGGAGAACCACGGTTGTGCAAGGTACCAGTGGGATTTCAGCTGGTTGGCCGACCGCATGCAGATGCTCAGCTGGTGGACATGGCAGCAGAAATGCATCGGATCTTGGCGACTTGAAGCTGAGATAGGGGGACAAATGGGACAAAAAATGACAAAAACAATAGAACAAAGTTGAACAAAAATGAACAAAGTCCAAAAAGTTGCTGTGAATCCTGGATGATACTGGATGATGATGGATCTGATTTGTCCTGTCCTGTACATCATGCACATCGGCATGAAACCATCGATTTCCAGGGAGCAGCGTGAGCAGCTACTGAACAGCCTGGGGAGCTCTCGGTGTCATGGACGCAGAGGGAGACGTGAAGCCGTGGCACAAGGCGCTGGAAAAGTTTCACCCTTTTCCAACCTTTTCCCGCTTCTGTATTGGAAGCAGAAGAACTTTTCAGAAGTGGCAGAGAGATTAAGTGGTCATTGATTGGGAGGGTCATTGCTTGGGAGTTGATTGTGGGATCTTTTCAGAAAGTGCAGTGTGTGCAGCTCATGATCCACCTTTTTCATCCTTTTTCCCACTTGCTGTATAGACTGATCTTTCAGTCACTGCCGAAATCTCAGATGCAGTTGCATTTGAGCTTAGATGTACGGCAGCCTGTTTGGCTCGTGCTGAAGTGATCACTCTCCATTTTGGAGCCAGGCGCTTGGCTCATCACCCTTCCCATCCCAAGAACTTGCCAAAGCCTTCAATACCAGATTATCCAAGATCCAACATGACGTACACCAGCGAAAACCTGATGTGGAATCTTAGAAGATGGCTTTGGACATCTTTGGACAATTCTTTTTCTAGCCATGCCTTCGAAATACGTGGAGCGAGACATTGTTTTCTCACCGAGGTCATGACCTCGACGGTGACATCCATTGTGCCTAGTGGCGCCCGACGCTTGGTCCCGCTAACTATCTATCTGCCGGATATGCTTTTGATACTCTGATACACCGCTGATGCCATGACATAAATCTTTAAATCAAAATGATCGAACCATAGAGGATTCGGATGAGAGCCACTGGCGAGTCGACAAAGTGGTCCTAAGATGTTTCAAACATTTTGATCATTTTGTCTCTGATGATTTCTTTGTAAAGGCTGGTGCCTCTGGACGGCTTCACGACACAGGACAGGGATACAACTGCAGCTGCCGTTCCAACCTGGGTTGAGCATTGGCCGCTTCGCCCCATAGTTGTTGATATGTTTCTTGGGTTATTAGAATTCTATCACTGCATGCTTTGGCCCGACATTTTGCGTCATAACATGTCACAACCCTTCTCAGTCGCTGTTGTAAGTTGAAGCATATAATCGCCGGGAGCGGGACCGTAACGAAAGCAATGACGACTTTATCCGCCTCAAGGGTGAGTGGACCTCAGTGGACCTCGGTGGACCTCAGTGGACCTCGGTGTGGAGGAAAGTTTTCGACAGCCAGAGTTCCAGCCTGCCGTTTGCGTCTGGGTCTTGGTTTCAGATGGTTTCAGCATGCCGTTTGTTCATGTCCGCCATGGTGAAGCTCCCAATTCCAAGGACTGCCACAGTTCGAATGGTACCTTGGACCGATGTACCGAAGGCTCGCCGATGGAGGTCAGTGGGTGGTGGGTGATGCTTCCTGGTCCTAGCAGGTACGCCGAGATCATGGCCGAACGAGAGCGAGCAAACACTGCCGGCTTCGTAAAGAAGAAGGCCACGAAAAAAAACTGAAAAAATCATGGAGTTTGTTGGAAATTCTCAGGAAAATTCGAACCTATACATTTGGAATCATTTGGATAGAGTGGGATGGTGGAAGCCAGGGTTCGCTGATGTTTGCTGCAAACTCACCCATTGAAACAGGAGAAGTGCAAGCAGATATTTTTTTACGGGACACTGTAGAAACCAAGAGCCGGTGCAGTGGTCAATGCTTTCCAACCGCATTTCCTTTCATGACCCAATAGTGAGCAGGTTACTCCCACAGTTCCAGATGAGCCAGCCAAAAGCTGAGTGCAACCGCATTGGTCAAAGCGGCATTTTGCGTTCACGCATGAGCTGTTCGGATTTTGCATAGTTGGAGGTTCCGGGAGGCGAACAAAATGACACACTCTGAGCTTTGGAGTATTTTGGAGTCACCAATTCCAACAACCCCATCATTACCCCCCACACACTGCAGATTGTGCTAGGCTGTTCGATGCTGGCCCTTTTGATTCTATTTTCCTCTGAAACTAGACTATTTTTTCCACCCACCCTTTGGAAAATCAATTTAGAACCATTTTTCCTGTGAAAATTGGCGCTTTGGTCTTCCTGTTGTCGGATGGTTCCATTCCTGGGTTGCTTCTGTTGAACTACCCCTGTATGTACACTGATAATCACTAACATAAACTCCCAATGATGGCACAATGATGGCACTTCATGTAGAGCTTCATGTAGAGCTTCATGTAGAGCTTCATGTAGAGCTTCATGCCATGTGCGACGATGCTCGACATCCAGACCTACATCAAACACATCACCACCCGGACGCCGGTCTTTGCCTTCAACGATGCCGTGCTGGATCGACCGTTGACCAACATGGGCCAGGAGGGGATGGGAGTGAGATGAAGGAAATGGATATGGGCAGACATTAAAACAGGAGAAAGATGAGAGACCTGACTCAGAAACGCTCAGAAGCCTGACTATGTCCAAGTTGTGGCTTTGTGTCAAGGGGTGGTCATGGGCTTTACTCAACAGATTGAGAGGTGCTGGATGCTGGATCATTTTGAACATGGGCCAGGCCTACTACAGACTAAACCAGAAACGAGACAAGGAAAAGGCTGACGAAGGAGTGACGAGCTCAGGATGCTGTTAGCGGCCAGGATGCGGCCACTCCAGATTCAAGGTTATCAGTGAGCTACAGTATATAGAACTTATAGAATTATGATGAATTGATCACACGTTCTATATATGGCCCAATTATGGCCACATGGTGATGAGAGACGGTTTCATCTAAGGCCTGGCTCGAGGAGTGGCCCAGAGACAAGGACAAGGAGAAGGGGGTCGCTCGCTGAAAGGACTGCGTGATTTTTGGCTCATGTCATGCTGCATGGCGGTTAAAGGAGGAAAAGAACATGAACAAACAGATGCATTTGAAGCTTGGAAGGATGTGACACAAAGTCCCCGGATTCAATTCGCATGTCGGGGGAGTTATAGGGATGCACCTAATAAATGGTGAAGTGATGCTCGCTCAGATTTACACTCCAACAGAGCCTTGAACCAGCGATTAATCAACGCCAACCGCCACTCTGGCTCAACAGTTTTGATCCTCAGCCCGTGGATTGTCCACCTGGTGTCATCCTTAACATCCAGGTATGTTCCGTGCACCAATGCACAGCACATGATTCTTACACAACTCTCCGACTTCAAGGAGTGCCGTGGTTGTATTAGACAACGAACCCTCGACTTGCATCTGGTTGATGTACACTAACCGTACCCATCCCTAAACTCACATTGTCCTAGAACTTCCACCAAGAATGCAGGCTACTGGCACCGTGAGAATCGTAATATTTTGGCCTACTGCCAGCACTACCAGCCATTTGGAACCAGATTTTGTTCTCAGCCTAGTTCGCATTTGCACATTTTTGTAATTCTGGCCAATTTTTTAAATCAGAAAGTCAGAAAGAGAGAAAGAGAGAGAGAGAGAGCTAGAAAAGGTACACTGATATTTTGTTAAAGTTGGTATATATAGTTAGGCTAAGTTCCACTTTTCCAAACAAACAAAAAAACTTTGGACATTGCCAAATTTGGCCAGGATTTTGGTCTCCCATTGAGGTCAGTAGCCATGCTCTCCACTTTAAGGCCAAACACCTCGCATGAAGCTGAGGGATGGGCGGAAGATAATTCCAGATGGCTATTCTACAGTGACAATGGTAGTGATGTTTCGACGTTGGAGATGAGGGTGACAATGATTATGGTGATAGTCAAGATGGTGGTGATATTAGTTTTGATGTCGATGTCATTCGGTGATGCGTTCGGATTCTTGTTCTGCAGACCCTGAGGTCCATTCGCGGCTTGGGCCTGCGATATTTTGCAGCCAAAGATGTTCGTTGGAACCTCAGCTCGGGAGAATCAGAAGGAAATGGATTCGCTTCAGCTCCAAAGCCTCAGGAGCTTTTATTGTTTTTTTTGAAGTTTTTGGATGTTTTTGGATGTTTTTGGGTCACCGGAGAAATGATTCGAAATGAGAGTCCTCCAATGTCCAATCCCCATTGAGACTAGTTTCACCATGAATTGGCATCGAGGTCATGGCGCCGGTGCCCGTGCTGCCATGTTGAAGGGTGTGATTCTCAGCTGTCCGGGAAAAAAACAAATAAAAAAAACAACACAAAAAAAATCAACAAAAAAAATGTTTTGTGCTTTTTTTTTTGTGCTTTCTGAAGGACTCTAGGAGAAGAAGGGGCCCTAGTCCCACAAACTTGGCTCGATTTAAACCGCAGCTAAGTAAGGAATGAAGTTTGCTGAGGGAGTCACATTTTTCCAGACTCGAGATGTCCCCTGGTAATCAAACATGGCTGGAACATTTTCCCGTTTGGTTCCAGGATTTGCACATCCAAAGCTCCCATTCCTAGGGGATTTCCCGGTTTTTCCATGGCAGGTGCTGATCGACTGGCCGATGCCGTGGCCGTGACCTTGGGCCCCAAGGGCCGCAACGTGGTCATCGAGCAGAGCTTCGGTGCACCCAAGGTCACCAAGGCGCAAGACACGGGAGAGAGGTGAAAAAAAACCCATGGTTCCAACATTGCGGTGTAAAAGACAAGCAAATGAGTCAGGAAACCAACCAAAATACACAAAACCCATGGGTTTTCCCCAGGAAAATTTGAACATGATCTAGAAATAGTATGAAATACTATGAAATAGTATGAAATAGTATGAGAGAATTACAGGAGGGTAACTACAAGATACGATCACCACCAACATCCATTTTTGTTATAGCCAGCCACAATAGACTGCCATAAATAAATGAATAAAAAAATATACATAGATAGCTGCGTCACAGCAACCGAGATATGACAGACCGCTTCACCGGTAAAGATAGGCAACGCAGATAAATTGCTGCTATCTCATGCAGGATTCTCTTGAATCTTCACTGTGTGGGGTTTGCAGGATGGTGTCACAGTCGCCAAAGCCATCGAGTTCAAGAATAAGTCTGCGCCTGTGAGAGTGGATAGTAACGGATAGTAACTGGTTTTTTACTGTCCAAATCCCAAAAACAATACACAACTTTATCAATCCCAGAAGAGAAACTTGAGTTCCAAGGGCCTTTTAGATTCGCTTTGCCAGGGGTTGGTGAATGTCAAAATTCAACATCACCCAAGTATTGGGTACATAATCTCCAACAGATATAGTAGTAAATTGTTTGTCCAATCTCCAAGTTTTTTTCTTGAATCTCCAATTGGATACTTTTTCAGGTGATGTTCAAAATCATTCATCCCCAAATTTCCCCAACTATTTGGGACATCACGACATCACGACATCCGAGGCAGGACAACCTGGGCGCGGCCTTGATCAAACAGGTGGCCTCCAAGACCAACGACGTGGCCGGGGACGGCACCACCACCTCCACCGTGCTGGCGCGCGCCATCTTCCGTGCCCAGGAGCAGTGGAGAGATGGGGGAGATGGCCTACCTGGAAATGTGGGAAATTACAACAGGAAATTAATATACTATATATCAATATATATATATTACAATATATTACAATACATTACAATATATTACAGTAATATGGCCATAGCCGCCATATGATGAAATATGATGAACCATGATGAAGACTCATGAAATATGGGTAAAATGCAGTGAAGAGTAGCGTTTCTAATGGAAAAAGGGTAGGAAAGAGTTTCGATCGAGGTTAGATCACCGGAGAATAAGATCGAAAAGTATAGCGCGGCGGTGGCACCATCCAAACAAGTATATAGCTTTCAGAATGTGTTTGAACCCGTCGAAAGTATACAATTCACCTCTCTCTCTCTCTATATGTATCGATATAGTGTGTATGTTGCGGTTAGTTTAGATTTCTCGGTTTGGGGTTAAGTTAGCCCCATGGAATTGAAGATGGGGGCAACCTCCAGGAGAATCATCTTAAAAAAAACATCTTCCAAAACTGTTTTTTGCCACGGGGTTTCAGCGGTGCAGTGCAGTCGAAATTTATGGCGGCTGGGGAGTGTTGTCTCCATCCATGTATCCTCAACTTCTGGAAACATCTTCAGCCCATCGGGAAAAGTGCCTAAAAGTCACCCCTCAACCCCAGCAGTCAGCTAAGGTGAGGGAACCAAGGCCGTTTGCGGCTCAGTCACGGTTCTTGTGGTCTTTGGAAGCAACACTATTGAAAAGCTATGCACATCTCATGTTGCCCATTGATTCATTCATGAAAAGTCATCACCAACCCCCATTTGCCCATTTGGGGATCCCCGGACCCCCAAGGTCGTGGCAGGAATGAACCCCATGGACCTGAAACGTGGCATCGATGCAGCTGTGAAGCTGGTCCTGGAGGCCTGTTAATCGTCCTTGAAGAACATCGGGATCCAAATTGTCATGTCATGTCATGTCATGTCATGTCACTTCTGCAGGTCAAATTGTTTGAGGGTTTCCAGCTTTGGAGGAATTGGAGAAGATCTCCAAGCCCATCTCCAACCCCTCCGAGATTCAACAGGCAGGGACTACTTGTGGTTGCAGAATGCAATGCTATTCCTGACCTGTTTGCATTGATTTGGGGGATGATGTTCTATGCAAATTCAATTTTTGGCGATTGCATTCCACCATTTCTGGACAGAAGTGCGCCAGAACCAAGTTTTGCAGTCATGAATCCGCGCTAACCTGCTATTTGTTTCCAGCTGCTGCATGTTGCTACAGTCACCATCAGTCACCAGATTTCTGGAAGGTAGCCACCATCTCGGCGAATGGTGATGCTGGCATCGGCAAGATGGTGGCAGATGCTTTCGAAAAAGTGGGGAAGCAAGGCACCATCACAGTGGCTGAGGCTGGAAGGTGCTGGTGTGTTACTGGGGGATCTTTCAAGAATAAATGGGGTGTGGTGCAAACTTGAACCCAAAGATGGATTACTATGGATCCTGGTGATCATAAAAATGATGCCCCAAGTTTCAGCCCCAGGGGAAGACACTGGACCATGAGCTCGAGATTGTGGAGGCCTTTCCGGCATGGAGAGCTATTTCATGCTATTTCTACAAGTTACTAATTGTAGGTGGAAATTCTTGGAACTTCTATGTCAGTGTTTGGGGTGCCGGAGATGATTCGAACCACCAGGGAATGAAGATCGACAGAGGATACATCTCACCATACTTCATCACAGACACCAAGGCGTGGCCGCAGCGTTTAATTGGATGGGTTGCGCCACGAAGGTCTGGCATGTAGATGTGTCTCCATGTGTGCATGCCTGTATGCCCCAAATTCCGCAAGTAGTCCAGTTGGATTGAGATATTGTTTGTTTCCCATCTTTTCCCACCAGTTGGTTGATGTACAGAGGGGCGGCACATGACCCCCTTGATAGGAAGCAACCAGAGGTTGCCCGCTTCAGGCGCAGAAATGCGTGCTGTCCAAGCCATTGGTTTTGATTTACGACAAGAAGATCTCGTCTGTACGGGGCCCCAGGGTGCATTGAGCATGACTCGCAAGGGGTAGATCCACCAGAAACAGATGGGCACAGACTTCCCAGCTTCTTTGGTGGCCCTGAGCAACTGGGGAAAGCACCTCCAGTTTCGAATCTCGGAAAGTATTTTGAGGTCCAAAGCATCCTGCCCATTTTGGAGCATGCAGCCAAAGCCCAGCGTCCACTGTTGATCATTGCAGAGGACGTGGAAAACGAGGCCCCCAGGGCTGATGGGTAGATGGGGGACCGCCAAGAAAAAAGGATATATATATATATATCATATCTATATAAAAACTGTAAGTTGAGTGACAACTCTTGGCTATGCCCATCACAGTTTGTCAGTGTCAACCCTGACTATGACTGTGATATGGAAAACATCCCATCTCTTTTCAGCAAAGAAGCAGCGGGACTCTGTGCCGCAGGGTGGGACCCAAGATTGTACCAGGAGAAAACATTTGCCGCCTTTTTCCCGAGAGCGTCTGAGCGAAGATTCTTTTAATAGTGGAGGTCTGCTAAAATACATCTTCATATGTTCACATCTTCGTCACATCTTCATCACATCTTCATCACATCTTCGCATCTTCTCATCTTCTCATCTCACATCTTCACATCTTCACATCTTCACATCTTCTCTCTCTCTCTCTCTCCCTCCTTCTCTCTCCCTCTTCTCATCTTCACATCTTCTCATCTTCTCTCTCTCGCCTTCTCTCTCCCTCTCTCTTTCTTTCTCTCTCTGTCTCTCTTGCCCTCTGTCACGGTCTCTCTCCTTCTTTTTCTTTTCTCTCTTAAGGCCGCGCGAAATGAGGTTCGAGTGTCAAAAGCTGAGGGTTTTTTGCGAGTGTGGTTGGTCCGGCGGCAACCATTTCGCACGAAACGAAGTTCGAGTGTCAAAAGCGGATGGTAAAAGCATCTGTGTGCAAAAGTGTTTGTGTGTGAAAGCAAAGCACGGGCAAAAGGGGCCCAGAAATGCGACCAGAAGCCGAGAAGCCGAGAAGCCGAGAAGCCGAGAAGCCCGACACAAGCCGAGAAGCCGAGAAGCCGAGAAGCCGCGAAGTACGACACAAGCCGAGAAGCCGAGAAGCCGAGAAGCCGAGAAGCCGAGAAGCCGAGAAGCCCGGCACAAGCCGAGAAGCCAAGAAGCCGAGAAGCCGAGAAGCCGAGAAGCCACCGGGCAAGCCGAGAAGCCGAGAAGCCGCGAAGCCGAGGAGCCGCCGGGCAAGCCGAGAAGCCGAGAAGCCGCGAAGCCGAAGAAGCCGAGAAGCCGAGAAGCCACCGGACAAGCCGAGAAGCCGAGAAGCCGAGAAGCCACCGGACAAGCTGAGACAGTAGCCCTGGAACCCCCTCTGAACACTATGTTGCATCTTCACCATCACAAGACATCAACTCCCCAACCCCCTCTGAACAATACGTTGCACCTTGAGACATCAGCCCCGCCACCCCCTTTGAATATATGTTGCATCTTCGAAGATCAAGCCAGCGACCCCCTCTGAACACTACCTCGCCCCGTTAAACTTCTACATTCATTGAAGATCTTCAATGAGGGTTTAATTCTCCCAGCCCCTTCAAACTTCTACATTCATCGAAGATCTTCAATGAGGGTTTAATTCTCCCAGCCCCGTTAAACTTCTACATTCATTGACGATCTTCAATGAGGGTTTAATTCTCCCAGCCTCGTCAAACTTCTACATTCATTGACGATCTTCAATGAGGGTTTAATTCTCCCAGCCCCGTTAAACTTCTACATTCATTGAAGATCTTCAATGAGGGTTTAATTGTCCCAGCCCCGTTTAACTTCTACATTCATTGACGATCTTCAATGAGGGTTTAACTCTCCCAGCCCCGTTAAACTTCTACATTCATGGACGATCTTCAATGAGGGTTTAATTCTCCCCAGCCCCGTTTAACTTCTACATTCATTGACGATCTTCAATGAGGGTTTAATTGTCCCAGCCCCGTTTAACTTCTACATTCATGGACGATCTTCAAGGAGGGTTTAATTCTCCCGAGCTCCGTTAAACTTCTACATTCATCGACGATCTTCAATGAGAGTTTAATTCTCCCCACCCCCGTTACACTTCTACATTCATTGAAGATCTTCAATGAGGGTTTAATTCTCCCCAGCCCCGTTAAACTTCTACATTCATTGACGATCTTCAATGAGGGTTTAATTCTCCAAGCCCCGTTAAACTTCTACATTCATCGAAGATCTTCAAAAAGGGTTTAATTCTCCCAGCCCCGTTAAACTTCTACATTCGTTGAAGATCTTCAATAAGGGTTTAATTCCTCCCAGCCCCGTTAAACTTCTACATTCATTGAAGATCTTCAATGAGGGTTTAATTCTCCCAGCCCCGTTAAACTTCTGCATTCATCGAAGATCTTCAATGAGGGTTTAATTCTCCCAGCCCCGTTAAACTTCTGCATTCATTGAAGATCTTCAATGAGGGTTTAATTCTCCCCAGCCCCGTTAAACTTCTACATTCATTGAAGATCTTCAATGAGGGTTTAATTCTCCCCAGCCCCGTTAAACTTCTACATTCATTGAAGATCTTCAATGAGGGTTTAATTCTCCCCACCCCCATTAAACTTCTACATTCATTGACGATCTTCAATGAGGGTTTAATTTCCCAGCCCCGTTAAACTTTTACATTCATTGAAGATCTTCAATAAGGGTTTAATTCCTCCCAGCCCCGTTTAACTTCTACATTCATTGAAGATCTTCAATGAGGGTTTAATTCTCCCAGCCCCGTTAAACTTCTACATTCATGGACGATCTTCAATGAGGGTTTAATTCTCCCAGCCCGTTAAACTTCTACATTCATCGAAGATCTTCAATGAGGGTTTAATTCTCCCAGCCCCGTTAAACTTCTACATTCATGGACAATGGACGATCTTCAATGAGGTTTTAATACTCCCCAGCCCCGTTAAACTTCTACTTTCTTTGACGATCTTAAATAAGGGTTTAATTCTCCCCAGCCCCGTTAAACTTCTACATTCATGGACGATCTTAAATGAGGGTTTAATTCTCCCCAGCCCCGTTAAACTTCTACATTCATCGAAGATCTTCAATGAGGGTTTAATTCTCCCCAGCCCCGTTAAACTTCTACATTCATGGACGATCTTCAATGAGGGTTTAATTCTCCCCAGCCCCGTTTAATTTCTTCCCAGCCCCGTTTAACTTCTACATTCATGGACGATCTTCAATGAGGGTTTAATTCTCCCGAGCCCCGTTAAACTTCTACATTCATCGACGATCTTCAATGAGAGTTTAATTCTCCCCACCCCCGTTACACTTCTACATTCATGGACGATCTTCAATGAGGTTTTAATTCTCCCCAGCCCCGTTAGACTTCTACATTCATTGACGATCTTCAATGAGGGTTTAATTCCCTCCACCCCCGTTAAACTTCTACATTCACTGACGATCTTCAACGAGGGTTTAATTCTCCCAGCCCCGTTAAACTTCTACATTCATGGACGATCTTCAGTGAGGGTTTAATTCTCCCCAGCCCCGTTAAACTTCTACATTCATGGGCGATCTTCAATGAGGGTTTAATTCTCCCCACCCCCGTTAAACTTCTACATTCATGGACGATCTTCAATAAGGGTTTAATTCTCCCCAGCCCCGTTAAACTTCTGCATTCATGGACGATCTTAAATGAGGGTTTAATTCTCCCAGCCCCGTTAAACTTCTACATTCATGGCCGATCTTAAATGAGGGTTTAATTCTTCCCAGCCCCGTTAAACTTCTACATTCATTGAAGATCTTCAATGAGGGTTTAATTCTCCCCACCCCTGTTAAACTTCTACATTCATTGACGATCTTCAATGAGGGTTTAATTTCCCAGCCCCGTTAAACTTTTACATTCATCGAAGATCTTCAATGAGGGTTTAATTCTCCCAGCCCCGTTAAACTTTACATTCACTGACGATCCTCAATGAGGGTTTAATTCTCCCAGCCCCGTTAAACTTCTACATTCATGGACGATCTTCAATAAGGGTTTAATTCTTTCAGCCCCGTTATATATAAACTTCTACATTCATTGACGATCTTCAATGGGGGTTTCCGTGTCGCGCCGCGACGCAACGCCGTGTGCACTCTTGCAGAAGGAAGCGTCGCAGCGCCAACAGCGTCGCAGCGTCGCTCCCGCGTCGCAGCGTCGCAGCGTCGCAGCGCCAACAGCGTCGCAGCGTCACTGGCCCAACGGCAGCGTCGCAGCGTCGCAGCGCCAACAGCGTCGCAGCGTCACTGGCCCAACGGCAGCGTCGCAGCGCCACCCGCCCCCCGGAGCGTCGCAGCGTCGCAGCGCCACCCGCCCCCGGGAGCGTCACAGCGCAACGTCGGAAACCCACGCTTCGGCCCCCTTTGCCCCTGCACTGTGTGAAAGGGTTGTGTGTAAAAGTGTTTGTGTGTAAAAGGGTCTGTGTGTAAAAGCATCTGTGTGTAAAACGGTCTGTGTGTAAAAGCGTCTGTGTGTAAAAGTATGTGTGTGTAAAAGCGTTTGGGCGTACGAAGTGTTTCTGTGTACGAGCGTTTGTGTGTAAACATTGAGGTCTGCCCCCGCCCACTAACAGTTCAAAACTGCCCCCCCTTCATAAACCACATACCAGAAAAGCACAATCATATTGGTGGTAACTCAGGCCATTTTAGGGGATCCTTAGGGTCTGCTTAGGAGAAGATGTGATCTAGGTGGGCCGTACAAGTAACAAAGGGTGGAGTAGTGAATGCAACAACATCACTACCTTTGAGGTGGCATTGTTTGTGGTTAAACCATTTAAATCATTTTAACGAACATCCTTTTGTATTGCGCCATATTGTTGGAGCCATCAGGACATGTTTGCTGAACTTGTCATCAACTAGCCAAAAAATCAAAGTATCGATGTTGCTGTTGATATCCTTTGGTTGGAACGTTGGAGTGGTTCTGGGAAGTCTGACAGCTGACATCATTTTGTTTATCTGAATATTTGTGTGTCAAATAGCAATGGCAATGATATGGTATGATGATGCAAGGTGTTGCATCGATATGATGATACGATATTAAGACTCATGACATTCTTTACAATATTGAATGCAGCATACCTGAGATACCGAAATGCTGCAATCAAACGGTCCAACCATTGTAAGTTATAAGTGAAAAGCGTTACAAAGGCGTGCCTCCAACAATAGTTGTTGAGGTTCTTAATAAACATCATATGATAATTACATTTTTTTCACATTCCCGCTCCTGGCATGGGCTCACTCTTGAGAGTTTTTTTTGGAAAGGAGGTTGGAAAAAAGGAAATGGTGTGAGACATTTGCCGGGCCGCTGGTCCGAAGGCTGTCGAGGCAGGTGGCCTGAGATTCATTTTTTCCAAAGAAACTGTGCTTTTTTCGTGCTTTTTTTGTGCTTTTTTTTGTGCTTTTCCGGCGCTCCCGAGCACAAAAAAAAGCACCAAAAAAAAACACAATTCATACCACAAAAAAAAGCACAAAAAAAAACACAATTCATACCACAAAAAAAAGCACAAAAAAAACCACAATTCATACCACAAAAAAAGCACAAAAAAAAATCACAATTCATACCACAAAAACACACAAAACAACACAATTCATACCACAAAAAAAAGCACAAAAAAACCACAATTCATACCACAAAAAAAAGCACAAAAAAAACCACAATTCATACCACAAAAAAAGCACAAAAAAAAAACACAATTCATACCACAAAAAAAGCACAAAAACAACCACAATTCATACCACAAAAAAAGCACAAAAAAAACACAATTCATACCACAAAAAAAAGCACAAAAAAAACCACAATTCATACCACAAAAGCACAAAAAAACACACAATTCATACCACAAAAAAAAGCACAAAAAAACCACAAATCATGCGCATTTCCAGCCCGTTCGTCCTTGAAATTGCGAAGGGAAACTATTATCTAATTTGTTTTCAACTGCCAGAAAGCACAAAAAACAGCACAAAAAAAACACAATTCATACCACAGAAAAAAGCACAAAAAAAACCACAATTCATACCACAGAAAAAAGCACAAAAAAACCACAATTCATACCACAAAAAAAAGCACAAAAAAAATCACAATTCATACCACAAAAAAAAGCACAAAAAAAACCACAATTCATACCACAAAAAAAAGCACAAAAAAAACACAAAAAAAAACACAATTCATACCACAAAAAAAGCACAAAAAAAACCACAATTCATACCACAAAAAAAAGCACAAAAAAAACCACAATTCATACCACAAAAAAAAGCACAAAAACAACCACAATTCATACCACAAAAAAAAGCACAAAAAAAAACACAAAAAAAACCACAATTCATACCACAAAAAAAGCACAAAAAAAACCACAATTCATACCACAGAAAAAAGCACAAAAAAAACCACAATTCATACCACAAAAAAAAGCACAAAAAAAATCACAATTCATACCACAAAAAAAAGCACAAAAAAAACACAATTCATACCACAAAAAAAAGCACAAAAAAACACACAATTCATACCACAAAAAAAAGCACAAAAAAAACACAATTCATACCACAAAAAAAACCACAATTCATACCACAAAAAAAACACAATTCATACCACAAAAAAAACACAAAAAAAATCACAATTCGTACCACAAAAAAAAGCACAAAAAAAAGAAAGTCATTTTCCTTTTTTTCCCGCGCCAGTTTTTGCTTTTTTTTTGTGCTTTTTTTCTGCTTTTTTTCCAGCTTTTTTCTGCTTTTTTTTCTGCTTTTGGAAAGTCGCTGCTTTTAAAGCATTTTCAAGTGGCCAGCCCGGCCCAGCTCCAGCCCCCCCCTCAGCCAGCCAGCCCGCCAGGCTAGTCCCCCAGCGTTCCCCAGCCCCCAGGCTCAGCCCCCAGGCTCAGCCCCCAGGCCTTGCCCAGGGTCAGTCCAGCAGCCCCGGCCTTTATATTTATTGTACACGCACATTCTATTGTTTTGCTATCGGCGCTGCGATGGGCAACATTCTAAACCCTAACAGCATTACTTTGCCATCGGCGTTGTGGTGGGCAGCATCCTAAACCCTAACCAGTGTTGCTTTGCCGTCAGCGCTGCAATGGGCAGCATCCGAAACCCTAAACAGTATTGCTTTGCCATCATCGCTGCAATGGGCAGCATCCAAAACCCTAAACAATATTGCTTTGCAATCAGCAGCATCACTACCCACAAGGTGCTGACAAGCTGGATGCATGAGGCATCCCATTGGAAATGCCAATGTCGAATTTTGACAGCAAGGACTTCTGGGCATGGCAAGAAAATGTGCGGACCGTGGAGCCAACTTGCAGGGAATATGCCTGGTCATCTAGCCTTAATAAGGGGAAATGAAAGTCATATTGGGGACTACAACCTGATTTTTTTTGTGCTTTTTTTTTGTGGTATGAATTGTGGTCACTGTTAGTGTCACGAGGCAGAGCCCAATGTAAACATTCTTTGTGTGTAAAAGCGTTTGCGTGTAGAAGAAGTGTTTGTGTGTAAAAGCGTTTGTGTGTAAAAGCGTTTGCGAGGAAACGTTGTTGTAGTAGCGTTAGTGTGTAAAAGTACGAAGTGTTTCTGTGTATATACTCGTACAAGCGCTTGTGCGTAAACATTATTTGTGTGTAAAAGCGTTTGTGTGTAGAAGTGTTTGCGTGTAAAAGTGTTTGCGTGTAAACATGCGTGTAAAACGCGCTTGTGTGTACAAGCGTTTGCGTGTAAACGTTGTTATAGAAGCGTTCATGTGTAAGAGCGTTTGTGTGTAGACGTGTTTTGCGTAAGGCTTTATGCGTAAAAGCTTCTGTGCGTAAAAGCTTCTGTGTGTAAAAGCGTTTGTGTGTAAAAGCGTTTGTGTGTAAAAGCTTCTGTGTGTAAAAGTGTCTGTGTGTAAAACCGTTTGGGTGTAAAAGTGTCTGTGTGTAAAAGTGGCTGTGTGTAAAAGCTTCTGTGTGTAAAGTGTCTGTGTGTGAAAGCTTCTGTGTGTAAAAGCTTTTGTGTCTAAAAGCTTTTGTGTGTAAAAACTTGTGTGTGTAAAAACTTCTGTGAGTAAAAGCGCCTGTGTGTAAAAGTGTTTGTGTGCAAAAGGTCTTGTGTGTAAAAGCTTCTGTCTGTAAAAGCTTTTGTGTGTAAAAGCTTTTGTGTGTTAACGCGTGTGTGTGTAAAAGGTTCTGTGTGTAAAAGTGTCTGTGTGTAAAAAAAATTTGTGTGTAAAAGCTTCTGTGCGTAAAAGCTTCTGTGTGTAAAAGCGTCTGTGTGTAAAAGTGTCTATGTGTAAAATTGCCTGTGTGTAAAAGCTTCTGTGTGTAAAAGCGTCTGTGTGTAAAAGCTTCTGTGTCTAAAAGCTTTTGTATGTAAAAGGTTTTGTGTGTAAAGGCTTGCTGTGTGTAAAAGCGTCTGTGTGTAAAATCGTATGTGTGTAAAAACGTCTGTGTGTAAAAGTGTTTGTGCGTACAAGTGACTGAGTGTTTGGGAAAAAATCTTCTGTGTGTATTAATAAAAGCGTATGAGTGTGTAAAAGCTTCTGTGTGTAAAAACTCCTGTGTGTAAAAACTTTTGTGTGTAAAAACGTCTGTGTGTAAAAGCTTCTGTGTGTAAAAATTGTAAACGTTTTTGTGTGTACAGGTTTCTGTGTGTAAAAGCTTCTTTATTTTGCAACTAAAACTCTGACATCTTCAAATCTTCTTATCTTGACGCCTGCGCAAAATGAACATATTCACATGATCTCAAATAACATTCTCATGAAGATATTCATGTAAGTCTTTGGCGTCTGCAAATCATACAACTACATAACACGTCTGAGTACCTATACACCTACTCGCTCTGGGGCCAACCGTCGTTTAGTTTAGTAGTGTGACTGGTCTTAAGTGCATCATGTTTCCCATCCCAACAATTGGAATGACAATTTTCATTGACTGACTCATATTAGATGCTGTTGGCTCCCACCAACCAGCAGCGATGCGACCCTCAACACATGCAGGCCCTGGCCACCATGATTGTCAACAAGCTGCGAGGAGGTTTGCAGCTTGCCGCCGTCAAGGCCCACCAGGGACCCAATCCTGTCGGACTGTGACTGCTATGGTTTTGCACCCCTCAACCAACCGAGGTCCACGCCATGGGTTTGGAAGATGATTTCCCGTCATTGCTGGCCGTTGGCGGATGATTTGGCCCTGTCAGCTCTTCCCGTGAAGCCGCAGCATGAACTCTTGCACCTCCAACAGCACTCCGGTAGCTGGGGTTTCTTGATTTACAACTCCTTTCTGACAATGTGACTAATCATGACTAATCATGACTAATCCATTATAAGTTAAATTCAGTTAACACACCCAACATGTCATGCGAACTTGTTACTCCTAGAACTTCCCTAAGCAACTCTTCAGCACATCTGGCAGCTTTCAGCAACTGGAGCCATGGCTCCGTTCTCAAGGGGCAGCGGCCATGCCACTTGCGCCTGGGCGCTCGGGGTCAGTGACCCTGCAAGGAAGGCGAGCTGAAGTGCACGGAGCAGTGGCCTGTTTTGTTTAACCCCCCAGTGATGGCCCAGTGATGTTTTTTTTTTTTTTCCCGGGGTAATGCTTTCATCATTTCAAATTTCTGTGTGATTTGGAACCTGAAGGTCGTTTGTGTTGAAACGCCTGTTTCGATTTATTCGCATCGTTCCGCTTCCAGTCTGACTTATATAACTTGCCCCTTCCCCTGGGCTTTAGCACTTGATGTAGCTCAAAGCCTGCTTCACTGGCTTCGCCCAAGCAGAACTCGCCACATGTCAGCTCTTTGGGATGGCATGAATTTCCGGATCAGCCCATGATGTAGTAGCAGCACATGACCTTTTGCAGGTTCCTTTTCAGCACAGATGCTCTTCTAGGCCAGGGCTGCGCGGCCAAAGTCTACAAGGGCACAGATGTGAGTTGTGGCAGACCCGTAGCGGTGAAGATTTACAAAGATGCTGGAAGGACGGAGTCGGAAGGTACATCCCATTTCCATCCATTTCCCCCAATTGTTTCCTTGCGAAATGTTGACTTGTGAGCCCGACGCTTTGGTATCAGCAGTATGATGCCATGATGGCCTTATCGAAATGCATTATGACGGAGCACCCCATGATACCCCATGTCCCACGACATTGGGTGACACAATCTCTGAATCACGGATTCCAGCTTTGGTTTCCCGACTTGGTGTCGATCCTTGGTGTCGATCTGCCACCTTGGAATGTTGGAAAGGCAGTGCAACACTGGCTGCAGCTCATGTGCAAATGAGACATAATGAGACTATCTTGCTGGTAGCTGTTTTTTGATTCAAAAGTGCATTTACCAGGGCCGTAGCGGCCCCACTGCAGGATGTGTTTGCATTGCTTCCAAAACGCCATCAAAGTTAGTGGCATCCTGCATCGTGCCGCACGTGGCAACAGCCCGGAGGAGAAGTTGATCTCGAAAGGCCACGCCCCGGGTGCTGGGAGAATCAGGCGCTAAAATCGTTTAGAGTTTAGAGATGGATGAACCCAAAAGGTTATACTGTATATTTTGTCATGTTTTGTCTCTACTACGCAGTAGGGATTTGGAAACGGTTGGCAGCCATGGGTGCAGATGGATGAACATCGTATCTCGATGCCAGAGGTGAGTGGTGCGTGGTGCAACTGAGCAGATTTTGCGTTGAACACGTGTGGAAATGCTGGTTTGGAAAGTTTGGAACAGATTGGGTCACCTGACCAAAGGAAACAATTGAAACCCTAGACTGCCCGGCAGATTAGCTTCCTCTTTGTTCGACTTGTTTTGGAAATTGATGCAGGACATCGCAGGACCAAATTGCCACATTGAAGGTGTTGAAATTCCGACGCAAAATTTCATGCTGACATGTGCCACCTTCTCGGACCACCTGCACAGTTTCGATGTTGACTCCAGTACCTCTCTCTCGCATTTGCTAGATGTGCATCGGGATTTGTAGATAGTCTATTTGAATATATTTGAATATATTTGAATATATTTGAATATATTTGAAGCTATTTGGATTTTCTTCTCAGGTTTGCTTCGCCTTGCTTGGCAGCAATGTACTGTTATCTACACGTGTTTTCCCCTCCTTGGAGGCACAAAGGCATTTTCTCCGCCTTTTCCTTCGCCATTTTTTCGACACGTGTTAATAGACTGTGACAATGAGACCCACTAGCATCATTGACCATTCAAGTCTGCCTAGCTGAATTCCTTTGGCTTCGTCCTCGGCGTGTGGAAGTTTCGGAAAGACATGGAAAGGCATCAAAAGACATGGCCAGAACACATGGATCCCTATGGGCCCAGCTCAAGAAAGACTGTCCATGGGTTAACTGTGATCAAATCAACATGATTTTAATCGTTTTCGGGCATCGTGCAAACCTTGGGTAGGCTCCTGGATCGCACTGCACATGATTGCACTGTATGTTGTAAGTTGTGACTTTAGCAGGGCATCCATGCCGATCCAACCTTGCCGCAATGCTATGAAGTTGGTGCTGCTTCTTCCATTTTGTGTCCACGGCTGGTGGTGTGAGACCAGTGCCCAAACGGGGTGTCGTGGGCACTCAAGGCATTTCGTGCGGGAGGTTTCTGCAAGGAATCCCTTCCTGGCATTTGCTGACATCAAAACCTCACGAAAGGATGATGCCATTGTGGTGGACTGGGACAGTGATGGCGATTTGGACGTGATTTTGAGGACCACCACAGAACTCCTGCTGTTTGAATCCAAGCCAGGCGGCAAGTTCGTTCGGGTGGAGCCAAATCCTTTCAAGGGCATTCCCGGCAATCCCTTTTCCAGCTCTTTGATCGGGGATTGCATGCCGGCGGTGGTGGATTGGGACCGAGACGGAGAACTCGACCTCATCATAGGAGCGAAGGACAGGAGCCAGGGATTTCAGATTTCAAATTGCACCTCTTTGCTGAGTTTGCTGTGAACTAGGGCGGAGAGCTATTCCACTGAAGGGTCTAAAAAATGGTGCTCTTTAGCTCCACCATGGGTCCAGTGGTTCCTCCTGTTTGTTTATTGACTTTCCAGGATGGTATTGAGTTCTACCATAGGGGCTTCGACAGAGAACTCCACCAGAGAACAGGGGCAGACAATCCGTTTCAACACATCAGAACGAAGAAGGGAGGTCCTTGCAGTGATCTCTCTGTAGCTGATTGGGATGGTGATGGTGACCTTGACCTCCTTGTTTCTGATTTGCATCTCCCAATGCGCTACTTCGAACAAGTAGATGGCAGACTGGTCTCGGTGGATGAGGACAGGAACCCTTTCCATCACATTCTCCAGAACTCCATACAGCGAAGGCCTTTCATGGTGGATTGGAACGGCGATGGCCGCTTGGAACTGCTACTCATGCCAAACATCCTGGAGAGACTCGGACATGCACAAGGATTCTTTGCGGACGAGCTGTGCTCTGTCACTTGAACCCAAGTTGGCAACGTGTATTGCCCTGCAACTAAAGTTCTGGGGGCCAATAGCCTGGAAATAACGAACCTGTCCCGATTAGTCCCGACATCTCCCGATCTCTCCAGCCAAGGAAAGAAGCTGTCAAAGGAAAGAGTTTTCAGGAGAGAGAGATGCCAAGAGATAGAATGTCAAAAGGCATGTGAAGAGAAAGAGTTGTCAGGAAAAAAGCGGACTGAGGAGAAAAGGATATCAAGAGGAAGAATAGTCAGCAGAGCAGTAGGAAAAACATATGTAGTGAGAAAGAATGAGAACGAGACAGAGATGCCAAATTCAAAAGAAAGAGGCGGAAAGAGAAACGCTTCTCTCTTCTCTCCCATTTGTGCAGCACGTCTCGCACAGTAGCTTTGCTTTCGCATTTTTGACTTCATGTTTGATCATTTTTGTGAAGCAAGTCGCATACGAAAGCTTCATTTCTATTCATTTCTCACATCTTCAACTTCCACTTGTTCGATCCTTTTCGAACGAAGTCTCACACGCAGGAATGGTTTTTGCATCTGCAACTTCCTTATTTTAGAGACATTTTGCATGTGAGTTTTTACATCTTCAACCTCCAATTGTGCTGGTAGACCAGCTTGTTCAAGTGAGGTCTGCTGCGCAACGGGTGCGAGACGGTTTGGGGTCATGGTTGGATCACGGTCGGATGTTTGCGCATAGAATTGATGTTGCGCGTTGTTGTTGTTGTTTTTTTTTTTTCCCTTGCGCGCTTGGGCACATTCCATTGTGTTTCGCAACTCTGTGCTTTGCAAATTGCAGTGAGGTAGCTGCGCCAATGTAGCTTCTTGCAGCGGCGGCGCTACGCGCGCATAGGGCTGTCGTGTTTTGCAACTCAGTGCTTTAAAAATTGCAGTCAAATGGCTCGGCAATGGCTGCGGCGATGTATTTTAGTGCAGCAAACATGTGTAATTGTGTTTTTGACTCGGGCGGCGTCCAGAGAATCGGTTTTGAAGCAGTAATTTTTGTTGCCACTGTGAGAATTCTTTGGCCTTTTGCAACTGTGCCTTGCAAGTTGCCCATCGGACGGCTGCGTCACTGTAGCTGGTTGCTTTAGGTACTTGCGCGTGTTGTTCTCAGCTTTAAAACATGTTTCCATTATGCCATTGCTTGATTTTTGGCGTCTCAGAGGCCTAAACGGTGTGTTGCGGAGATTTCCAATGTAAAGAGAAAGGATATTCAAGAAAAGAGGTGCGAGGTAATTTTACCTCAATTGATTGAGGATTTATTCCGATTCCATTAAAACCATCATCTGTAGCTGGTTGTTTCCATAAAAATAGAGGATTTTCCCATCAAAGTATCCACATAGTTCCGGGATTTCGGAGGAAATGTTTGATGACACCAGAGGGTAGAAGAACCCCATATTTCTTAACCAATCCCATGATATTCCATTAACAGCGGTCCGCCAAAAATGCCGACACGTGTTTCCAGGATGGTGGTTTGACAAATTTGATGATGTTTCCTCCAAATTTCAAAGTTTCGATTTTTTAGGCATCTATGAATGGGGGTTTCTATAAATTAATCCATAGAAGGGTACCCACCACAAATCATCGAAATATATCGAAATTATATTCCATTCATGATCATTCATGCCCAAGACCATTTTCTTGTACCCAGTTATATTCTCGTCATTAACTCAAATTGTAAGGACAAAGGCAGAGGAGACGGGTGAGGAGCAAAGGAGAGTAAGCAAAAAGGGCAGAGAAGAGGGAGAAGAGTAGGAGATGAGCAATGCAGGGAAGAGAAGATTAGCGAAAAGAACAGTAGAGAGGAGCCGAAAGGAAGGACAAAGTAGATCAAAGTAAAGTAAAAGAAAGGCAACGTAGGTGGAGTGTATTGAATGGAGAATGAAGAATGGTTCCTATATGTGTGCTATTTACTGTGTTCATTGTGTCTTTGAGGTCTGAACTCAGCTTGGAGAAGATTTAAGACACAAAGCGGCAGGATGATTCAGAAAGATTTGATGAGAGCGGAGAGGCATGGAGAAGCAGAGAAAAGAGCAGAGAAGTGAAGGGTACGGGTACATACAGAGAAGAGAAAAATAGAGAAGAGTAGGAGAGAGAAGAAAGGAACACAGTACCTGTATCAAAGAGCAAGGAAGGAAACACTAGACATGAGAAGCAAGGAAAAGGGAAGGGAAGGGAAGGGAAGAGGAGAGGATTGGAGAGGAGAAGACAAGAGAAGAGAAGAGAAGAGAAGGGAAGAGTAGGGAAGGGAAGAGATGAGATGAGATGAGAAGAGAAGAGAAGAGAAGAAAGATAGGAAAAGAGAAGAAAAGAGCAGAGAAAAGGACGACAAGAGTCAAGAGTAGATTAAAGGGAGAAAGAAGAGTAGAAAAAGGCAAGGGGGGGAGTAAAGTCAACAGGAGAGTAGAGTACCGAAAAGAGAGGAATTGAACGATCAGCGACCAAGAGCAAACAGGACCGTGAGAGAGAGTGTTCGAGTGCAAAGGGAGGATTGTCCCCATACATCCTTCCTCCCCGGCTCGCCGGTGACTATCATCATCGTCACAAGATGTCATTTTGCAGGCTCTGATTTTGAGCCACTTTTTGAAATGAACCTATAAATGACATGTCCGGTCCGCCCAACAATGAGGTGGAACTGTATGAGCGAGACTATTCCCAAGATCCTGAAATACTGCGGCAGAGTCTCGACCCCCTTCTTCTCAATCGGGGCTGCAGCAATTTCACTGGCTCTGGTGTCTCCCTTGCTGACTTAGATGGTGACGGAGATTTGGATGCGGTCTTTGGTGCAGATGGAGCACCTTTGCATGTCTTTGAACACACTCCAAGCGGTTGGCGTAGTGCAGGCCCAACTGGGATTGATTCTGACTCAATACCACTGGATGCGATTCCACTTGACAGTGCCGATCCCTCAAATCCTTCATTCAGGAAGAATCTGCTCCGTCCAGTCCTTGCGGACTGGGACTTGGATGGTGACCTGGACTTAGCACTTCTTCATGACAATGGTCTCAGGGGTGGGAACCGCTACTTCGAGCATCAATCAGATGGGACTGTCAGGGAAATCAATGATACCCACTTGTCAAGGTTGAATGCCAACTGTTCCATGAATTGGAGAGTGGGCTTTAGCTTCGTCGACTTCGATGGGGACGGAGCGAAGGATCTGGTGGGCTTTGACCGAAACTTCAATGTTATCATTTGTGTGCGCACTTCTTCGGGGTTTGAAATGGTGAGTGCTGAAAGGGATCCCTTCTACTGGGGGCCGCGGCAAAATGCAAGCTGCTTCTTGAAGTACGGTGACCGCTGCCCATGGGACAATGACTATCCTTTTGGCTGGTTTGGCATAATGGGGTTTCCTTCTTTTTTAGATTGGGACGGAGATGGAGATGTCGACATGCTCAGAATCAATGCAGCCAACCAGGTGGGGTCCCAAGAAGGATTTCGTCTCATGAGCTGAGCGAACCGGCAAGGTCGGTGTGGGTGTTGTATGTTCCTTTTTGTTCGTTGGGGCGGACATTTCCATGGCGCCAAGAGATTTGAACAAACGTGATTGCGGCAAGCTGTTCGTGGTGGATATATATATATATATTTTTCTCCCACACACACATATATATATAATCACACACACACATATATATATATACACACGTCGTTTTTTTTTGTATATATGTATTTAACTCGAGTGACCTGCGACGCTGGTACCAAAAATGGGCGCAAGATGCAACATGGAATCTCAACATACCAGCAAAAGAACGTTTCTTTAGAGTTGTTTTTTAGATAAATATATCCTTCCAAACATTGCATGCATGTATAGACAAAGTTATAGTGAAAGTTATAATTTTCATTTACACACCAAATGAGCTTTATTTACACGTGTTCTATATATACATACTAATGTCGATAGATGCATGCAGCACACGGTAAATTCAATGCAGGTCAAAGTTCAAAGAGAAAAAAAAAAACAACGAAAATTACTTTCCTCGAGTAATCTCCACCACCTGACATTCTATTCGACATGAATTCTGATATTCTATCTGGCATTTTATCTGGCATTCTGAGTGAGAGACAGACAGACAGACAGACAGAAGGAAGCTGGTGACCATGGCATTCCCCAAGTTGAAGGAATAATCAAGGAGTCTACAACGTTCAAAAAGAAGCACCGGCCGCGCCTCCGTTCTTTGAGCCCCTTTTTGGAAAACATGCAAACGAAAGCGTTGGGGGCGTTGGAAAATGAAAAGCATCCGACCGCGCCCGTTTTGGGCAATTAAACACCCCTCTCACCCCACTCTGTTTTCGGGAATTGTTGTCCCAGGTCACTCCTTTTCCCTTTGAAACTTTGTTTTCAATTGCTGGGCGCATGCTACTCTGGAACACCGCATCCCCTAAAAGAAAACTATTCCCGTAGAACGCGGGACTCTTACAAGCATAGGAAGTGGACTGCGCGCTCTAGAGGGAACCAGTTTTTTTTGGTGATTTCAAGTTTGATCAAGGCGCTGTGTCGGCCTGTTGCACTGTGTCGTTTACCGAGAAACTTGAAATGCAGCCAGAATCAGCCAGATATCTTATTGCCCACATGTCCCATAAAGATTCTTGCTGTTCCATTTTGTTTAAGACGATTGGTGCCACCCAGTCAGCCAATCCCATGATGTCAACTCGAAAGGTTTATTTGTATGAGCAGCTGCCGAACTACACTTTTTTCCCGCAACCTTTGGCGGTTCCGAATGCCCGCGACTACGTGGCGGCAGATTTCGATGGAGATGGTGATATTGATGTGATGATCTCCTTACACAAGTCGAACCAGCGGTTGTATTTTGAACGCCGCAGCGACGGAACGCTGGACCAGCTGTATGACACCGATAACCCATTCAACGCCATTGGCCAGACCACTCATGATGATTCGTACCTTGGTGAAACAAACGCTCAGAGAGCTCCTATTCAGTGGGCACGATCCACTCTGGGTGATTGGAATGGAGATGGTGATGTAGACCTGGTGGTGGTGGATGAGTCCAAGGTGAGTCTGTGGATAAATCAACGGATGGAGGCTTTCGCTGAAGTTTCTGGAAGCGAAAACCCATTTGGACCGCTGGGGTTTCCCATGGAAACGGTGGTGGGCGTGGTGAACACCACGAGAGGTCAGAAATTGGACCTGGTGGTTCCACATTTTTACGAAGTGCCAGGCCCTGCTGTCAAAAATGGAAGCTATGGCTATTTCCAGCAGCAGATGAGTGGAGAGCTTTTAGAACAGCATGGTGCCAAGAACCCCTTTGATGGTTTGGAGTTTGCCGATTGGAGGCTGGCCTATAGAGCCGTGGTCAAGTCCTTGGTGGTTGACTTTGACGGAGATGGCGACTTGGACATCATCAGTGGAGAACTGGCCTACCGACGGAATGATGCCGGGCACTTCAAGGTTGTGTTGCCTGAGGATCCTGCCTATCCTTTCCGCGGGATCTTTGACAACAAGCACTCGCAGTGGACCTTCGTGGACTGGGATCACGATGGCGACCTCGACTTTGTGCAGGCCTTCATGCCGCTGCAAACCATTGAGCTCCGCCGCTGGGCGCTTGGGGAGATCCTGGAGATGAAGAGGAATGGGACCAGCCAAGCAGAGATTAACGCCTGGATGCAGAAAGTGATGGGTGCCGAGCTACGCTTCTACCGCCAGGATGGAGATGGACGTACTAACATCAGCTGGACTGAGCTCGCAGGGACAGCCAACCCTTTTCATCACATCGGTGGCCTGGGGGTCGACTTTGCGTGCCCGGCTGTGGTCGATTTGGATGGTGATGGTGATTGGGAGTTGGTAGTGGCCACAAAAGACGGTAGCTTAACACAACATGTGTGGAGAAGTTGAAGTTTTCGAGCATACATTTGCACACAGGTTTAAAGATTGCCGAAGGAAGTTTAGAAGTCAAACTTCCGACAATATGGACAGATGAAAAGCAGAGATGGGAAGAGTCAGCGAAGAGAAAAGAAGAAAGAAGATCAAACAAGAGAAAGTCTCAGAAGAAAGAAGATCCAGGTGCGCGAAAAGGTAGGAAAGTCGCGAAACACTGTGTTTTTCCAATGATTTGTGGCTCCGGAGGGTCGAAAAGTATGTGGAGCCATCTGGCCAGATGAGAGATGAAAAAGTGCACGCCGTAGTGGCGCGAAGCACATTTGCAAGTGAAAACGCTAAAAACACCCCACGTTCGGACCACTTTTTGAAGTTGAGATGTCGAAAAAGTGCACGCCGTTGTGGCACGAAGCACATTTCGAAGTCAAAATGTACAAAACTCACCATTCTCGGACCACTTTTGGAAGTTGAGATGTTGAAAAAGTGCACGCGGTTGTGGCGGGAAGCACGTTTCGAAGTCAAAATGGTCAAAGCACGAAAGTTCGGACCACTTTTGGACGTTCAGATGTCGTTTTGCGTGGCAGGCGCAAGGGATTGTGCACCTTGTCAAAAGTGAGCAAGACGTGAGGGTTTTGTAGCGTTTTCAACTACAACCACTACACCACACTACACTCCAATACACTACACTACAACGACAACTACACCTTCACTACATTCCACTGCGCTACACTACACTACACTCCACTACACTCCACTACACTCCACTACACTACACTACACTACACTACACTCAATTACACTCAATTACACTACACTACACTACACTACACTACACTACAACTACAACAATACTACATGTACACTACGCTACACTACACTACATTCCACTACACCACACTACACCACACTACATTACACTACGCTACACCCCACTACACTACACTACATTACACTACAACTACATTCCACTACACTACACTACATTGCACTACACTCGACTACACTACACTACACTACACTACACTACACTACACCACATTCCACTACACTACGCTACACTCCACTACACTCCACTGCACTCCACTACACTACACTCAATTACACTACATTACACTACACTACATTACACTACACTAACTACAACTACAACTACAACTACAATATTACATGTGCACTACGCTACACTACACCACACTAATTACACTACACTACATTACACTACACTCCACTACACTACACTACGCTGAATGACACTTCACCACACCTACAACCACAACCACAACTACAACTACAACTGCAACTGCAACTACACTACATTACATTACACTACTAATGACATTACACTACACCGCACTACATTACACTACATCACACTAACTACAACTACAACTACATAAGACTACACTACACTACGCTAATTACATTACACTGCACTGCGCTACACTACACTACACTACACTACACTACACTACACTACACCCCACTCCACTACACTACACTACACCTCACTACACTACACTCCACTACACTCCACTACAGTACACTACACTCAATTACACTACACTACACCACGCGACACTACACTACACTACACTCCACTGCACTGCACTACAGTACACTACACTACACTAACTACAGCTACAACTACAACTGCAACTACAACTGCAACTACAATACATTACAAATCACTACACTACACTACAACTACAACCACATCTACAATTACAACTGCACTACACTAATTGCATTACACTACGCTACACAACACACCACACAACACACTACACTACACACTACACAACACACTACACAACACACTACACTACACACTACACTACACGACACGGCACTACACTACACTAATTGCATGACACTACGCTACGCTACGCTACACTACACTGCACTACACTACCCTACACCACACTACAACACACCACACCACACTGCACTCAATTGCACTACACTACACTACCCTACCCAACATTGCATTACCTTACCTTACAATACACTCATTACACTACACCATAACTACAACTCCACTACACTACAACTACAACTACAGCTGCACTACACCACACTACATCCAGCAGTTGTAGGTGAGGTGACCGACCAGGTGACCACTGCAACCATTGCAGCCACTCCAAAAAACACAGCTCCAACCACCTTTCGGTCCATCAGTGGATTCGCTCTGCCATCCGTGATTAACAACAACCAATCTCTCCTATAGGTTTCCTATTTTTGAAACTTCCGCCACCGCCTTGTGCGGCACTACTGGTAATCGACACCTGCAAGTCTAATTAAGTATAATTACCTGGCCTTGCGCTGAGTGCTAGTCGCCAGCCTCTGACTTGAGGCTTGCGATATTTCGAACAGATGGAGGGCGCCTTTCAGAAAGCAGCTTCCAATCCGTTCGCTGATGTGACCCCGCACATGACTGATGGTGCCTTATGTCCGGTGCCCATATTTGTAGATTGGGATGGTGATGGTTCCATTGACTTGGTGTTGACCGGAACCGACAAAGTCCAGTATTTCCAGCGGAGGGTTTGCATGCCATCCCTTCCATTTTGCCAACAGGGCAAATGCAATGAGCAGACCTCAACATGCGACTGGTTTCCAGCATTTTTTGTTTCCCCTCACTTCCGGGGATGGGGATGACACATAATGGTGCCTAGTGGCATCGATAGACTAACTTCTTTTTTTGGGGAATGGGTTGGGGCCACCAGGTGAATGCTTTCCTGGTGCTGAGGGCAGGGACTGCACCCTTTGTGGCGACTTCCACGTCCGTGCTGAGGGTCTTTGCCGGAAGTGTCCTGGTTGGGACTCGCCAGCAGGCACTTGCAGTCGCCGAGGCGGGGCCGCAAAGGCGATGCATCCCTGGTGTTTTACCATTAAAATATTCTGGACATCCAACACCCAAAGAGTTGATTGGAATGATACGGCCGATTTGAGCCGAATGGTGCGTCAAAAATAGAAGCCTCCTGCATTTTTTCTTTGAGAAGGACCCCAAAGATCACCAAAGACTTCATGATTGCTGCGGCCTTGGGAGGTATGTGTGACGATGATGCCGATGCAAGGAGCAAACGTTTGGCCTCAAACGCTTCCAAAGCAACGCCCGCAACAGGCAGTGGCAATTGCACTTGTTCGGAGCCATTCTATGGGGAAACGTGTGAACATGGCCTGTGTCCACCAGGGCAGCGGCTGGACCGAGACGCGCAGGTGGACATGCGCAGTAAAAAGTATCCAAAGTGGGAAGCTTGTGTCCCTTGCCAGTCTGGCAAAGTTAAGAATCATTCTGGAATTGAAGAGTGTTCAACCTGTCCTGGTGGCTACATCCCACTCAATGGCACCAGCTGTGTTGCATGTGAAGCGGGAACGACTCCATCACCAGATCACAACAACGAAATCTGCATGCCGTGCCCCATTGGCTCGGTGGCCGGCTCCGGCAATGCAAGTTGCACACCATGTGAGGCTGGTGAAGCGCCAAGCGAGGATCGAAGCCTTTGCATTCTCTGCGCGTCTGGCTCAGTTGCAAGGCACAACTGAGAGACGGGAGAGCAATTTGAGAAAGCCAATATTTTCATTTTTTTGCACGTTTTGTTACTTAAAATGTTGGCATTTCCTGCCGAAAAGCATTTTGTAGCCCTGTGAGGCCCCGCTCTGGCAAGTGCCGTGCATGCGGTGCAGGTTTTGTTCCAAACCAATGGAAGAGTGACTGCCAGCCGTGTACTGGACAGATGTATGCCTTGCCTGGTGATGATTTTTGCCAAGCGTGCGCTTTTCCATCGATGATTTTGGGAGAGGACAACTGGTGCACCCAGCTGTACACTTGGCTCTTCCTGTTGGCCTTCTTCCTTTTGGTGTTCTTAGTGTTGGCCGTCTTTGGACGGATGCGCCTGCACTGTTTGAAGAGACGCCTCAAGAAGATCACTGCAGCAAAGGATTGGGAGGAGTTGCATGCAACACAAGCCACTTCGTTGGAATACGGCCTCTGGAAGCGCAGAGCGAGTAGAGAGCTATCGGATCGAAAGCACGAAGTCAAGTCGCAGTCTTTCCAGCTCGGCATTTCCTTACAGTTCGTTTTTGAACAGCTTGAGGATGTTTACAAGGAGACAGCTGGAAAGGCAGAGTGGCGCCTTGACGAGTGGGGTCCCGTGACCAAGAGTGGCTACTTGGTGAAGGTCCGCAATTGTGGTATTCAACTTGATGACCCCATTGGTGCTTGGAATGCTTTGCCGATATGCGATTACCCAAAGGATCCCAATTTCCACCAGGTGGCAGGGGTTTTGGCATATGGCCCTTGGGCTTTGGGGAAGCACATGTGTTGCCCCCGTGACGGCCAGCCCGATTGCAGTATTGTGGACGCGCTACAAGCACAATCCAAGAGTGCGAAAGCAACATGGTTCCTCTCCTGGGTTTGGGGCTACAAGTTTTCAACCGTGTACAAGGCATTGGATTTCGGTGATACCACTGTAGACACGGCCTTCTGCAACCAATTGATGGTCATCGTTTTGGACCGAACGCCGCATATTCTTTAGAGCGACCCGATTCCTTCAGTGCGCGATACCAGTAGGTACTGAAACGATGTAGCTTATTGAACGAACGTCCAGGGGAAGGAAGGAAGGCAACCAGGAGAGAAGTGAGCAGGTGAGGTGAAGAGGAAGGGAGGAAGGGAAGAAAACAGACGCGCAGGAAAGGAACTCGCCGATTCACCATTTCATTTTGGATCCAACAATCACATCTACAACAATAGCATACATTTATATAATTTGATTGCCTCCATTTGGCACAGGTGCAAAAAGCAAAGGTGTAATTGTCAAATGAAGTTTCGAAGAGAAGCTCCTAGTTACTGAAGGTCTAGAAAAGTGAAAACCACAGTTACTCACCTTCAAATCATGTCAGCTTCACATCATGTCAACTTCACATTATTTCAACTTCGAACCATCTTAACTTCACAACATCTCAGCTTCACACCATCTCAACTTCACAGCATGTCAGCTGTGCTGTTGATATTGGACGTCAACTTGCTCTCACGGAAGTGAAGTAAGTAAGACGCCAAAAACCCAAAGCAGATCAAACCCTCAAACCCAGGGGAGCATGTTCCAGAAACGCTTTGTGCTGGCCACCTGACAATGAAAAGCATGACAGCCTCAGAGTGCTTCGCTAAAGTCGCATCAAAAGCATCTTTGCAATGACCTGTGACCGACCTCGCAGCTTCATGAGCTCGAGCATTCAGCTCAAAGCATGCGGCTGCAGGCATACCAGGAGGTCGCCAATTTACCCTCTTGCGATGCGACGGCGCCCAAAAAACCGAACCCGGGACAAGTGCAGATTGCAAGCAGGGGCTTGCGAGGGTTCCAGTGGCTGTGGGGTTTGCCCAACACCCACACAGCCCTGGACCTTGCACAATTCCCTTCAAAGGGCACCCCTTACAGGCATGGACATTGGGCAAACTTCGGGTGTCGGGGTGCTTTTTTTGGGGCCAGCTTTTCCTTTTTCCAAGACAAGGCAAGGGTGCATCCTTTGATGCCTTTTTTGCAGACAGAGAAGCTTCCATGGCTTTTTGGTACCTTGGAGACATCATCTCCATTTCTCACCACCGCAACATTACATCATCTCAGCATCGCATCATCCCAGCTTCGCCCAATCTCAACGTCACATACGGCGAAGATTTGAAGTGGTGTGAAAACATGCATATCACATCATATCACGATCGAAAGTTGCAACTGATGTACTGCATGTGCAAAGAACGGGCGCCGGGAATTCAACATTCTTGCGGAATACATGTCCAATCCATCATGCGATCACTCTGCATTTGCAGGTGGAGCATGCGAAGAACATCCAAGACACAGATCCACAGATTCCTGCATGAAGCTGGTTATTTTTTTTTGCTGGCGTGCAAGCTGACTTGGCTGAGCCTTGTGCAGCAAGTGCTCGAATTTCTGCCTGGTGCTGTGGCGTTGAAGATATCAAAAGAAAGAGATGCCAAAGAAAACGGATGACAGGATGGAGAGGTGCCAAGTGAAAGAGATGTCAAGACAAGGAGATGCCAACAGAAAGGTATGCCAAGGGAAAGGGTTGTCAAGAGAGAGTGGGAGAGAGAGAGGTCAAGAGAAAGAGGTGCCAAGGGAAAGAGGTGTCAGGAGAAAGAGATGTGAGAGAAACAGATTTCAAGAGAACAAATGTCAAGGAAAAGAGACGACAAGAGGAAGAGATGCCAAGGGAAAGGGATGTCAAGAGACAGCGAGATGCCAGGGGAAAGAGTTGACGGGAGGAAGAGATGCCAAGAGATAAGAGATAGTGGTGCCAAGGGAAAGATATGTGGACAGAAAGAGATGTCAGGAAAAAGAGATGTCAAGAGAATGAAATGTTTGGGCCTACTGGGCCTACTGTGTTGGAACCAGAGATCTGCCGGCGAGCCACGGCACGCTGTTTGTTTGGCAGCTCGCCCGGCTCCTTCAGGCAGAGTCTTTCCAGCAGTCCTGCAGGAACGCGCGTTATTGGAAACTTCCCCTGCCCGCTGTTGTGCGTGCTCTACTTGTAGCCAGACGATGCAAATGCAAAAGGCATGTGATGACCAAATGTTTCAATTTTCGTCAATATGCATCGTGTATCTTGTTCGCCAGGCGTTGGCCCGATGGTGGGAAAGACACAGGATCGTGTCCGGTGCTGGTTTGGAGGATGGCATCTACATGTGGTGGTGCGTCTTTGTGAACAACCAGTTCAGGATGTTGGAAGCTGGTCAAGTGGAAGAACCAGACGATTTGTTCGATGTCTTTGGCCAGCAGTTGCAGGGCATTGGCAAGATGCTCATGTGCTTAGACAAAATGCGCGGTGGCCAATACACTACCAGAATTTGGTGCATTTTTGAAGTATTTGTTGCGTGCCAAAGGCCGGGCCAAACCATCCCGGCTTTGTTGTATTGGTCCCTGGGACTAGTTGGTATTCCAGCGTTTCGGTGGGAGAACCAAGTAAAGGGACTGCACGGAGTTGTGGAATATTTCCTCAGAGTAACATCAACAGCAGCAGCAGCGGCAGCAACAACGTCATCATCAGCAAGAAACAGCAGCAGCATGCAGCAGCAACAACACGTTTCAATTTGGCCGGACCGCAGCAACTGCAGAAACCATAGCAACCACAGCAACAAAAGCAGAAACAGGAACAACTGCAAGGCAACAGCAAGACCAACAAAAAACAAGAAGAACAACGGGAAGAACAAGAACAACAACAACAACAACAACAAAAACAACCAACACATAAAAGAACATGTAACATAAACATCGGCAACAACAACAAGAACAACAAGAACAGGAGAACAACAAAAACAACAAACACAACAAAGACAACAAAAACAAAAAACAACGAAAACAACGAAAATAACACACACAACAAAAACAACAAAAACAACAAACACAACAAAGACAACAAAAACAACAAAAAACAACAAAAACAACAAAAACAACAAACAACAACAAAAAACAACAAAAAACAACAAACAACAAAAAGCAACAAAAAACAACAACAAAACAACAACACGACAAAACAACAACACAACACCAACACCAACACCAACACCACCACCACCACAACCACCACCACCACCACCACCACCAACAACAACAACAACAGCAACAGCAACAGCAACAGCAAGAGCAAGAGCAAGAGCAACAGCAACAGCAACAACAACAACAAAAACGACAGGAACAACAAGAACAACAAGAACAACAAGAGCAACAAAAACAAAAACAACAAAAACAACAATAACAAAAACCGAGACGACGACAACAACAACAGCAACAACAGCAACAACAGCAACAACAACAGCAACAACAGCAACAACAACGACAACAACAAGTTACAAAAACAAAAAACACAGACAAAACCACCTCAACCCCCACCACAACGCGTTTGAGGTTGTGCCGCCCAACTTGGCAGAACAAAGACTTTGCATGTCATACTTTAGGCCAGAACCTAGAATACCCAGATAGTTGTCAACCCCACTGGAGGTGCAGTTTTTTCTTCAGTCGTGATATGTTAGGGCCGGTTGAATTTATATACTGTAATTGAGGCGTAGGCGTAGGTGATGTGCAGGCGCAAGTTTCGGAGGTTCACCTGATTGAGCAGCCTTTACACTTTGGCGCATAGCTCTGACCAAAACAGCCTTGGAACATGGAAATGGGTTATAGACCTATGTTTCATAACTATGTTTCATATATTTTTTTTGTTTTCTGACATGAGTCCTTTTACCCTGGGAAAGGGGCTAGTATGGGCCGGCGGAATACAAAGATTTCAACGATGATACCCAAAGCTGTGAATACTATGCATGGTACACAGGTTCCGCAAACAAATTACTTTATTCGAGTGACTTCCACCAACTGATATTCTATCTGACAGGTATTCTGACAATATATCTGGCATTCTATTTGACATATCCTGACATCAGTTGGCATACATATTCTGACATTCCATCCGGCATTCTGTTTGGCATTTTTATCTGATATATATATATATATATTTGACATTTCATCAGGCATTCTATCAAACATTTCTTTTGACATTCTATCTGAAATTCTGGTTGACATTCTATGTGACATCTTGCGTTCGCAATTGAGGTCCTGCAGTGCCCACTGAGGTCTGGCTCTCGTAGTTGGGGTCCGGCACTGCGTTCGCGGTTGGGGTCCGGCAGTGCCCACTGAGAACTGGCGCTCTCGGCTAAGGTTGGGGTCCGGCAGTGCCCACTGAGATCTGGCGCTCGCGGTTGAGGTTCGGCAGTGCCCACTGACATTTGCAGCGCCCACTGAGATCTTGCGGCCGCAGGTGGGGCCTGGGAGTGCCCACTGGGAACTGGAGCTCGCAGTTGAGGCCTGGCGGAGGCAAAGGTGAAGGTGGAGGTGAAGGCGGAGGTGTCTGATAAAACCTAGGGACCCTCACCTGGCAAGTGGGGAAGAACATGTTTTGCACTAAACAAAACCCATTGGTCCTTCAGACATGCAGATGCGCAAAGAAAATCATTGGAGGGATCGTTGAAACAGACCATGATGAACCCATGGAAAAATCAGCAAATCCAATACGTGCAGCATAAAATGTATACAGTATACAGTGCGTTACCCTTGTCCCTATTTTTTTGCATTGGAATGAAAACATGCTGCCCCGGCCTTTGCAGCAAAAAACATGGAGAGGAGCATTCCAACCACGGTGATCCTTCCCGAGCTGGAGGTGGGTGCGATTGCATCTTTGGAGGACGCGTTCAGCATTCTATCCTTCACATGGACCTGTTTCTAGCTGCGGGGAACAACCAAAATCCACCCACATCTTCACAGTGGTCTCGAATGAACTGCAACTAGTTGGCGGCAAATCTCCGGTGAATGCAAGGTCAGGACAACTGAACCAGGGTAAGGAAAACAGAACCAAGATCAGGATTATTTTTTTTCTCAGAGCAGCGTCTTCTGAAACTTTGGCAGGAGTTGACCCATGAATGCCGAGTTGATGCTGAGCAGGCCCCAAACCAGTTTTATTTTTTTTTCCCCCTCCCCGAAGCAGCCGACACCTTTGACTTTGAGAGTCCCCAAAATCTAGCGGCTGCCTTTGCGTAGTGAATTTGTTGACAGGCGAAAGCTTCCGTCCAAGCGGATGCTGATGCCATTAAAGATCACATCAAACAGAAACACCAGTCCTTTGAGTACGTGAATCGAACAGTGGAACATGCGCTGTGGTGTGAAGTCATCGAATTTTTGGAGAGCAGCAAGAAAGGAGGCGCTGGCCGACCCAGCCAGTTGGGCCCTGGGAGCACGTCGACGGGGCCGCCCACCAGTGGCCCGGCCGAGTCGACCATGTCGGAGTCCATGGCCACAGATATGGCAGCGGAACATGGGAAGTGCAACCTTCAATGAAAATTCCAATGGAATTTGTGTGGCAAATCGGCTCCCACTAAATCACTAGGTCCAGCTGTCTCCATTGGGATGCAAAGTTTTGGAACTGTTTTGTCTAGTGACTAGTGCTTGCGTAGTGTGGATGCCACATGGCATTTGGCATGCACAGGTTTAATCAGTAGCATGTTGTCTTACATGACACGGCCGTGCACAAGTACACGGCCATACTCGGCCAAAATACGGTCTCAAAAATAGAAACTTTGATGATAACTTCACCCCATGTCGTTTTATTCCCATCGTTCAACTTGTTTTGACCGTCGTTTTATTCAAAGCGTGTCATGGCCAAACTAGTCCGACGCACCTGTGATGGGATCAATGCAGCGGCCAGGGCTCTTTGTGGAGCTTCTGGGTCATTCCATGGATGGCCATCAGCCAGGCATCCAGGAAGGCCAACTCTTCACCATTTTGGAACTGGGTGGTCCTTCCCTGGAGACTTGCTGTGGATGGAGGGTGAAACCATTGTGAAACTGTATGACACTTTCATTTTTTTTTGCTTGCTTTCCTCGTGTATAGGGTTGTACTAAGGGATTTACGATATTTAAGGCTTCCTAGTGTTTTTCGACCCACGAGTCGACATGGGTCAGCTGAATCAACTCAGCAGATCTCAGCAGATCTCAGATCTCGAGCCAGCTGGGCAAGCTGAAGTCCATAAGATCCGCATCCGTAAGATTCCGTAAGTACCCATCCATATCCAACCATGAACTATCTGATTTTTTTAAAGATGCCATGAGTATCACAAAAGAATACAAAAGATCATACCACAAATTCCACCAATCCCAAGAATCCATCGGTTTCTTTGTCTCATTTTGTTTCCCACTTGATTGGCTTTATATATGATTTGAATTGATTTGATGAGATGTTATGATGGATTTTCATGGATTTTCTGGATCTTACCATTCTTTTGAATTTCTGATGGATTTCCTGGATCTTACATGACCTTACTACCTTTTTCATCAACTTCCTTGGGTCCCAAGCCGTTCCTGGACCAAGGAGGACAGCCTTGCAGCGCGCCTGGGACACCGGGACCTCTTGGCGCTGCCGGAGCTCAGAGAGTTGAGCTGGGCGCTGGCGTCCATTTTGTGGCGGCGACCTGGTGGATCTACCCTCTGGTTATGTCAAAATAGCTATTGAAAATGACCATTAATAGTGGATTTTCCCATTAAAAATTGTGATTTTCAATAGCTATTTTGACATAACCAGAGGGTAACCATTATAGGATTGATTCGGATTGATGGAAGATTTGTGCAAAACTGATTGATGGAGGATCGGAGGATCTAACCATTCAGAAAACATCAGAATTTATGGGGTTGTGGAGAACTGATGAAGACAATTTGGAGGATTTTATGCATTTATGGAGGATCTATGGGGGGTTGATGCGGGGATTTATGGGGATATGGGGACTTAGAATGGTTGATAAGTTGATTGCGCAGTTTCTGTGACATTTGCTGACGATGTGGGAGAAGATATCGGAGATATAGTGGGAGGGTTGATGGAATCCTGGCCCATTTTTTCTTTCTCACATGGCTGGATGGCTGGCCAACAGAAGCTATATGGAAGAACAGGAATCAAGAAACCGTGGCTTGAACACAGCCAGCCAGTTTGGACTGCCAGAGGGTGTAGGCATGGTGGATTTAGTGCTTCCTGGTCCCATGCGGAGAGTGATCAACCAGGATGAGAATCCCGTTGACAGCTGGTTCAACTGATCTACGCTGCACCATAGGTTGCAGTCACTTCAGCTGGTGCATCTGGACATCAAACCATCGAATCTGGTCTGCTTTCAGCATGGAGGCCGGTTGGTCTTGTTCACAACTGGATGGCTAGACAACCTATTGACGAAAGATTGTAGATGCAACTGCCAATGCCCGATTCGCCGCAGGCAAATCTCAGTGGAAATTGATCGATCTGGAACTGCGCTTAGCTTTAGAGTCAGCACAGTCGTGAAACAGACGAAGTCAACGTCTACTGAGGGGACGTGGTCTCAAAAATTATTCGGAGAAACGTTTCATTTCTTCACAGTCTTGTTTCTGACGGGCAGCTTTAGCTGTGCGGGTTGAAGAATTGGCCTTGCAAGTTGCAACATTGTAGGGCTAGTGACTCATCGGTAGAGATGAACACGCCTTGCTTTTGGAATATACATGGCCTCAAGATAGTCATGTACCGTACGCATCTATATGCACATCCATGTACCTCTCTATACAAAGAGGTATGCACACTCTTATCCATCCATCCCTCCATCCATCCATCCCTCCCTCACTCCCATGCATCCACGCACATTCACACACACACACATACATACACATCCATACACACACATGCATAAACATGTGCAGTATACACTATACACAAACATACATACACATGCACACACGCACACATACACATGCACACACACACACACACACACACACCCCCCCACGCACACACACACACACACACCCACACACACACACACGCACACACACACATGTACATGCATTGCATTGCATTGCGTTGCGTTGCGTTGCATTGCATTGCATTACATTACATTACATACATACACGCACACAGATTGAACAATTCTACAGTATAAACACATACATCACACACACACACACCAATACGTTTGTGCAATATACACACATAATTATATATATATATAGACGCACATTATAAATATGTTTGTGCAATATATACACATAATTATATATATATATAGACGCGCATTATATTGCATAATACATTTGCAAAATATCAGTGTGACATAGCGTGCCAATAGGTGTATATAGGTTATACATGGTTATACATCATTAGCAAATCATCTTCAAATCCCCAAGTCGTTGCTCCAAGGATTGCGTGAGTTCCACGGAGGCCACGGCGCGTTTCGGGGACATCACCTTCACCCCCGCCTACATGGCGCCAGAGCTGGCACGCGCTTATCTACACGCGGGTCCGGGGCGAGCACAACGCTGCCCGGTGACATGGACTGCACCGGAAGCGGGGGGATGTGGTCTGGGTATGTCACGGTATGTCGGTATGGAAACACTCAAGGAATTGAGGCATTTGAGATGCTGAGATGAGTCTTATGAGGGATGTATGCTTGCTGATGTTCGGCCTTGATTTTCATCTTAATCTTTTGGATATTCACGAAAGCCAGCGGCTAGGCTAGGCGAAGTTTTTTTTGCGAACAAAGTGAGTTTACCTAACGGATCAAAAATCACGAAATTAGGTGGTAAAAAAGGTGGACCGAGGTGAACTTTTTCAGGGGTATGTACCAGGTGGCAATTGGGTGACGGTGGGGTATCGATTCCCCCCTGGTCCGTCCTCTGATCTGGACTTGGGGGGACTGCAATGGAGGGGAAAATGATGAGAAAAACAATGGAAAAAATGAGGGAATATCACATAAAACAATGGGAAAACAATGGAAAAATTGAGTAGAACGCTTGGAAAATGATGCCAAGCAAAATAAAAGTAAAAGGATGGAAATTGATGGGGTGGAAAAACAATGGAAAAATTGAGGCTCCGATGTGGGACCATTATATGTGCAAGAAGAGTTTCTGGGTGAAGAGTCTCTAGGTGAAAAGTATATGGGTGAAAAGTATGTGCAAGAAGAGTTTCTGGGTGAAGAGTCTCTGGGTGAAAAGTATATGGGTGAAAAGTATGTGCAAGAAGAGTTTCTGGGTGAAGAGTCTCTGGGTGAAAAGTATATGGGTGAAAAGTATGTGCAAGAAGAGTTTTTGGGTGAAGAGTCTCTGGGTGAAAAGTATATGGGTGAAAAGTATGTGCAAGAAGAGTCTCTGGGTGAAAAGTATATGGGTAAAAAGTATATGGGTGAAAAGTAAAATTGAGGCTCCGATGTGGGACCATTATATGTGCAAGAAGAGTTTCTGGGTGAAGAGTCTCTGGGTGAAAAGTATATTGGTGAAAAGTATGTGCAAGAAGAGTCTCTGGGTGAAAAGTATATGGGTGAAAAGTATGTGCAAGAAGGGTTTCTGGGTGAAGAGTCTCTGGGTGAAAAGTATAAGGGTGAAAAGTATGTGCAAGAAGAGTTTCTGGGTGAAGAGTCTCTGGGTGAAAAGTATGTGGGTGAAAAGTATTTGCAAGAAGAGTTTCTGGGTGAAGAGTCTCTGGGTGAAAAGTATATGGGTGAAAAGTATGTGCAAGAAGAGTTTCTGGGTGAAGAGTCTATGGGTGAAAAGTATATGGGTGAAAAGTATGTGCAAGAAGAGTTTCTGGGTGAAGAGTCTCTGGGTTAAAAATATATGGGTGAAAAGTATGTGCAAGAAGAGTTTCTGGGTGAAGAGTCTCTGGGTGAAAAAGAAGAGTTTCTGGGTGAAGAGTCTCTGGGTGAAAAGTATATGGGTGAAAAGTATGTGCAAGAAGAGTTTCTGGGTGAAGAGTTTCTGGGTGAAAAGTATATGGGTGAAATGTATGTGCAAGAAGAGTTTCTTGGTGAAGAGTCTCTGGGTGAAAAGTATATGGGTGAAAAGTATGTGCAAGAAGAGTTTCTGGGTGAAGAGTCTCTGTGAAAAGTATATGGGTAAAAAGTATATGGGTGAAAAGTATGTGCACGAAGAGTTTCTGGGTGAAGAGTCTCTGGGTGAAAAGTCTGTGCAAGAAGAATTTCTGGGTGAAGAATCTCTGGGTGAAAAGTATATGGGTGACATGTATGTGCAAGAAGAGTTTCTGGGTGAAGAGTCTCTGGGTGAAAAGTATCTGGGTGAAAAGTATGTGCAAGAAGAGTTTCTGGGTGAAAAGTCTCTGGGTAAAAAGTATATGGGTGAAAAGTATGTGCACGAAGAGTTTCTGGGTGAAGAGTCTCTGCGTAAAAAGTATATGGGCGAAAAGTATGTGCAAGAAGAGTTTCTGGGTGAAGAATCTCTGGGTGAAAAGTCTGTGCAAGAAGAGTTTCTGGGTGAAAATTATATGGGTGAAATGTATATGCAAGAAAAAAAATCTGGGTGAAGAGTCTCTGGGTAAAAAGTATATGGGTGAAAAGTCTGTGCAAAAAGAGTTTCTGGTGAAGAATCTCTGGGTGAAAAGTATATGGGTGAGATGTACTGAAGAGTCTCTGGGTGAAAAGTATGGTGGAAAATAGGGGTAGATGGGATGCTGGCTTTCGTTCCCCCCTTCTCAGGTTTTTTTTGCTCTGTTTGTAATTGTGACGGCTTTTAGCATTGGAGTACCTGAAATTGACCATCAGAAGACGGATAGCACAGACATGACGACGAAGGACCGACGACCAAGATTGTGAATGGAATGTATAGTCACTGTATAGTCACTATAATGTGACCATTAGGATATGCTGATATGTTAGTGTTAGATGGAATGTAGAACATATGACCACTGGCATTTGTTGTTGTCAGGGTCTTTTAAACCTCAAAATTCCACAGGACGGTCCTTCCAGCATGAGCCATCGATAGCCATCTCATGTCTTGGGCATCCAATTTTAAGCCATGCAGATTTTGACTCATTGGGATGCCTTAATTCATGAGGAAAACTGAGATCGTCGCTGGAGGTCATTCTGAGTCCTGCCATGGATCTTTGGAGCGCTGGAGTGTGTGCACTTGAAGCAGTGGTCCTGTCATCCCCCCTGCATGACCGATATTTGAAGCTTCAAGGGCAGCCCCTTGGAGCAACCGGAGCGATCCAAAAGGATGGCTGGGATCACGAAATTAAAGCCCTTGGCCCTTAGCTGTTGACCTCACAACCCATGACATCTCCTGATCCGTCAATCAATGCTGACAATGTACCTCTGACTGCGGTATTTCTTCACCTGCCAGAAACAGAGGAGGACACAAGCGCTGTGAGGGTCGTAGAAAATAGCTAGGACTACAATGGACTACATAATATTAGCACAAGCATTACGGAGTGACCCTTCCATGTCGAACAAGGCAACGTACGACCAACCTTGTTCGAGGCTTATTTTCTTGCTGAAAATTGGGATTCTACACTTCTTGGTTTCTGCAATTTCCCGAGGAACACGCACTCTGGTGATCTATATAACAATAACATGGCAATGATCTGGAGGATAACACAAACACCCCCAGTTTTGGTGATGACATGCCATTTCATGATGTCAAAATATCCCCTCGTACCTATCCAAGAATCATCTCATGTAAGTAGACGACCTCCTGTAATTCAAGCTGACAACAGGAAATCCCAACTCCCTTTAACTTCAAAAACCAAACTATCTATATACACATGATGAATGCCCTTTCATCCTATTTCCATGTTTGATGACCAGAAAATATTGCCGTTTGATAGCTCGAAATGTCGGTTGATCCACCATTCTTCTCCCACTATGAGCCACAACAATCAGAAACGATGAGAATTATCCCATGGATCCGAATTCCTTTCGTCAACTGAGATATCAATTTTGTGTATGGTCTGTATGGTCTGTATATCAACCAGTCATGTAATAATTCCATATAATTCCCACATTGATTTACAATACCATCCTATGATATCCTAATACCCTCGAATATCTATTTTATCTTCAGCAATATCTCCATAAAGATGTGGTAACCATGATTGTTTTCCTCAAGAGATGGATGATGTGAGGATTCCAAAGCAGACTGACCAGCCTTCCGTTGGTCTGTCCGTACCTCAACGACTCGACCCATACCCGAATAGATCGGGATGGGTTTTGGAATGTTTTGGAATTTATATTATCATGAATTTGATCTTATTTAATCCATAATCCTATTATTTGATTCTGACATAGCTACGTAATTTGGCTATATCAACATAGATCTATGCAATCTGGCTATATCAACATATATCAAATATATCTGGTTTCATGTTTAACCACCTTTAACCCTCCATAAATATCCATTGGTCCAATGGGGAGAGATTTTTCCGCCATAACACAACCGCCTCAACCGCCTCGTCAAGGACGGGCAGCGACCACGAGTTTCTCAGCTGGTTGGGCTCCAAGGAGGCCTTGCTCTCGCAGGATGTCTGGGACTTCCTGCAGAAAAAACATCCGGTGCCTGGGAAGGTGAGATTTCTTGGGGATGGATGCTGGTAATATGTCACACACACACATATATATATATGATATACATATGTGTACATATCATAGTATGATACGTATCTGGATAGATGCTATTGGAAAGGTAGATACATAGAAAGAGTGAAGGATGTTGTTTTGCTTTTTTTTGGTTCTGGCGAGGCAAGATCTCAGCACCTGCCTGGTGCCAAGGACATGCAGAGCCTTTTGGCGGGCATGCTGACAAAGGCCCAAGAAGTTGGAAGGGTTGGATGAGTTGAGTGGTAAGGCTGGCTTCAAGAGGTTACACGAACAGGCCATAACAGGACAAAAAGGCAATGGTTTTAAAGATCATTACCATTTGCCACAAGGGTCCTTGGAAGAGGCATGCGTGGGAGGGGAGGTGTCTTGAGTCTTGAGCTGGCAGGACGTTGCGACTAGATTCAAAGCGCGCGATTGCTTGATGCATGCGTTCTTCAAACCAATCCGCGAGGAGGCAGGAGACATTAGGAGACATCTGGCAGATTGCCTCCCAAGTGGCAACTGTACGTGAAGTGGCAAGCCACATGGCATACACAGTTGTATATATTTTGGTCATTTTGGTCTTTGCTTCTCAGTCTTGTCTTTGGGATTGACACATATCGACCCTCAACAGATCCAATAGAAACCGGGAGGCACGGAAGGCGCAGCCCGGTCGTTCGCACTCTATGCAGCTGCCAGATCATCACAGCCGACAGCGAGAGATGCCCAAAGTGCTTCATCCGCCACCAGTCGCGTCCGTCCCTGGGCTGCTGGTTTTTGGTAACTGAAAAAGGGGAACACTGGAATCACTTAAAAAAGATATATTTCGGTATGTACTTGCTTCTTAGATTATGACCCTCCACACGCTTTGAAAACTCTTAACATCTTTTAACTGTAAGATGTAGGTTCCTTCGCACCGGCTCACCTTGCATCTTGTCAGTGCGACCATTTTCCATGCCCTGCTGGTCATCCAGCTATGGGCAGACAGAGGTCAACTCGGAGCATGCCAGAATAGACCAACCACCCCCGCGGGAGATGCGAACGACCTCATCGACATGTGCGGCAATGTGAAAAAATGGGGCGACGAGAGCCGGTGGCTTCAGTTGAGTTTTTGGGCCCTTTCATATTATCAATACAATATCTATCAATTCAATTAATGGGTTCACAACATTAGACCGCACTAGGTCCCTGGGTCAAGTTGGCGGAATTGCGCCAGGCACCTGGATTCGGAGATCAGCGAAAGGCCATGTTGCAAGACTTGGCTTGGGAGCCTAGTGATGCCCAGTGCATCCTAGTGCCATCGTGGGAACCTGGAGGGCTCAGCCAAGTAATTTGGGATGTTGACCGTCACTTCTTGCTTAACCATCCCAAATGCAATTCACCAGCAACTACCCAATCTACCCAGTCATAACTAGATTCTTGTACATTCATCCATCTATTCATTCAGTTTTTTTTGGGGGGTTGACGTGGGCGATATGATGAGACTAAATGGGGCAATCGGTGGGCGCCTTAACAGCTGGGCCAGTGCTGGGATGACGAAAGGTGGCCGACCACAGACTGTTCTTGAGGCGGTGCTGTGTGGCGCGGAGCTGGTTAGTGAGGCTTGGTCCACCAGATTCGAGGCAAACTCAGTCAGGAATTGCTTGGAGCTTGTGGGTTGAAGATGGTGTGAATTACCCCACCTGAAAGGACAGTAAGTTCTGTGCCTTTTGAAGCTGCAAGCAAAGAAACTTGCGCAGGAGACGGGACGCAAACTTGACGAGACTTTTGATGTGGAATGGATGGGCACGGTGCTATCCTTGGTCCCGGGCAGCTGGTTAGATGGGGAGTCCATGGGACTCCCCATAGCCGTGACGCTATGGGACTCCATAGTTGGGTGTTCCATGGTATCGCTGGTCTCCCGAGGCAGAAACCATTACCGTCACCAAGGACGACACTGTGATCTTAGGTGGTGCAGGCAACAAGGATGACATCCAAGCCCGCACCGAGCAGATTGAGGCCTTATCAACGGGGTGGATGACCTAGTGACAGGAGGGGGGCAGTGGAACCTGACAGGCCATCATGGAGGGCACCACCTCTTCATACGAGAAAGACAAGCTGAAAGAGCGCAGCTGGCTGAGCTGTGCGTTGTGGGATCTTGTGGGGTTGTTTGAGTTGTTTGCCATCCTGCATGAATCGCGATTAATCGCGATTAGTTGAATCTGGGTGTGACTTGCTTTCAGATCTTTCAGGCCTCGCCAAACTCTCCGGTGGTGTGGCGGTCATCAAGGCGCAACCTAAACTATCAAGAAAATGATTTTGCTGCTTTTGCAGGCGTCTCATGCACGCTCAAACGTCAAATCCTAAGTGGGTTCTGATATGTTTTGATTCAACATGGCAGGTGGGTGGCGCATCTGAAGTGGAAGTTGGGGAAGTGAAGGACCGCTTGGACGATGCCTTGTGCGCTACACGCCTGGTGCCTCAGGGCACATGAGGTGCCCCCCACCATAGGTTTGGGATGGTTTCAGCCACCAGCTGGATGATCATCCGAGATCTCCCAATGTGTTTAGAAGTGGTGAGTAAGCATGGTGATCATTGTGGTACTGGTGAGTGAGGATTATCCCAGACCGAGGCGCGGCTGTGTCCGAGGGCATCGTGCCTGGTGGCGGCTCCGCACTACTCTACTGCCTGCATCTCAGGGAGGGTTGGGCGGGGGTGAGACAAGCGAAGGTTCTATATCGTGTGCGGCAGCACTTGCACAGCTAATACAGCTGATTTTGGAGTGGGCAGCATGCTATACAATGCTATACATGGTTTTTTTTGGGGCTGCACTGCGCATTGAATCTGAGCGTTCTAGTTTTCAAGCGGCAGCCATACACATTCAAGATCTTCAAGCCGCACAATCCGCGCGGCCGAAAACAGCTACCCAGTGATGATCCAGTGATCCACCGAGGCTCCCAAAAGCTGGAGGCAACAAATTGGGGCTTCATGAGGGGTTTCTATATGTTTCTATCAGCAATTCGCCATCCAATTCGCATCAAATGGACTGCGGTCACCGGGGCAGCCTGCACCATGGACAACTCACCGCCACAGACCCTTGACCTCGGAAACTTTGACCAGAACGTGGGCAAGGAAGGGAGATGTGCGCCCATAGCATGTACTGTGAAATACTGTGAAAAGATGCTTGCCTTCGGTGGCCTATGGTGGCCTATAGGTCAATCCCAACTTCAGGCTCGATTGAATAGGCTAAAAACCACCATTCCCTTCCCGAATCTGCAGGACATCGTGAAGCAAGCTCTGAAGGCTGGGGAACCTGTCAAGATCATCACGAGCATCAATACCCTTTGTGCGGAAAGTATGATGGGAACCTATGAGAACCTATGAGAATCAGAATCTATGAGAATCTATGAGATGTTTGTCTTGGCCATTCTGAGTGGTCACTGTGTCGCTTGGAGTCTCCAAATTTTGGTCGCTTGGAAGCGCTTACACACATACATACGTACATATGTACGTACATACCTACCATACCTACCTACGTACGTACCTATCTACCTACCTGCGTACGTACATACATGCACACATACAAACCCTAAAGGTGTCGTAGCCCTTCATACATTAAGTGCAACAATATAATTAGCATACGTATATAAACCCTAAAAATGTTGCAACAACAAAAAATATATAATAAACCCTTATAAAGGTGTCGTAGCCCTTCTTACATTAAGTGCAACAAGATTATAAACCCTAAAGGCGTCGTAGCCCTTCTTACATTAAGTGCAACAACACATAAACCCTAAAAGTGTCGCGGCCCTTGTAACATTGAGTGCAACAACACATAAACCCTAAAGGTGTCTTTGCCCTTCTTAGATTAAGTACTCGTACAACAACATACAAACTCTAAAGGCGTCGTAGCCCGCCTGGCATGAAGTGCAACAACATATAGACCCCAAGGGTGTCGTAGCCCTTCTTACATGAAGTGCAACGACATATAGACCCCGAAGGTGCCTTAGCCCTACTTACATTCACTGCAACAACACATAAACCCTAAAGGAGTCGTGGCCCTTCTTACATTAAGTGCAACAACACATAAACCCTAAAGGTGTCTTAGCCCTTCTTACATTAAGTGCAACAGCACATAAACCCTAAAGGTGTCTTAGTCCTTCTTACATTAAGTACAGCAACATACAAACCCTAAAGGCGTCGTAGGCCGTCTGGCATTAAGTGCAACAACATATAGACCCCAAGGGTGTCGTAGCCCTTCTTACATTAAGTGCAACAACATATAGACCCCAAAGGTGTCTTAGCCCTTCTTTCATTAAGTGCAACAACACAAAAACCCTAAAAGTGTAGTGGCCCTTCTTACATTGAGTACAACAACACATAAACCCTAAAGGTGTCTTGGTCCTTCTTACATTAAGTACAACAGCATACAAACTCTACAGGCGTCGTAGCCCGCCTGGCATTAAGTGCAACAACATATAGACCCCACAGGTGTCGTAGCCCTTCTTACATTAAGTGCCCAAAGGTGTCTTAGCCCTTCTTACATTCAGTGCAACAACACATAAACCCCAAAGGTGTCGTGGCCCTTCTTACATTCACTGCAACAACACATAAACCCTAAAGGTGTCGTGGTCCTTCTTACATTAAGTGCAACAACACATAAACCCTAAAGGTGTCTTAGCCCTTCTTACATTAAGTGCAACAGCACATAAACCCTAAAGGTGTCTTAGCCCTTCTTACATTAAGTGCAACAACACATAAACCCTAAAGGTGTCTCAGCCATTCTTACATTAAGTGCAACAGCACATAAACCCTAAAGGTGTCTTAGTCCTTCTTACATTAAGTACAACAACATACAAACTCTAAGGGCGTCGTAGCCCGTCTGGCATAAAGTGCAACAACAGATAGACCCCAAAGGTGTCTTGGCCCTTCTTACATTAAGTGCAACAACATATAGACCCCAAAGGTGTCTCAGCCCTTCTTGCATCAAGTGCAACAACATATAGGCCCCAAAGGTGTCTTAGCCCCTCTTACATTAAGTGCAACACATAAACCCTAAAGGTGTCGTGGCCCTTCTTACATTAAGTGCAACAACATATAGACCCCAAAGGTATCGTAGCCCTTCTTACATTAAGTGCAACAACATATAGACCCCAAAGGTGTCTTAGCCCCTCTTACAATTAAGTGCAACACATAAACCCTAAAGGTGTCGTGGCCCTTCTTACATTAAGTGCAACAACATACAAACTCTAAAGGCGTCGTAGCCCGTCTGGCATTAAGTGTAACAACACATCAACCCTAAAGGTGTCGTAGTCCTTCTTACATTAAGTGCAACAACATATAGACCCCAAAGGTGTCTTGGCCCTTCTGACATTAAGTGCAACAACAGACAAACTCTAAAGGCGTCGTGGCCCTTCTTACATTAAGTGCAACAACATATAGACCCCAAAGGTGTCTTAGCCCTTCTTACATTAAGTGCAACAACACACTGAACCCTAGAATTAAGTGCGACATACAAACTCCAATGGTGCGTTGCCCATCTGACATCAAGTCATGGTTGCAAGTGGGTGGAATCTTGTGGTTTAAGGTCTCTTGGTGGTTCCAAGGGACCCCTTGCTATTCCGAGTCTCAAGCCCCGCTCTCGCGTCAAGGTGCCCATCATGGCCATCACCCAGAACGCTGGCAAGGAGGGCTCTGTGATTGTGGAGTACTTGCTGAAGAGCCTTGTTAGAAGTTGGCCCAGTGAAACGCACCAGGAATTTAGGTGAATTTAGGGTAGACCAAGGATCTTTCTGATGTTTTCTTATCTACCCTTGAACCCTTGGATGTAAACCCACTATAGTTGTCTTGTTTTTAGGGGAACTCGGAAGCCCAACAAAAAAGCCCGATTCGCTGAGGAAGGGTGACACACAACTGGGCTACAATGCCTAGCCCTCGATCCACTTAGATCCACTGGATCCATAACGGATCCACTGGATCCATCGGGGGAACCGTAGATTCCGTGGATAGTACTGATTAGTACTGTATAATGTACTGTATACTGTATTATGATATATTATGATGAGTACTGATTATTATGCCATGTGAAAAATGACAGAATTCAAATTTCCCATTGCGGTGGGCATGTATTTTGCAAGGGACTTTGAAGATGAATCATATGAATCTCCAGACTGGAGTTGCTTGTCCCAGATTTCAGCTTTGTCCTAGGCTCAGACTCATGAATATGTGGACATGATCAGCAGCGGCATCATTGTGTTGGCCTCAGTCAGCATGGGTGTCAACATCCGCGGAAATAATTGCAGCTCCTCAGTCATCAGTAAAAGGGGATATGCTACTGTAGGAGCAGGTTTGTCCCAAGAATGGTCCTCACAGTGTTGTGCAAGGTTGATTCCCATTCCCCCAACTGCGGACTTTATCATGTTCCCAACGTTCCCGAGAATTACCTGCGATGATTTGATTGGCATATTTTGACTTGAATCACATTTGTCCTTTTCCTTTGCTGGCTGATGTACCCATTTTGGTAGGTTATAGGAGGTGATGATCGTATGAACAGGTCACCATCTATGCGATACGCTCTCGAAGCATCCCCATTCAATAGATAAGAAGTTGTATATATAGCCACAAAACATATCATTTTCAGCCACGGGGGTTGCAAGCTAAATATCATCCCTTCCTCCTTTTAATGAGAACGGACCTAGAAACATCAGCGGAATGTGGTGGATTTGTTGATTTTGGGTTTCATGATTAGTTTATATAATATACATTTCGATGAATTTTGATCCAATTTGTGGCAGGGTAGATGCCTGTTTCCATTGTTAATCCAATCTAAATCAGGAAGCAACTTCAAGATGTTCTTGTTCAATTCGCCATGTTTCGATATACTATCATCATTATTGTTACTCTTGTCATTACTCATCATCATCATCATCATCATCATTCTTCTTAGCATTATGTTCGTTCTTGATCATAAGAGCAGCAATACTTATTGATTATATAAATATATAATACATACATGCACATATTCTACAACTATTAATATAACTATTTACACTGTGAAATCCGTTGGGTCTGCGACGTCTGTGATGTCCGGGAGGATCCTACCCTGGTGGTTCGCAGTGCCCTTGCGGATGCCGCCTCGGTGGCGTCGCTGATGACCACCACGGAGTGTGTGGCGTGGGCCTTGGCTGTTTTTGGGGGGATCTCATGGGGATATCCTAGGGATATAATGAATCTATATGTATCTATATGAATCTATATGAATCTATATGAATCTATATGAATCTATATGAAGCTATGGGGATGTAAGAAGCAGTAAATCAATCAACGGTTGAGTTTGTCCAATAGCGGTTCGAGTCTTGACGGGTCCGCTTTGGCCAGTCATTGCAGTGAAAATGGCACTTTGTGCATGGGGAAAAGTATGATCAATCTTGGGTTGATATGAGAACAATTGGTTTGTCCAAAAATGGGTGATTTAACTGTCAGCAACTTGGGATTTGCAAGAATCGCACAAATTGAAACTATGTGGTTCTGTCCAAGAATATGGGGGCATAAGGCAGAAAACCGAACACAGTGGCGATATAATGGGGAGGGATTGGAGGTGGAGTGGCATTAAAGCTGATTGGAAGTTGAAGTAGGTTGGAAGTTGGTTTGGCCAGTGAAATCCATGACTGCCCTGAACCAGAACGGAAGAACCTTGGGCCTCCCCATGCGCTGAGGTGACGGAGATTCCCGAAGAGAAGAGCCCAGCTGGTGGCATGGGAGGCTTTATTTTCTACCAGTATTTGTTGATCCCCCAAACTAAGGCCACACGGCCCAAAAACATCCAAAAAAACATCTAACCCAAAGAATTTGGATCCACAAGATCAATGGAAAGAGAAACGGCGAAGAAATCAACCCTTCAGGAACTTCAGCCGTCCATTGTGATGCGTTCTGACAACGTTATCAACTTTGGATTTTAATTTCATTGAGTCATTGAGCCATTTTGGCCAGATGATGTGCTGAACTCTTGCAATCACGTCGTTCCTGTGCAGGTATGGATGGCATGGGTGGCATGGGCGGCATGGGTGGCATGGGTGGCATGGGCATGATGTAAGCCCTAAAACTCCTCCAGGCCACTCTGCCTATTTTTGGGCTTTCAGAAAGCCTTTTTTTGCCACTCTTGCAAATGATAATGCCTTTTGAATACACGGCGCGGGTCTTCCCTCGTGCTTGGACAGATTTGCCAATTTTCGCACTGGGACCGAAGCCAGTGAAATTGGCGCTGGGGAATGGGCTTTGGGCCCAGCGGTGACAGCTGATGCGGAACGGATTTTTGGAGCTCTCGGCAGCTGGCATTAATACTTTTCCGCGCTGCAGCATGCCAGAATGGCAGCTACCAGAGACACTTTAGCCTGGTGAGCTCTCTGCTCTCACCCTCCAACTGCTGAAATGACATGAAATGACACAAAATGAAATGAATCTTACTGCTGAAGCTGATGACTGCACTGCCTGCATCTTCGTGCAGCACCATAGACCTTTGGTCAGCAGCTGGAGAACGTCCAAGCCGACCTGGCTTGTTGACAAAAAACCCAACATTTTGTGGCCCAAAAAGACGTGCACTTTGCTGCAGCCTTGGCACAGTGCAAACACGGGGTACAAAATTTGAAAGGCTTATATATAGAAGCTTCGTCAATTGATTCAGATTTAACTATTACTATTTGAAGCAAATCATTTTGAACCACACGCATTTTTGTCGGATAGAAAATAACATGCTATTTTCGCGGGCTACTTCTATTTTAATTTCTTGTCTGATCACTGCTTTGATCAGCGGCCATTTGTGTCTGTCCAGAAACGGGGCGCCCCGAATTTAGTATTGTCAAAGGGAAACATGATGATCACTTGTTGAAGCGGCCACAATAGAGCTAAAGAGCATTAAAGAGCGGTATCCAGATTCCATAGCAATGAGGAGCCAAGGAGCGACTAAGAGATTCCCAATCACATGACGGAAACCATGGTCTACCCCATGAAACTTCCTGCAGATCCCAACTGCGCAGGAGAATGCCATGGGTTGCCGCGCTGGCAAGTCACCATGGCTCAGTTCAACCCCAAAGAAATGCCGGGTTTCACCAGGGTCCCAGCACTGGTTTCAGGGAAATATACAGGAAAAGCACGGAAAAACATTGCGTTTGATCAACAGTAGAAAACTCTAGCTTCCTGTAAACATCCCCCTAAACCAGCCCAACAAGTAGGATTGTCAGAGCCCAGAAGTGGTGAAATTTCGGGTGCTACAAAGCATCAACGGAAGGGCCGTTTTCTGGCAGCACAACTTGCGGTTTGGCAAGAAACATTTTGCTGAGCTCCGTGCTGTTCTTGGTGGCCCTGGCTGCTTTCAAATCCAATCGATCTGCGTGCAGGTTACGCGGTTGGTCCATGGTCCATCTCTCCACATTCACGCGCACATGCCTAGTTAGAGTCGACAATATGTCACACCTATGGAAAAAGATGAAACGCGCATATTGATAGATGATGTTAGATGATGATAGATGGACATTGAAATGCCAACCGTCCTGAACTAGACGCGGACCAATTCAATAGGACCATAGAATCACAGCTTGCCTGGTGCCCATGAGACTGTCTCCACCGGTACCTTCACGGCTTCAGTTTGGCTCAGGGATCGTGCAGTGGAGTTCTCCCGCTTTGGACTTTGGGGCGGCCATGGCGGAGGATTTCAGCCACAACCTGGAGAACATTCTCCACAGGATGAAAGTGGAGATCTTGAAAGAACATGAGCATGAGGTGCAGATAGCAAAGCTTCGAACCAAGGCTCTACTTGGTGCCCCGGCAGGTGAGTTTTGCACGAAAGGGATGGTGGAGGGCCTCACCTCTACCTCTTTTCTTCAACATTGGGTTGGCCCATGTTGGCCCTCCAAATCATTGGAATACCATTCGGACCATTCGTATCCTGCGTATTTTAACCACTGTGGGGGCAAATCCTTAAGGGTCCAACCAATCCTGAGGCAAGAGCGGAGATATGACCTTTGGGGTGCCGGCCGCACAGCAAGCCCACCAGGCGCGCAAGATGCTTCAGCGCATGAGAACTGCGGACCTGGAGAGGAAACAAGTGGTCTTTGATCGCCAAACCTCTGGCTCCAAAGACACCTCTTCCAAGGCAGATGGGACATTGGACGTGAGACATGGGAGATGCTCCAAACATGTACCATGGATGTACCAGTGTCATTCAATTCATTTCAATTCATTTCAATTCAATGTCTTAAGATACTTTTCTTGATGCTTTTCAATCTTTTCAGGAACCCGTCTGTGATCCCAAACATGTCCATCACCTGTGGCATCTTTTGGAATCTGGCATGATCCACGCAAGGAATCGAGGAATGATCACTGAGCAAACCCACGGTACATCAACTCACAAAGAAACACCCAAACCCAAAAACGCATGAGGTTGCCATCGTGGATTTATGGTGGATTTATGGCAAACCATACCAAATTGGGGCTATTTATTACCAGGTACACTGGTTCACCAGGTCAGATTCACCGCAACACAAAGCCTGCAAAGGGGTTTCCAAAAAGATTTCATATAATTTCCAGGTTTCCGACGTTTCCAACTATTTGGGGGATGATGATACTGGCAAAAAATCTAAGATTCCTGGAAAAAATCTAGGACCCTGGAAAAACATATAAATTTATATACTAGAAAATAATTTAAGGTTTCCCTGATCCTTTGGTCGCCTGGTCCCCTGGTCCCTCTGGTCCCCTGGTCCCTCTGGTCCCCTGGTCCTCTGGTCCCCTGGTTCCTTGGTCCCCTGGTCCCTTGGTCCCCTGGTTCCTTTTGGGTCCTCCGTTCCCTTGGTCCTCTGGTCCCCTGGTCCCTTACCCTCCTCATCCTGGTCCTTTACCCTTCTCATCCTTTGATCTCCGGAAGTAAGCCTTTCTGAGCCCGAAAGCAACCAAGAATAGGCCACAAACCAACCCTCAATAAAACCTAAACCAACCGTCCTACATAAAAATCCCTAAAACGCACTGAAAAAAGCAGCAAAAAAACATACAAATAACTCCAACTAAGCCCTAAAATGACACCTAAAAACCTGAACCAAAACTAAATAAACCTTAAAACACAATCAAACAAGCACCAAACCAACCATAATTCTGCACTATATAACACAACCGCGCCCATAAAGAAACACCAAAACAACCATAAATATACCCAAATTAAATCTTAAATAATGCAATCCAAATAAACCACCAGCAAAGCCCAAAGAAGCCATAAAATTATATAAGCCCTAAACCAGCACTAAACAAACCCATGCACTACATAACAACTAGACGACGGATGGCCCGAGAGCGTAGAGGAGCAGAGTCTTCTGTTGTTAGTGTGGAGACACTATATTACAAGACAATATATTAAAGATGTATTATAGGCAGACGAGACAATATATCACAAACACAAGACAATAGTTTGCATCGTATCTTTCGTAGAGTTTCTTCACACACAGAACTTTTCACAGACAGACGTTTTTGCACACAGAAACTTTTACACACAGACGCTTTTACACACAGACGTTTTTACACACAGACGCTTTTACACACAGACGCTTTTACACACAGACGCGTTTACACACAGACGCTTTTACACACAGACGCGTTTACACACAGCAGCATTTACACACAGAAGCTTTTACACACAGCAGCTTTTACACACACAGACGCTTTTACACACACAGACGCTTTTACACGCAGACCCTTTTAAACAAAGAAAAACTTTTACACACAGACGCTTTTACACACAGAGGCTTTTACACACAGACGCGTTTACACACAGCAGCATTTACACACAGAAGCTTTTACACACAGCAGCTTTTACACACACACACAGACGCTTTTACACACACAGACGCTTTTACACACAGACCCTTTTAAACAAAGAAAAGCTTTTACACACAGACGCTTTTACACACGGAAGCTTTTACACACAGACATTTTTACACACGGAAGTTTTTACGCATAGACACTTTTACACACATAGGTTTTTACACACGGGCGATTTTACACACAAACGCTTTTACGCACAGATGCTTTTGGACGCAAACACTTTTACATACAGACGCTTTTACACATAGAAGCTTTCACACACAGCGGCATTTACATACAGACATTTTTACACACAGACGCTTTTGACACACAGACACTTTGACACACAGACATTTTTACACAGACACTTTTACACACAGAGGCTTTTACACACAGACGCACACACGCACACAAAGAGGAAGACACATACACGCACACACACACACAGGCACAGACACACACGCACACAAAGAGACAGACACGGGACGCACAAACAAAGACACAGACAGGCACCAGGACACACACACACAGACACACACACACAACGAAGTCATCGTTGTCGTGGCCACCTCAGCAATCATTGTATGGGTTGACAGCGCCGAAGCCAGCGAGACACAGCTGAGATGGACAGAAGCTTTTACACACAGAGAGTTTTATACACAGACACTTTTACACACTTTTACACACAGAGACTTTTACACACATACGCTTTTACAGACAGACGCTTTTACAGACAGACGCTTTTACACAAACACCTCCACACGCAGAGACTCTTACACAGAGACGCTTTTACACACAGACACTTTTACACACAGACGCTTTTACACACAACAGCTTTTACACACAACAGCTTTTACACACAGACGCTTTTACACACAGACACTTTTACACACAGAAATTTTTACATACAAAAGCTTTTACACACAGACGCTTTTACACACAGAAGCTTTTACACACAGAAGCTTTTATGCACAGAGACCGGGCCCGTGAAATCGCAATTTTACCGCAGGTTTTGGCGATCGAACCTCATTTCGTGCGAAAGGGTTGCGCAGGACAACTTGCAAATCGCAGTTTCAGTTTTTGGCGATCGAACCTGATTTCATGCGAAAAGGTTCGCCGGACAACTTGGAAATCGTACTTTTACGGCGATCGAACCTCATTTTTGTGCGAAAGGGTTGCGCCGGACACCTACAAATCGCAATTTTACTTCAGTTTTTGCCGATCGAACCTCATTTCGTGCGAAAGGGTTCGCCGGACAATATGGAAATCGTACTTTTACCGCAGTTTTTGGCGATCGAACTTCATTTTGTGCGAAAGGGTTGCGCCCGGAAGCGAGAAATCGAAATTTTATTTCAGTTTTTGGCGATCGAACGTCATTTCGTGCGAAAGGGTTGCGTTTCGTGCCGTCACTGCCCCGCGCCTTCAAGAGAGAAATAGAAAAGAAGAAGAGGGCAAGAGAGAAAGAGGGCAAGAGAGCAAGAGGGCAAGATGTGAGGATGTGAAGATGAGAAGATGTGAAGATGAACAGATGTGAAGATGTGAGGATGTGAAGATGAGAAGATGAGCAGATGTGAAGATGAGAAGATGTGAGCATGTGAGGATGTGAAGATGTGAGGATGTGAGGATGAGAAGATGTGACGATGAGAAGATGTGAACATGTGAGGATGTGAAGATGATAAGATGTGAAGATGAGAAGATGTGAGGATGTCAAGATGTGAGGATGTGAAGATATGAAGATGAGACGATGTTTCATGAGAACATGTGAAGATGAGAAGATGTTTCACAGACCCCCACTATTAGAAGAACCCTGCGCTCAGACGCTCTCGGGAAAAACCGAAACAGACTTTAAAACTACCCCTGAACAAATTCTAAACCAACACTCAATAGATCCTAAAACAACCCGAAGGAAGCACCAAAGCAGCACTAAATTCACACCACAACAACTTTAAATTGACACCAAACAAACACAAACCCAAATCAATACTATAGCAAAAACCGAACTTTAAATACCATGCAAATTGCACAATTATATTCCAACACCCTGCAAATACTGTACAAATAAGAGATTTCCACTGCAAATAAAACTCAAAGATTCAAAGCCAAAACGCTTTAAATATCATGCAAAATGCATGTTTAAGTGCCCAAACCCTGCAATAGTGTACAAATAAGAGATTTCTGCTGCAGAAAGGTTCAAAGTACAGATTCTCATTCTTTTTTCCAGTGTCTTAAGTTTTTTTCCAGTGTGGAGGGTAGGGGTGAACCTGATTTTTTTTCCCAGTAGTCAAACGGTTTTTCCAGTGTCTGCCCACTATTCGGGGTTGCTAAAGTCTCATTTTTTGGCACCTTGAAGGCAGACATCAAAATCGCCACTGCTGATGATTTTGACCTGGAAACGTGGCCTTCGAGGATGGGGCGTTGTGTCACAGCAGGATTTAAGACGGAAGCTGTTATATGGATGATAAATCATATCAAAGCATATTATCAATTCACATCGAATCATATCAAATCTACATTTACTAAAAGTTTTCTTTGTGAAAGGTGTTGGGGGTCATTTCTTGTTGTTGTCAGTTCCGCGTTTGTCGCGCCACGGCTAAAGCGAAGCATTTCCACTTTGCTTTGCGTGGAGATGAATGGGCTCCATTCGCGGCGACGATGCCCATTGTCACTGCTTCAGTGGTCGGACATGTCAAAACAAGAGGCGCCAATTTAATGTCTTTTGCCTGTTCTGTCGATCTTTTCCCGACGCAGAGGTTTTAAACATGTCCATAGCAACATTCCTGTCCTGATTTTATAGGGTCATGTTTCTTCATGAGCCCAGGGCCCTGGTTTTACAGCAACATGATGCTGACATTACTTGCTATTGTCCACCCCAAAGCTTCGTAGAGTTTGAAGTTTGAAGAACGAACCTTGGGAACATTAGCACACTCCAAGGATGACTTTGGAGCCAACGTCGTTGGCCTGAGACGCCAATTTGGGAATTTAAATTCTACAGAGTAAAACTTGGGGTTGAAAAATCATCAACATCCACCAGTGGATACTTTGTTGTTTCCAAAAAGCAATTTGAACGTGGCCTATAAAATCGGGCTCTGGGAAACACCCGTAAAAAACAGCTATGCGTTTGACCCATTTTGAGTCCTATTACCTATTGAATTGGCACAAGTTGGTTTCTCAGCGGCCCCTTCTACACCCATCACCCTACCCTCTCTCTATATAAAAAATGGATTTGGATTTCTGAGAGTTATGACATTGCACCCTTTGACAAGCCAGTCAAAGGAACCTCTTTGGCTGGTGCCAATTTTATGGTGATGGTGTTTTGTCTCATGGCACACCCCCTCAAATCACCGGGGTGCGCAACTGGAGGTGCGACATTTATGGAGGGCCAAAAAGCAACAGTTCCACATTCTATAGATTATACATTTTAAATCACTAAGATATCTAAGCATCACCCCACTTCCACTACCCATGTGGCGCTTAGGAAACCATTTTTGCCTGCACTACAGAGTCCAGTGATTGTCCTCCACCACCTCCAGCAGTGCCAGAAGCCGCTGGAGCCAGTTAAATATGGGATACCAACCGGATATACATGTGTACACATATATATATATTTATACATACATATTTATACATATATTCATATTTATACATATATCCAATTAAATACAATTATATACAATTATATACAATTATAAGCCATTACGACGTATTCTCAAGAAACCTCCTACTTTCATAGACCGGGAACAGACCAACCTGAAGATGTATGATGAGATCAGACAGGAACATGGGTGCCATTTTGAACCTTTCGGAGACACTTGGAGAAAAAAGAAATTGAAACTTCTAGGGCACATGCTTAGAAGTAGCAGAGCTGACCCTTTGAACCAAGTCACGTTTGCAGCAGATGGACTTCGTCCCCGTTCGATAGACAAAAGGCGGCCAGGTAGACCCAGACTAGATTGGCTAACTGAAACATATAAAGACGCCTTCCAGCACATGTATGGCCACGATCAGTTTTTTGACCCTTCAGATCTTGAACACATGAATCGAGTCAAACAATGGGCTACACAACGGATTGGCCCTTTCTAAAGGGGGCAAGTCCCAGGCCACTGGCCTCTCAAGGTACTCTCGTGGTAATTTCATAAGTGCAGGTGTGGACGGCATTGTGAATTTATTTGAGGAGTTCTTTTTATTGGAAGGGTGTGGTGTCGGTTTGTACAGTCTCAGTTTTTACAATTTGTCCGTCGGGAGCCCATATGCTCGACCGAAAAATACAATTATAAGCAGTTATATACAATAAAATGCAATTATATACAATTATGTACAAGTACAAACAATTATTTACAATTATTTACAAGTATATGCATCTATGGAGTTTTATACATACATGCATGCATGCATGCACGCACGCACGCACGCACGCAGACATACATACATACATACATACATGCATACATACATACATACATACATACACACATACACACACATACATACATACATACATACATACATACATACATACATACATACGCATACATAAATAAATACATACATGCATACATAGAATTGTATACAATTATAGGCATTTATACATGTATACATATTTATACATATACACAATTATAAGAATTGATGCGGTTATATACATATTTACAACTATATACATATATACAATTATATTATATACATATACACAATTATATACAATTATAGACATATATGCAATTATATACATATATACAATAAAAGCAATTAAATGCAACTAAATACAGTTATATGCAATTAAATGCAATTATGCACAATTATATATATAAAAGCAATTACATACATATATACAGTTATTTACAAGTATATATGCATATTTACAATTATATACAATTATATGCATATATACAATTATATACATATATGCATTTATTTACATATATGCAATTATATACATATATTAAATTATATAAACATATACAAATATATACATATATACAATTATTTACATATCTACAATTATATACATATATATTAATATATATACAATTATACATATATACAATTATATACATATCCACAATTATCAACAATTATTTACATATATACAGCTATATACATACATACAACTACATACATATATACAATCATATACATATATGCAATTATATACATATAGACATATACAATTATAGATATATTCATTTATACATTTATAAATTTATACATTTATACATGCATACATACATGCATGCATGCATACATACATACAGTTGTATACACTTATTTACATTTATGCAATTATATACATAAAAACAATTATATACACACAATTATATACATACAAACAATGTTTTACATATACAAGTATATACATATATACAAATATATACTTATAAAATTATTTACATATATACAATACATATACATACATACAATTTTTATAATTATAAACATATGAGATGCGGTCAAAACAAGCGTAGACTACTTTAGTAAGGGAGAGTCCAGTTGTGTTGAGAAGTGCACCAAACCATGTAAAGCGATAGGCCCCCGCCAAACTTGGTGTAAACCAAGCAAATATTGTTGTGTGCCTTCACGCGATGGGCAAAATTAATGAAAAAAAATCAACCTGCAGTGCCCACGTTTCTTGCAATTGCCATACCATTTGTTGTCCAAGGTGATTGAACCGTTGCTTTCTGCAGGCAGTTGTTTTTTTCTCGCAGGTCCCAAAGCAGTAGAACTAAACTCAACTAAATGCAACTGAATTCTGAATTAGATTAACACATAGTTTTAGATCTAATTCTGAATTCCGTTTATGTGCTTTACTTTAATTTGAATTTCGTATTCCTTTGTTTCCTTTTCTTTGTCTTTCCTTCCTTTTTCCTTTTATTTTTTTAATTGCCCTTTTGTTCCACGTTCCTTTTTCTTTTCCTTTCTTGATCATCAAGGTGTTCTTTTTAGCGATAACCTTAGCGATAACCTTTTGTTGAAAAAGGACCCCCGGACGAGGGATAGACTCACTTGATCCCAACAAGAAGAACTCAACAAAAAAGTGAACAGGTTCTCAACCCTAGGCCATCAGGTTGTTTTGAGACTTGGGGAGCCTTAAGCACTTCTTCATAGCTACGAACGCTTCTTTATTGGAACTATGAGGTCCCATCTTCAATTTTTAAAGCTTTTGAGCACAGAAGTGTGGGGTTTTCTGACGCCATGGCTTATCAGAGAGGGACAATTGCGAGGTGACCCTTTTTCGTTTTGAATAGAATTAGTGATCTTACAACCGTTGGGAACCATTGATCTTCATTAATTTCAGAGTTGAGCTTGTAATACATGTCCTTCCTTAGGGAAGAGTCTAGGAATGTGCTTAGATAGCTCCCCAACATGGTTGCAAATGCAAAGACAATGAGCACCCCTTAATCCATTCCCAGCAGTTTAGAGATCTGAATCCGTGAAGCCAATTCCGCTGCATCTTTGCATTATTTAGTGTCGATTTGAACAAAACTGTAAAGCGATAGCCCCCCAAAAAAGCGATAACCTATATTTTCGTGCCAAGCATCAACAATTGATTTTGACGGCGTTTCATATATACAATTATATAATGCAATTGTATACATATATACACTTATATACATATATACAAGTCTCTGCATATATGCAATTGTATACATATATGCAATTGTATACATATATACAATTAAATACAATTATATACAATTATATGCAATTATATACAATTATATACATATACAAACATATATAGATATACACACATCTGTGTATATATATATATATATCTTTCTCAAAACTGGGCATCAATGTCTATCTGTCTATCTATCTATCTATCTATCTATATATATATTTAACACCTTGCAATTTTGGTCATGGGTGAAAAAGTGGGATGGTATGCAATGGTCCTCTTTTCGCATGACATAAATAGGATTTGCTTTTCTTATTTTTGAACCTATTTTGTGCGGCGTTTTGACACGTCCCATTCGAGCCGTGGGGAAGAGTTTAGGTGGCTGTCTTGGGCGTGTTTCCACCATGAAGAGGGATTGATGAAGGAAATCAGACAGTGAGGATTCTGCGGGGAGCAATCCCTCTTATAACATTCCTGAGCCCATCTAAACCATGGTTCCAATGAGGGTATTTGATGTAAAGTAGGAGGAAGATGGGGGAAGTGATTAGATGCTCTCGAAGCTCCAGCTCTGAGGATATTACTATAAGCCACTTGGAGCGGCAGTCAGTCCAGCAGGGGGCTTCCCTTGTTCTTGTTTTTTGGGCGCGCTCCTTCTCTAGGTACTTGTAGTATGCTCTCCACGGTGCTTTCTGCATCAGGGGCCAGGGGATGGTCATCAGCAATGTGCCAAAGGACCCCTCAATATCCTCAATCGGGCTAAAGGCTCCAAATGGAGGGATGATTCCCGAATGCGTAGCAAGGGTTCCCGTTTCACTCTGGGGGTCTGGGGGTTGAGGGTGTGTTCGCTCGACGTTGCCCAACCGTTCGCAACCGTCCGCTACCGTTCGCAACTGTTCGCGCGATCCCCGTATGGCCGTGCCTATGGTAAGTTCTGCAAAAGGGGTCACTTTTGGAGGTTTCACATGTGGCGTAAAGTCGTTTTGTGTGGCAGGCGCAATACTTTTGCGACGTTTTCAGAAGATGTGTTGCAGTTTTCGTGGCAGGCGCAGCACTTTGGAGGTGTCCATCGTCATTTTGCGTGGCAGGCGCAGCACTTTAGACGTGTCGTGTTGCGTGATTTTTGCAAATTGCATTGGCAGGGCTGCGTCAAGTGGCGACAAGGTGCAAATGTGATGAAAATTGACGGAAGCCTCGCACGAAACATCGATTTTGAGGTGGCAAATTTTCAGGTTCTAAGGAAAACTCGTAGGAACACATCGATAGCTACAAAGTGTGAAAATTGGAGGATGTCTCGCTCGTTTTGATGCTCCCACGTGTCTCGTCTCGAGTCTCTGGTTTTCCTGTGGCCTCGCCGTGTCTATGTGGGAAGCTGCAAAACCTATCCTTTTCGAAGGTTTCCAAGCAGGTTGCCTGTCGTTTTGCGTGGCAAGCGCGGCACTTTGTGACATTCCAACCTGGTTGATAACTCTACATTTAACACTCTACACTTTACACTCCACACTCCACACTTTGCACTCCATACTCTACACTCCCCACTTTACACGTTACACTCTACACTCCACACTTTACACTTTACACTCCGCACTTTACATTCCACATTTTACACTCTACACTTTACACTCCACACTTTACACTCCACGCTTTGCACTTGACACTTTACACTCCGCACTTTACACTGTACACTCCACACTCCACACTTTACACTCAATACTTTACACTTTACACTTTACACTCCTCACTCCACACTCCACACTTTACACTCCACGCTCTACACTCCACACTCCACTTTTCACACTTTACACTTGACACTCCACCCTCCACACTCTGCACTTTACACTCCACACTCCGCACTTTGCATTCCACATTTTACACTCTACACTTTACACTCCACACTCTACACTTTACACTCCGCACTTTACACTGTACACTCCACACTCTACACTCAATACTTTACACTTTACACTTTACACTCCTCACTCCTCACTCCACACTTTACACTCCACGCTCCACACTCTACACTCCACACTCCACACTTCACACTTTACACTTCACACTCCACCCTCGACACTCTGCACTTTACACTCCACACTCCGCACTTTACACTCCACACTCCACACTTTACACTCCACACTTTACACTTCAGACTCCACGCTCTACACTTTACACTCCACACTTTACACTTTACACTCCACACTTTACACTCCACACTCTACACTCCACACTTTACCACTTTACACTCCACACTTTACACTCCACACTCTACACTTTACGCTTTACACGTTGCACTCCATGCTCTTTACTTTTCACTCCGCGCTCTGCATTCTTTCACGTCTATGATGTTTCCCTATCTAAGCGTTTCGGAATCCGTACCATTATCATACGTGTGAGCATTCGGGTTCGTGGGTTGCATCTTGTTTTTCAAGCACCACTTTGCGACCACGAGCAAATCCGTTGTTGCTATGAGAGTCATTACAACCTGCGATCATTTGGTAGACCCAATGCCAAGCCATAGAAAGTACTCGATCTGACACCGATTAGAAGTTTTGGCGTGATGTTTCATACGCCTTCAACGCGGGTTTATCATTGTTCCCCCACAACAGAATGAGTTAAACTCGGGGAACCAAGCGGCCCACATAACATGCCTAGTCATTTTGAGGATCTGTATTCATCGATTCTTGGGGGTTGGTATATTATTTATATCTCCTGTGTCCTGATCCCTCTTGACCAAGATATGTGGGGATTGGGTTAGAAGCTGCCAGATCATGGATGGGTTTAAGGTGGTGTAAGACAACAAAAAAAAGATGTGTTTCTTTACATTTTAGGGTGTCTTAAACATTCTTAAACCAACAATATCCAACAATACCCAACAATACCCAACGATACCTCCAAATATGGTGGTTTCCTGTAGTTTTTCATTCCATGTTTTTCCAAGTCTGCAAACCCCGCTGGATCAGGCCCAAGGAGTCCCAAGAGGGCTTTCCACTCCCACGATGAGAATCAGTTGGACATCAAGGCCAGGGTTGCGAGGTTTGGGCATGAAATGGAGGTATTGTTGGGATTTGTTGGGTATTCTTGGATGAAATTCTACAAAATTGGTATCCCCAATATAGCCCTAGCTGAACCTACGGGATGGCAATGGAGAGAGAGAGAGAGAGAGAATATCTAATATATATATATACATTTCAATTCCCAACAATCACTAGCGGCACTACAATGCAATTCAGTGAAATCCATCGAAATCCATCGAAACCCATCAAATCACCATTTATATCTTAATGCGATCCCGGCAACTTTGAGGAAGTCAGTTGCTGCACATGGCAAAGATCAACCTTTGAACAGAATGGGAATCACCTACAGGAGCCTCCCCCCAAAAAAAGAAACATCATAGAATTGTCATTTCCTCCCAGTTTGAGGGTAGTTCACTTGTAATTCTTTACGGGGGTGGCCCATTCTCAGTGCTCGCTGCCATGGCTTGCAGGACGGCAGCGGCCTTCCAGCAGAACGCACTGCGTCGCATCGCAGTGCTGCTTCCCATGGCAGCTTGGCTCGATTTGCTGGGATAACACAACGGAATCCTACAACAGGTATCAACACATGGGGTTGGAAGCTGTTCAACTGGCCAGGCATACCTTTGGAACCTGTAACCCCACTGAGATGATCCCCGAACTTACTTCATGGTTCGTAACTGGCTCATAAATCCCAAGAGATCGTAAAAATATGGGTTGTAATCAGGTCCGGTTAGGAAGCATGTACCGCAGCAAATGGATTCTTCCCGCAATTCCCACCATGTTTTCCGGCCATCGGATATATAATATTATATATATATATATTTGCAATTATTTGCATATATATATATTTATCTATAATATAGATTTGTATGTATATATACACATATTTGTACATATATGTATATATATATAGATTTGTACATATGTATATAGATTTGTATATATATATACGTTCTACATACATACATATATATATAGATGTGTATATATATATGTATATATGTATATATGTATATATGTATATATGTATATATGTATATATGTATATATGTATATATGTATATATGTATATATGTATATATGTATATTTGTATACTGTATGTATATATATATGTGTATATATTTGTGTATATATATACTTTGTGTATATACATACAAACACACATATATATATATATGTGCTTGTATATGTGTATGTACAAACATACACACATATTTATATTTACATGTTAGCAATTCTCAAACACAACAATGTCGCAAACCCAGGAATAAAACAACACCTATATGACCAGAAATGGATGGTATAAACCATCAAAAAGACGGACGCCACTAACTGAGATTTGGCCGCTCTGATGCTTGCCACCAGGCGCGCCACAGTTGCCTGGGACGCTGGAGCAGACAGAGGACTATGGGCAGTTGGGGGCTTGGAGCCAACCATCAGATCACCAAATGGTTTAAAGATGGAGGATTAACAGAAGGAAAACCTATCCAAGAACATGTGGCTTGACCTCCAAAACGGAATCTACTTATCTATCCACCTACCTACCTATCTGTCTGTTTGTCTTTCTTTCTATCCATCTATTTATCTATTTAGCTTTTTGTCTATCCACCTAACCATACATCCATCCATCCATCCATCCATCCATACATACATACATACATACATTCATAACATACATTACATTACATTGCATTGCATTGCATTGCATTGCATTGCGTTGCATTGCATTTAATTGCATTGCATTACACAACACAACACAACACAACACAACACAACACAACATAGCATAACATAGATACATAGATGCATAGATACATGGATACATAGATACATAGATACATAGATAGATAGATAGATAGATAGATAGATAGATAGATAGATAGATAGATAGATAGATAGATAGATACATAGATACATAGATAGATAGATAGATAGATAGATAGATAGATAGATAGATACATACATACATAGATAGATAGATACATACATAGATAGATAGATAGATACATACATACATACATACATACATGGATACATAGATACATAGCTACATACAGACATAGAAACATAGAAACATGCCTGCATACATGCATACATGCATAGATGCATGCATGCATACCTGCATACGTGCATGCGTGCATACGTGCAAACGTGCAAACGTGCATACCTGCATACATGCATACATGCATGCATGCATACATGGATACATAGATACATACATACATACATACATACATACATACATACATACATACATACATACATACATACATGCATAGATACATACAGAGATACATACATAGATACATACATAGATACATACATACATTGATGCATACATACATACATGCATACATACATACATACATACATACATACATACATACATACATACATACATACATACATACATACATACATACATACATACATACATACATACATACACATACATCCATTCATTCATTCATTCATTCATTCATTCATTCATTCATTCATCCATCCATCCATACATACATACATACATACATACATACATGCATACATACATACATACAACCACACATCCATCCACCCATCCATCCATCCATCCATGCATCCATCCATCCATCCATCCATACATACATACATACATACATACATGCCTACATACATACGTGAACACTACATATGCCCACGTGCATACGCCTGCCTCTAAGTGCACAATTTTTCGCGCATAAGATGGATACATTTTGAGGTCATGGCTGACGAACGCCAGGATGGAGAGAGGAACAGCAGGAACAGCAGGAACAGCCAAGGCAGCCGACGTCAGAGTGAGCATAGCACTATCAGTGTCATGTCACTGCCATCCTTCTTCAAGGATCGTGAAGACCATGGTTCCTGGACAAAGTTCAGCATGTTCTTCTTCTGTTATTTTTAGTTATGTTTTATGGCTAAAGTCATGCCTAAAGTCCTAAAGATCTGCCGAATTCTTTTGGGGACTGGTAGGGTTTGCCTGGGCGACATGCTCATCCTAGCTAAAGCATTACTATGGCATATTATGGCACCGTATTGAAACTATAAGACGATTTGGGTTTGCCTGAAAACGGAACTTTGTCCTGAAAATCCAGTTCTTTGTCATCATTTTTGGTTTTGATTTGCAATCTATAACCATATAACCACCAACATTAAATTCAAGAAATACCACCCCAGCCTTCGAAAATGATCAGATCCGATACTAAGTCAGGGTTTCGAGGGGGTGTTTATACGGGGAAAGGATTTGATTGGGAACCCATCCCCTCTGCTGTCCGGCTCAAGGCACCAGCTCACGCTGGAGACACTTTTTGAAAGATGCAGAATCCAGCCGGGCGGCCAACTACTTCGCTTTCTGCTGGAACTTCTTCATCTTGGGCACGGTCTTCTTTTCCCTTTCCCAGGCGTGGCAGGGCTTTCAGTGCTCTCATGTAACAGCTGACACCACCTTGTCGCCAACGCTAGCCGCTAGCCATGGCAGGGTGCGCATGACACTGGAGATCGCTGAAGGCAACCTTTGTGAAGTAGCAATATGTAGCAATACCATCCAGTATCTCTGACCACCATTGACCACCTAGGACCATGACCCAACATGCCTTCTAAGCTATCTGTACCCGAGCTATCCAATGAACTGCACATTGCCTCAGGCCGCCAGCAGCTGGCACTCTGGCATGGCGGGCGGGCTGGTGGAGGGCTCCTTCGAAATCATCTTCTTCGCTGAGTTTGTTTTTGGACTCCTCCTGGAACCCATGAAGATGGTACCTTGGCGTGGTCATGGGCGTCCTCTTGGACATAGCATATGACTACCACAAGGGAGAAAATTGGCGAGGAGTTTGGATACCACATTGGCTCATTCATTCAATTAACTTGTTCATTCATTCAATTTATTCCGTTCCCTCCGTATTCCCTCCTTGCCTTTATGAATTTGACTTGCATAGATTGCAAACTCACTTTTTTGTAGTGTCAGCTCAGTTGTTGGGGTGATAGGAAGTCCATTTATGCATGGAGGGTCTACAATTTGCGGGTTCACCATTTTCATTGAATCCCATGTTGATTCATGTTGATGAAGATCATGTGCCCAGGTTGCCTTGAAGGACCTGCAAAATTTCATTGATATTTGCGCTGTGCTGCCTTTGATCCTGCGGATAGAGAATAGCTTTGAGTTCCCAACCTTAGAAGCGAAGCCCGTGAGCCACTATATCTTGGTTGGAACCTCAGTGTTGCAGCCCCATGCACAAAAGCTTGAAACATGCGGAGTCATGGTGACCCATGGCCAAGCGGCAACCCACGTGGCACCTAAGGTGGGCGTGGTGCCCACTGTTCGCTTGCTGAAACTCATCAGACGTTTTGGAAAGCTGAGTCTCGTCTCCCATGCGCTGAGCACCACTGGTGATGCCTTGAAACTACTACTGTTTCTTCTCTCAGTGGCCTGGCGCACACCATATCCGTAGATCCTATTGGGATCCTATTAGGATTGTGGTTCTGGAACGCTCCGGCTGTGCTGCAGGTGATTGTGCTGTGCTTCTCCACCATGATGTATATAGTCGAGCCAAAGGACAACATCACTTCGCTGTGCCTTGACTGAAGGGCCCAGCTGAAATGACTTGGCGGATCTGGGAAAAACCATGTCTACTCTAAGAAAAAAGAAAAATGCAAACCTGCACCTGTCTTTGAAGTCACACGAGCAACAAAAACAAATGAACACAATTCATGTTGCAATGGCACTCTTGCATCCTTCGACCCTTGAATTGAAAGCTACTCCCTTGGCCCAACTATGAAATCCTGGGCGCTCCTCACTTCTAGCCGCAACAGATCTTCAACTGAAACGGATGCCAGCGTCTTCCCAACTTGTATAACACGGCTGAGAGGCAAGAAATCACCATGACTTAACCTTGGTGTCGTTTTGGAACTGAGCAAACCCCATCCCAGAATGCTTCTCCGCTAAACAATGCTCGACATTGGTAGATTTTCTGTATGATTGACCCGCACCCACTTGCGCCACATTGTTTTAGCTGGCAACGCAGGACAACAGCGATCTACATCTGCACCGTGACAGTGACCACGGTGGGGTATGGCGACGTGACACCCAAAAGCAACGCTGGCAGGGCTTTGGCCGGAATTCTGTGTTTTATCAGTGTGCTCTTCATGGCCATGCCCATCTCCCTCCTGGGAAATGTGCCTTGGCGGCGGGGTTTCAGGTGACATGGCATTGGAAATATTTGGAGGTCAGTTGGCCAGATCTGTAGTCCCTTCAACTAGCACCAGTTCTTTTGATGTTATTTTGGGGCCCACCCTTTTGTGGTCCCAAGGCCATGACCCATGCCTGGGCCGATCGTAGTCGCATCCTGCTGATGACACGCACCCGGCAGCGGCTGAAGAACTATGGCTACGAAGCGAGCTGCTGGGCTACTTGTGGGGTCTGCCAGGATGTCATTGGGATACGAAACCCAGAAAGTTGGATAATATCCGATGGTTGATTAGTTTACTGTAATGTTTAATGTGGATATATGTGGAGCAGTGATTTTTGTGCAACGATTTGCAAAGGTCAAAATTTTGGGGTGAAGCCATCCCAGCAAACTTTGAGAGAGTACTGATGAGCCAAGCAGCTCTGAGAGGGGCTTGGGTTGGCGCAGAGCAAACTCGCTGCACAGAGAGAGAGAGAGAGATATATATATATATTATATAATATATATATATTATATAATATTGTATGTATATACATACACGTTTTTAATGAGCATTTATGTGGTTAATTCGGTGGTGGGAACTTGGCCAGTCAGGTTCTCTATCTCCTGGCTCATGACTGCTTGAAATCACCAGTTCTTCTGGCCCCTCCCCAAGCAACTGCTGCTGAGGTGACATGCCATCGCTCTTCCGAAAGTTTGACAGCAACGGCAATGGTGAACTGACCATGGACGAATTTTGTGATCCTTGGCAGAACTAAAGCCGCAATCAAGTGAATCGGACATGATGTGACATGTGCACAAAGGTTTCATATCGTCTCCTGGCAGCATGTTGCAGACTTAAATGCCATTGGAAGACTCTGCTGAGTCAGTGCTTCGTTCTAATCAAGGACATGATCGGCAAGATGAACGTAGGCATCCGGCCCTCCGAAGCAGAAGAGCTGTTCGAGCTCTTTGATACGGATGCGAGTGGAGGAATCGATGACAAGGAGTTTATGAAAGCCCTGTTCCCGGACGACTACCGGAGAATTTACATGCGAACCACCACCAACACCATGTCATTCCAATAGTGGTCAATAGCGCCTGCGCAGGCACGGTGCTTCCAAGCTGCCTGCTGAGCAATACAAGTCTACCCAGAGTTTCCTGGAATTGAAGACCAGTCTAAAACATAAATACATATAATTTATAGTATTGTTAGTTACTGATCTTCATATTAATTCCTTCAAGTCCATTTTTGTTGAAGAGAAACTTTCTAGATGACGAGCAAATTTGGTTGCCAACAGATTCTACCCTCCTTAGATTTGACATTGAAACCGCCAGTGATGCTGCCAGGTTCTCGACATGGGACGTATTGGTGGCAGATCCAAGTTGCCATCAATCGTGAATGCGAATGGCTTGACTCCCAAAAATCCTACATGTTGATATGGGGGTTTCCTAAGTCATGGTATCCCGATAGCTGGATATTTTTTGGATGGAACATCCAAAAATAAAATGGTTGACTTCGGGATGCCCGCATTGTAGGAAAGAACAATCATTATGTTCAACTATGATTCATATTATTTTTTTCTGACCGTTGAGACCTGCTCCTGGCGACTCATATGCATATGTCATGTATCATACATCGGTTTATGCATACATGTTGCTTAGGTTTCCATGGCCGGCTGAAAGACAATGGAGCTAGGAATACTCGTGCTACGATTGAGGAGTCCCTCCGTCCCGGCAGATGATGACCCGTTGCCTTCCTCTCTGAAACCCCCAACCCCCACTTTTTAGAAGTAAAACAGTGATACTCCATTGCCAGCTTGCTAATTATGTTTGATTATGTTTGATTACTGGAGTCAGGGCCAGAAAGCTTCCAGTCTCACTCCTTCCCCCCCGAATGGGGGGTCATGGGCAGAATCGACCCATAGGGCTGCAATGAGGGACCGCTTAAGCACCGCGAAGCATCAACTTGGTCACAACGGTTCCCGCGAATCCAGCCATGGTCAAGCAGCATCATTTCGTGGTCCCGCCCCATATTTGAATATGTTTTTGTTTTTGCCTTCAAAGTTGTCAGGACATGGCAAATATTCCAAAATATGTTAAGGAGGGTGGGACTTGAGGGTGGGGCTTGACCCCTGTCCATGCTTTCTTCGATTCTTCCAACATCCGTCTTTGATTCACGATGTGTGTGCTTGTTGTCCCTCAAAGTGAGGCGGATGCACAACCAGGATCCCACAAGATCAAGAGCCATGCATCAGATTGACATAGATTGACCATTGTGGAAGCAGTTTGGATCTTGCGGGAGTTTGTGCTGGTCAGTGTGCTCTATGCCTCAGCTTTGGGCTCTTTGCCACCTAGGGGTGTGACAGTCTTGTGAGACAAGACAAAATGACTGCGCCAGGGATTTGTGTTTATCAGCTCATGGGGCACTTACCCGCAGCATTGAGTCTTGCCCCACACCGGGTTCAAGAGTATTTCCCATGCTCGTGCCCAGACACGAAGAATATCAGTAGACACGAACTGCTAAAGGCAGTGAGTACTCCTTCCACGCACGGATCGCGAAAAGTTGGCAGTGCTGGAGTTCCGCATGGGCTGGTGGTTTGCAACTGATCCTTCCAGCTGTGCCAGCCGTCAGCTAGTTCGAATTGGCTAAATCAGCAGCGAAACCACAGAGTTCCAGTGCGCCTTGGAAGTGTGTCGAAATATGTTACTACAAACTACGACATACAAATCGATAGTGCAAGGGACCGTCCGTGACATCGCTGACTCCAATCTGGTCCAATCGTTCTGCTTCTCACCGCATTAGGTCGCTGTGGCTCAGCTGTGATCCAGAGACCTGCGGCGTCGCCTGATGGAGGAGGTGCTGAGCTCACCTGGCGACCCAACTGCAGGGTGTCCGACGAAAATTGGCTATAGATGGATGGGCATTTATGGGCAAGTTTTATAGCATTTTTTTCTGGTGTTTTTTGCCCTTTCTGGTGACTGATATGTTTTTGCAGGCGCCACCACCCAAGCGCCAGAAGGATGGTGAGGAGCTTGCAGGAGAACGGCGAAGGAATAGGCCCTGGAAATGCACAGTGGCCCTGCAAATCCGACCCACATTTTCCCATTATACCCATTAACCCATTGTGGATATATAGGTCATGATTTCCAGTTACATATCTATTACTGTATATAATACTGTATATATATATATCTATTATATATATAATATACACATATGGTCCAGTGTCTGTTGGTCCCCCCCGAGATGGTGATGGTCCCTTTGTGTATATGGATATATACAAGGTTATACAAGTATGTGTGTATCCATATGTATACATACGATTTACATACATACATATTCTGGGTATGTACATACGTATGCAGTATGTGTATGTGCAAATATATGCAGTATGTTTATGTATATGCCAATGTATCCCATGTGGATGCGGTGGGGGTCTGCAGCCATTCTCTTCACGGGCGAACTCCGCGGCCGCGGCTTGCTCCCGGCTGCTGGAGTCAACCGGGGAGGCAGCCGGGAGGCGCAACGAAACATGGGGATAGGATGTGAGATGTACCATGTGTACATGACATGAATGAAATAAAGCAATAAATACACACCCACACACACACATATATATATTTAGATATATGTAGAGTATATCATATGTATATACATACATATGTTGATAGATGTATAAACGCAAATATAAACACACACACACACGTAGATTTCAATGAATATATCAAAACGTATGCAGGATATATATATATTATACATTATGTATGTATGTATGTAATGTAATGTAATGTAATGTAATGTAATGTAATGTTATGTAATGTTATGTAATGTTATGTAATGTTATGTAATGTTATGTAATGTTATGTAATGTTATGTAATGTTATGTAATGTAATGTTATGTATGTAATGTATGTAATGTATGTAATGTATGTAATGTATGTAATGTATGTAATGTATGTAATGTATGTAATGTATGTAATGTATGTAATGTATGTAATGTATGTAATGTATGTAATGTATGTAATGTATGTAATGTAGTAATGTATGTAATGTATGTAATGTATGTAATGTATGTAATGTATGTAATGTATGTAATGTATGTAATGTATGTAATGTATGTAATGTATGTAATGTATGTAATGTATGTAATGTTATGTAATGTATGTAATGTATGTAATGTATGTAATGTATGTAATGTATGTAATGTATGTAATGTATGTAATGTATGTAATGTAATGTGATGTGATGTAATGTAATGTATGTATGTAATGTATGTATGTATGTATGTATGTATGTAATGTATGTATGTATGTATGTATGTATGTATGTATGTATGTATGTATGTATGTATGTATGTATGTATGTATGTATGTAATGTATGTAATGTATGTAATGTATGTATGTATGTAATGTATGTAATGTATGTAATGTATGTAATGAATGTAATGTATGTAATGTATGTAATGTATGTAATGTATGTAATGTATGTAATGTATGTAATGTATGTAATGTATGTATGTAATGTATGTATGTAATGTATGTATGTAATGTATGTATGTAATGTATGTATGTAATGTATGTATGTAATGTATGTATGTAATGTATGTATGTAATGTATGTATGTAATGTATGTATGTATGTCTGTATGTAATGTAATGTAATGTAATGTAATGTAATGTAATGTAATGTAATGTAATGTAATGTAATGTAATGTAATGTAATGTAATGTAATGTAATGTAATGTATGTATGTATGTATTAATGTAATGTTGTATGTATGTATGTATTAATGTAATGTTGTATGTATGTATGTATTATTAATGTAATGTAATGTAATGTAATGTAATGTAATGTAATGTAATGTAATGTAATGTATGTATGTATATATATGTATACTTGTGTGTGTGCGCATGTGGACACGTACTTACATTCATATACATTTTTTGCCTTCAATGTACTCGAAGGTTAAGTTATAAGGTATAGACATTTTGTGTATTTGTACTCATGCTTATTGTGTGCATGTTGTAATTATGTTCAAACCGAACCACCTAAGCCAATCCCAAAGTTTTCGAGATGTTTGAAAGCATCAACCTCCCAGTCGTGAATGGAACGTGGATGCATCATTACATTTGAGGGACCAAAATGTGAAGCTTCCAGGTCAACACCAGTCATCCCGAACCATCTATGAGCATGTGAAGCTGCAACCTCGCTGTCTCTGTAGGTTGCTATCATGGATGTATCTTTCAGTGAGCATGTCGACAAGCTCATCGCGCAGCTGAAAGCAGCCGCTCACTCGCAATATCTGGCACTGAATTCTGGCACTGGATTCATGCCGTAACTGGAGGTTTCATGAGGTTTGTCAAGCCACGCGCACACTCTTAAAGCAAAATTGAAGGGCCATAGGCTGGGTGATGGCTGCTGTAGGAACTGGTGAAACACTATGAAAAAGATGTAGCAGCGCCGCGAGCTGCCTCCAAAGCAGAGGATTCCGATGATTCTGAGGCGGGCGTGAAGGGAAACTGTTAACAGGACAGCATGCCCAGACCGGTTCAAGAAATTCAATTGAGAGAGAGTCTCATGGAATATGATGAATTATGAAAAAGGCAGAATTACGAATGCCGATGACCCGACAGCCCCATCCCTCGCGCATTCATTATCACTGTTGCTTCACCAGAATATCCAAGGCTTGGGTAATTAGCTACACAATGCCGGACACAATGCCCTCAAAATCTCAATTAATGCTGACTTCGGATTCACAGAGCCCGGTTGGTTCAATCTTTCTCGGGTCATCTCAGCGATTTTGCTTCACTAGCCCTCCAAACAACGCAACCAACCCGGCGTTCTTCCAATGCCATGATCTCCCCCAGGCCTCACGCCCGGCGCCACTGCACCTGCTGAGCGCCCAGCGGCATATGAAGCGGTTGCCATCGGCCAAAGCGCCTCCGATGCTCCCCAGGAGGATCTTCAGATCGACCAGCAGCACAGACTCCGATGAGGCCGGTCAAAGGGGGGGATAAAATGAGGGAAACGGCCTCCGAATTTTTTGGGATGGGTTTCAAGCAAGAAGATACAAACTTTGTGGGTCCATAGGCGCCCTGTGTTTGATCCTTACATGGATCTGAAGATCTAATCACAGATCCTTAGAGATGAAAGATTCTAAAAATAGACACAATCAAAGATCTTCTTGGAGAAACGGCTGGTGAAGCCCTGTGAGAAAAAGTTAGGAATGGTATGTAGATTATCATTACTGTCGGGATACGCATCAAAAAAATATTATTACATAGGATCAAATAGTTATTATTAGGATCAAACAAATATTATCGGGATCAAAAAAAACTATACTGGGAAAGGGAAGGAAGGAAGGAAGGAAGGAAGGAAGGAAGGAAGGAAGGAAGCTGAAAGCAGTATTGCAGGACACTGGACACTTGTTGAAAGTGGCTCTCCAACTATATCTACTTGATTTAACTTACATTCGCTCACAACAGGCATGTTGTGCATATTATATATATAATGTATATATATATATATAATGTATATATATATAATATAATATATATATAATATAAATAATATATATATATATAAATAAATAATATATATATATATATGCATACCTTGAGTGCCATGTATATATATATATTATACACAAAATCCCTTAGTAAAATATTCCACCGCACACAAGAGCACAGACAGGCATTGTCATTCTGCTTTGGGGGAGGCGCTGCGCCCTCCCCCCAATCCCACCTCCCGCCTTTTTAATTTGAATCCAAGCTTGCACATTTGTAAATATATGACTCGACAAATGTATTTCAGTACAGCCCATTCAAGAGTTCCAATTCATATGCTGACACGCACGCAACCCTAACCCTTCCCCTACCCCCCACACCACCCTTGATTTAACTTACATTCTACATGCTCAGAGTAGGCGTGTTGTGCATCATATATACCTTGAGTACCATAAAAAAAATACATAAATAAATAAATAAATATATATATATATATGTATATTATATATGCATACGTAAACCCTGAGTACCAACCATATTCAACCTACAGCAGCACACGGGAGCACAGGTATTGTCATTCTGCTTTGAGGGAGGTACATCCTGTGCTGAGCTGTACGTGCAACTGTGCGCAATTTAAACACGTACTGCTACATCCTGAGTCTGCAATCCTTCTGCTGGCGTCTTGATGTTTGTGCCTTTGCACATAGACATGCATACATCCACTAAGGACATGCATACAGACATATACCATACAGACATACATGCACACGTGCGTACATGCATACATCCAAACATTAATGCAGACAGACCGACATATGTGCAGTAACAGTCCGGAGACCGACGCATTGGTATTTGCATCTGGGTGAGCAATTGGTGCGCAATTGTGCAGAAAGTGGTGCGCTCAATGGTTGATGAGGGTATAGGTTTCTGGGGGTAATTTTTTTGATACCATTATTTTTTTTTGATCCTTGTGGATAATTTTTTTGATACCAACAAAAAATATATATTTGTTTTTTTGGATCCTTAACCCATTACGGTCGGTGTAGGTCTTCATTCTCACGGCATGGAAGTTCGCAGGGAACACATCTATTTTACCAGGATGTGACACGGCCAGACAAATGATGTCTATGAACCCAAGAAAAATGATGAAGGAAGGGATGTCCAGATTTCAGTTCAGAAATCTAAAGGTAGAGGCACACTCTTTCAAGCTGTTCCTTCCATGTTAACGTTGTATATATACACATATATATATATATTATACATATGCACATACGCAGTAATATATGCTTAAATATCAATACAACTGCACCCACACACATACACACACACACACCTAGAAAAACATATATATATATATGTACTGTACATAGATGTATATGTAGAACACACACACACACACACATATATATATACGCATATATATATATATGCAAATATTTCTTTCCATCTCTCCCTCCACATGAATGTATATAATATGTATCTATACAAACCAGGCACGTGGATCAGTACCAGCCCTGGCTTATTGCTCTAGGAGGCAATGTGGTCGCCTGGAAAGGGGGAGCTGCTGACACCGAAGAATTGTGAGGAGAAGCCAAAGCTGCCTGACGTCCCAAAAGAAACCCGGCAAAATCAGCAGACCTCAAAGAATGTGAGAAGCCAACATTATCCAGCGTCCGCAAATTGGAGAAACCAGAAACCAATGGTTGGGGTATTCCGATTTTTGGACGCAACTATCTGACGGGATGTGGCTTGGGCTCGTCCGCGCGCGAATGTGTTTCTGTTGAGCTGAGCTTTGTGTCGTTTTGAAGCTAGAGGTTACATTGCCTAAGTCTACACAATATTCTGAGATCGTGGAAATTATTGTTAACCAACCACTCCTGTGTAAGGGATATTGTGCCAGGGTCCATTGTCGCCCTATTTTTGAATGCTTTGGGCCCGTGTCAATGAAGCGGGGCCTCCAGCCTTGCACGGCTAAGGACAGATTCGCATCTGCCCCAGATGCCACGCCGAAGATTCTCATGGTGTCCCAGGCTGGGAGAATCACTCAGGTTTTGCAGGACTTTTCCATCCCTTCCTTGTAAGCCTCTAAGCACGTCAGATTGCGATTCTGCTTATCTTTTATCTTTGTATTTTGGCATGTGATCATTGGGGATGAACCCAGTGTCCTTGATACCCATAGACTGCCTAAGGGAACCTGCAGTGGACCTTGCAGGTCCCTACCACTCCTCAGACACTGCCACTGCCCAATACTATCGAGCAGGTGGGCTGGGGGTAACAGAGAATGAAAGCCGACCGTGGTTCATTTTTCTGAGGGGCCAGCACACTTTGACATATCCAAATGAGATTGTCGCCAGATTGCCCCCTAATGTTACTTAAAGTTGGATGGCCTGACACTAAACGTGACAATAACTTTGTGGACCCATGGGTGCCCCATTTTGAGTGGCCGTACCCAGATTCTGCAAAGACAATGGTCTAATTCGAGCAACTCCCAGCCGCATGAGCGTTCCAGGCAGACTCTTGCAGTGAAGCTGAACCAGAGGAGGCGGGGGCTTGTGGCTCTTGTGCCACACGGCCAATTGCTGTATATTATCCCAGCAAGAGACACCAAACAGTGTGTAGTGGAAAAAAACCAGCGGCTCCAAGCTAGCAAGACAAGAGCGACCCTAGTAATGAAGCATGGTGGTGTTCATTCAAGGTGGTCTCTGGAAGAAGAGAAGGTTAGATTCTGCAAGTTCCCTGTGCGAAGATCTCTGTAGAAGATCTCCTTGACAGGTTCTCTGTAGAAGCTGCTGTGCAAGATCCCTTTTGTAAGGCTATCTGTACAAGGTGTCTAGAAGACATTTCCACAGAAGATCTCCATAAGGGATCTCAAAGTAAGATCTCTGTTCAAGCTCTCTGAGTAAGATATGTTAAGATATCAGTTCTCCTCACCAGATCTCCATACAAGATCTCTACAGGAGGTCTCTTGGCAAGATTTCTTTAGGAAGCTCTCTGCCACTAGTGCCGCACAAGGCGGTGGCGGAAGTTTCAAAGATAGGACACTATAGGATACGTGAGTTGTTGTGATGCATGGATGGCAAAGCGAATCCACTGATGGACCGAAAGGTGCTTGGAGTTGTTATTTTTTGGGTGGTTGCAGTGGTTGCAGTGGTCACCTCACCCACAACTGCTGGATGTAGCATGGTGTAGTGCAGTTGTAGCTGTAGTTGTAGTTGTAGTGTAGTAAAATTAGTGTAAGGTGTAGTTGCAGTTGCTGTTGTAGTTGTGGTGTGGCGTAATTAGAAGTAATTAGTGTAGTGTAGTGTATAGCAGTGTTGCTGTAGTTAGAGTTGTGGTTGTAGTTGTGGTTTTGGTGTTGTGTAACGTGGCGTAGTATATATATGCATTTGTAGTTGTAGGGTAATGTACTTAGTGTAGTGTAATGTAGTTGTAGTTGTAGTTGTAGCTGTAGTGGTACTTGTAGTCGCAGTTGCAGTTGTAGTTGTAGTTGTAGCTGGTGTGTCGTGTAGTGTAGTGTAGTGTAGTGTAATTATATAGTGTAGTGTAATTAATGTAGTGTAGTTAGTGTAGTGTAGTTGGTGTAGTGTAATCGGTGTAGTGTAATTAGTGTAATTAGTGTAATTGGTGTGATTAGTGTAGTGTAACGTAGCGTAGTACATTTGCATTTGTGGTTGTAGTGTGGTGTACTTAGTGTAATGTAATGTAGTTGTAGTTGTAGTGGTAGCTGTAGTTGTAGTAGTGATTGTCGTTGTAGTTATAGTGTCGTGAACGCCCAAAAACGGTCCGAACGTGGGGTGCTTTGCACTTTTTTACTTCCAAACGCGCTTCGTGCCACAACAGCGTGCCCTTTTTCAACCTCTCAACTTCCAAAAGTGCTCCGAGCATGGTGCGGCTTGCGCATTTTGACTTGGACATGTGCTTCGCGCCACGACGCCGTGCACTTTTTCAACAGCTCAACTTCCAAAAGTGCTCCGAACCCGTCAACATCTCAACTTCCCAAAACATTGGAAAAACACAATTTTTCGCGACTCTTCTACCTTTTCGCGCGCCTTGATCTTCTTTCTTCTGACTCTTTCTCTTCTCTGATCTTTTTTCTTCTTCGCTTCTCTTCCCTGGCTCTTCCCACCTCTGCTTTTTCATCTGTCCGTATTGTCGGGTCTTGGCAAGATCTATGGAAGAGACTTCTTGGCAAGATGTCTGCAACAGATGGAGCGTCTGTGTATAAGATCTCCACAAGAGGTGTCCTGGCAAGATCTTTGTACAAGATCTCTATAAGAGGTCTCTTGGCAAGATCTCTGCACAAGGTCTCTCTATCAGAGATCTCTATACCAGATCTTTCTAAGACATCTCCATGCAAGTGGTCTCTTGGCAAGATCTCTTCTTGGCAAGATCTCTGCAACAAATCTCTGTGCAAGGCCTCCGTGCAAGCTCTCTATAAGAGGTCTCCTGGCAAGATCCCTGTACAAACTCTCAACAGAACATCTCTTGTCAAGATCTCCGCGCAAGCTTTCTATAAAAGACCTCCTTCCCAAGATCTTTGCACAAGATCTCCTTGACTTTCAAAATGAGCACAGCACCACAACGAGAGCGATTTGACAGGCCCAAGGGCTGAAGGGGTTGCGCGAGCGATCTCAAAATTCGCACCGCGCCACAACGAGAGCGATTTGACAGGCCCAAAATGATGAGAGGGTTGCGCGAGAGGTCTCGAGGACACCATTTCGGTCCAGACTTCCATCCAAAACGGAAGATGAATTAACACAAGGCCTTTCGACTCAGGGTCCGAACGTCACTTTCCAAAACCGTCCTTCACTCCAATTAAACGCCTTTGTTTTTGGATTGGGAGTTCTCAGCCATGACCATTTGCGAAGGCCAAGGAAATTGAAAAGAAATCCAGTGGTTCCAGCTCCAGCAGCTCTTCTTCTGGATCTTCAGCAAGCTTTGCATCAACTTCCGATGGCGAAGAGTCTCGCAAAAATGTCAATTTTTTCAAACGGTTGTTTGTCCGAAGGTGGGAGGCAAACCCCCAATGCGTGGCAATTTCAAGAAGAACCATGAACATGATTCGATTTTAGGGGTACCACAGGTTTGGACAAACCGTGAAGTGATGGCCGTGTGATGGCATAGATTTGATGATGCATAGCTAGAGCTGCAGCATGGCAGCCAAGTACTGGAAAAAAATGCCACCAAGGTGTTTTGCAGAGGCAAAAATATGTTCACCCAAACAGGTGGCTATAGTATGCTATAGTTCAAATATAATCAAAATTTGAGGCCCAAACAACCGTAGAGTCATTTCCTCACCAGTTGATCCACCATCCAATTTTGAGGGTGATTATCATCCAAGGGGAACGGGAAGGCAAAGGGCAACTTGGCGGCAACTGCATCGGCCATCAAACGAAAATTTAATGGACGGAAAAAACATGCAGGAACAGAGGGTATCACAAACCCTTCCCTTCCAAACCACCAGGATGGGCAGTGGCCGAACGTCGCCAATCACATTTTTGAACTCGAACATTTCCTGAAAGTGCAATTGTCAATACGTTGCAAGCCATTTGAACAATGACCTGAAGTGACGTCATCACACCCCCAGTTTTCATGCCGACAGCTCTCGCCCAGATGGGTTCCGGAAACGACGCAGCGACAGCTCCATTCCATCCTTTTTCAAGAATGAAGATCGTCACAGTCGAATTTGGCAATTTATGGAAGCACCTCGGACAAAACTTGTGGTTTTGGGTGTGCATTTGGTATGGCCACACTCTTCTGCTGGTTTGATTTGCTCAATGATATTGCATTTTCATTTTGCTATTCCATACCTTTTGATCCTGTTGCCACGCCACGCGTCAGAGTTTGCAAATTGAAGGCAGCCCTCAGAAAACGGATCACGGATGTGCTACTCACACAGCATCACAGCACATCACAGCTGTGCCTACCTGGTTTGGCCATGTTTGGCCCGAGGATCCGGATTCCAGCCGGGCGGCGTTCTACTTCGCCTCCGTCCAGAACTATTTCTTGACCCTCACCAGCCTCGCGACCATCTCCCAGGCGTCGCAAGATCCATTGGTGCCCAATATCTTGGTGGTGAACCTCCTCCAGTGTGTGACGGAGGTGCCTGGATCTGGATGATCTGGATCCACAAGGGCCCCTGGATTCGGAATGGGTCGAAGAGTCGAAGATATTTGGATGTCAGCCTCTGAAAGTGGTGGAATATGGTGGAATATCGTGGAATCTTTGGAGACATTCCACTCTCGTTGGTCGAATTCCTGGGTAGGATTATTAGGCATCTCAGCTGGGGTGAATCTCAAAGGGAGAACCTGTCGAAAGTTAAGCCCACTGGAGGCCAAACTGAGATAGATATTTCATGATATTTCATGATTTGTGAACACATCAATCTATGTGGCATGAAATTGCCACCATATTCACAGGCCAGAATGGCTCATTCTTTGCAAGTGTATGCCAAATTCTCAAGACGTTGTCCAGGCGCTTCTGATTGTCGACTGCATAGCGCACTGGTATGTCAGTCAAAGTTTCAAGGCAGCTCAGCATGGATTCGCTGCTCAGGGAAGGGGTTGGACATGCTGAAGAATGGCACCGCTCTAAAATCCTGGGTCTTGTGGCATATGACGACTGAAAGCCCCATCTTAGTGCTCCAACATCCAGTGCTGCCCAGCATTCCAACAAAATGATTATCACTAGCAGGAAGTTCTGGATAAATCTTGGTTTGTTTTACCCCAATGAATCAATACTACGTTGGCATTTCGCATATTTTTTATTTTTTTCCGTTTGTGTGAGTGTCTCGCTAGCGTCCTTAAAGTAGCCAGTTTGGTTCCAGCACCACTGCATAGTCAAAGCCATCGCTTTCCTTGGTCTTGCCCTCAGTCAGATTTGAGGCTAAAGAGCATCCAAATGATGCTTCCGTATCACATTTGAGTTTTTTCCACATCATAGCTTAATTTGATAGCAATTTAAGGTCATTTGCTCTTCCACCAGTCCAGGGGTCCAACGGTCCAGTAGTTCACCCATCGCTCTGTGCCCAGGCCCTGTCCAGCCGTTGCCTTCTGCGGTGCCAAGCCACATCTCCCCTTTGCAGGCCAGCCTTGACCGGGATCAGGATGACTGGGAGCAACGATGTGCCAACTTGGACTTTAATAATTGTAAATTGGCTGAAAATTCCTGAAATAGCCCATGGTCAATGCCACTCACTTGCTATTTACACCATCATTGCTGCCCCCTGTTTGCCCAAAGAAGCTCTCGGCTTGGTGACGTCACATGGTTCCTGCGGTCCTTGCGGTCATTGCGCGTGGAGTCAGGATGGCGGATCAGGAAGGAGTTGCTCAGCCGGCGGCACAGCCAGCGTCAAGCCACTTCTTTGATGTTGCCTGCATACCTTCGGAGATGGTTAGATGACTGGGGCCCAAACATGCGGGCTCGTGTTCAAGCAGCCCTTCAGTTGCTGTCCTTGAGTTGCCCAGCAGACAACTTGCTTGACCACGGCAAAAGGCTGTTTGAATCCCAGCCCCTGCGAGTTGGCACAGATTGCAGCGGGGTAGAAAGCCCAATCCATGCTTTGAGGGCCATGGCTGTGCAACATAGCCACATCTGGAGCTGTGAGAGTGGACCTGCCCCGCGCAAGGTGATCAGTGCCAATAGTCCTCCTGAACATGCCCTGTATACCGATGTCCTGAACAGTGCAGAGGAGGTTGTTCCGTACATTGACCTCTATGTTGCTGGCTTCAGCTGTAAGCCCTTTTCAATGCTTCACGTGAACACGAGGCTTCTTGAAGAGGACCAAGCAAAGATCTTCTACTCCGTAGTCACCAGGGTACGCAAGTCTCAGCCCGCTTCATTTGTTTTGGAAAACGTTCCAGGAATACAGCGCTGCATGGATGAAGTGATGCAGACGTTGAGGGATTTGGGTTACATGGTGGTAGTTCACCTGCTCAATCCCACGGATTTAGGTGAGCCCGTCAGCAGGCCGCGCTACTATTTTGTAGGAGTTCGACAGGATGTGGCCATTGTTGGTGAAGAAGTGGCTCAAGGCATGTACAACCATATTTGGCAAAGGTTGAAGAGCTCCAGCGGTCCTGCGGTCCCACTTGGCAAGAGGCTCTTGCCTGCAGAGCACAAGCTTGTCTTGGAAAACCAGTCCCTTCGCCAGCAAAGGTGGGAAGATGCCAAAGCTGCAAACTTTGGTGGCGACAGTAGGTCGCAGAAATGGAAGCAGCGCCATGCAGCCTGGCAGTTGGAGCATGCTGAGAGCCAGATCCAGCCAGACCCAAGCATGCCAAGCCCTGATGAACTTTTTCTTCACCTACCACGTGAGCGTGATGTGTGGAAGAACTTGCTGACGGACAAGAGCATGCCTAGACTGGCAGTTGCTGACTTGTCCCAAAGTTTGGGCCGTGTCCCTTTGCGATCTGATTGCACACCTACCATCACCCCTGGGTCCCACGTGGTTGTGTCTGAAGCTCGGAGAATGTTAGCTCCCATGGAAAAGCTCTTGCTACATTGCCTGCCAGTGCACACCATGTCCTTTGAAGGCATAACCGATGCTGAGTTGGAGGACATGGGTGGGAACATGATGCATCTCCAGACTGTGGGAGTAGCAATGTTGGTTGCCATCACCCTTGTGGATTGGGCCCAGCCTGAGTCTAGATGCGGGAGATTGCCACAAGAAGGCAACATGGTTCTTGCGGTCCATGCGGTCCCTTCGGCCCCCATGCCAGCAGCAAGAAAGAAATCACTGACTGCGGCAGAGAAGAAATTAGAAAGGCAGCTCCGTGAGCGATTCGGATTGAAGGTTGGCATCAAAAGAAGAGTGAAGGTTGACGCCTCAAGGCTAAAATCCCACAAGAAGGTGAAGCTTCCCTGCTTACCTTTGCACAAAGCGTGCCTGCGTGGAACACGCTGGGCAGGCTGAGTGTTGAATTCGTTTTCATCTAATTCAGAGGCACTGTGAAGGTTCTTTCTGTCAGCGCCTGCTAAAAATTGAGGTGCTTCGAGGTGTTCTTTGAATTCTCTTTCACATTTGCCATGACCTGTTGTTGTTAGCTGAGGTTGCTAGCTTGCTCCACTGCTACGCCAAGGGCTTGTGCATTGCCTGTCGGGCAGATGTTGAAGTCGCTACCCGTCAAGCTTGGAAGCTGGATCGGTTCTTGTGGTTTCGATCTGCTCTGCGGAGTAGATCTTTTCAACTTCAGATTGGTCCTGCGGTCAATCGGCTCCTTGACTCCTCTTAAGCAAAGTTACGTTGTTTCATTGGGCTGCCGAGTGTTTATTATTAAGCCAAGCCTCGGCAGTTATTCTTTGATGCTAGTTCCACCTGAAAGGTCATATGCCATTTGCAGTGCACTCAAAGCATGTGCCAAATCGGAGGGCTCCAGGTGGACTGTAGTTGCAGGGGAGAGCAACTCCAAGAGGGGCAAGACTAGCTCAGTGAAGACATTGAGCTCAGTCGGTGATGTTCTATCTTTTATGCGGTGCATCAGAACATTGAAACAGACACGTGGAATCTCAGGTCGTTTCAACACATCGCAGCTCAAATGATTCCAGCCTGTAGCAAAAAGATGGAAAAAGATCTCTTCATCCGGCTTGGCTGTTTTCTCGATTTTGCGTCAAAAACAGCCCAGAATCACCCCAAGCCAATACACCTCCAGTTTTCAAAGACCAAGGGCGTAATGAAAGGGGATTTTCCCCTCCAAATACCAAAACTCAGGAATCGTACAATTGGGAAGCTTTCTCTCCTCTCAATCCACCTCCGGTTTTCGAAAACCAAGGGCGTATTGACCTTGGCATTGCCCTTCTCAATACGCCCTCGGTTTTTAAAAACCAGTGCCACGCCGCTTATAGCTTCAAAATTTTTGAGGATTTTGCATCTTCGCATGGCTTAGTGGATCTACGCATGATTTAAGTGCATCTTCGCATCAATGTCATATTTGTATAAATATGTATAATTATGTGTATATATATATTATATGTATGTATGTATATGTATATGTGTATATGTATACGTATATACGTATATGTATATGTATATATATATATATATATATATATATGTAAAAATGCGCATACTATGTATAATATCTCTGTCGCACGTGTGAAGCATGCATCTTTATGTATCTCTATGTATGAGTATGTGCATATGTGCATGCATATTCATAGAATGCATGTAAAACTACAAAAAACTTACAAGTATGTAAACGTGTGTGTTGACCTCCAACACCTGTGAGGCCATGCCTCCAACACCAGTGGAAGCCAAAAAAGCAGTGAGGCTGTGGATGGCCACTGTTCAGTGTGGCTTGCCAAAAGAGGAGTGGAACCGTACAAGCCGCCTTGCCTTCAATGTGTCACGGCATGAAATTTGTTGATTTGGCTTGAAGAGTTGATGTGATCAAGACAGACCTTCTCTGAGCGCATGGTTTTGTACAGCTTTGAATTCCCTTTTACCTGACAATGACGAGAATAGTGGTTCTCTCTCCTATTCCCTTGCTCCACATGTTATCTTCCAATTCTGCCAAGAGAGAATTTCTATGCCTTAATGTAGTCCCAGACATTTAGCATTTCCTTCATGCCAGGGTGGAATCAATGCTCATTGCAAGACAGGTATAGGGCTTTTGCGTGTCCGTGGCAGGGTTTTTGCGCGGTTTTTGCTGTGTCCGTGGCAGGGTCCTGCGGTCCTGCGGTCCTGCGGTCCACGAACGGCAAATTTTGATCATGTGGCTAACAGCTTCTTTTAGCAATTTGATCGCAAAAAAATCGCCAAAAAGGAGCTGTCCAAGTTGAGGCTATTTTGCAGCCAAAGGAAGCTTCAATGCACAGTTTTGTTAAATCCTGCGTGAAAGCTTGCTTTACATGTATTTTAGCCTCATCCCTTATTTGCATTTGCCGTTGCAGCAATTTCTACAGCCGTTGCCATTGTTAGGTCCTGGCGGTCCAGCGGTCCTGAGTAGCCATGGCAAAAGCTGTGCCCGCAGTTCGGCTTCGTGGCAAGCAGCCATGCTCTCAAAGAGTGAAGAAGAATGGCCAAAAGTCAAAGGGCAAGCAGACCAAGCCAAAACGAAACACGATTCGATGTCAAGCGTTGAAAGATGGCTTGTTGCCACCTGCTAGAAGGCCTTTTGCGCTCTTTGTCAAGGACAACGTGCGTGGGCAGAAAGGAGGTGGGAGAAGCGAATGGCGGCTTGAGATGAAGCGCTTGGGGGCCATGTGGCACAAGTTACCCATTGACCAGAAGAAGCGCTACTTTGACCAATCCAATGCCGAGTTTGCCAAGCAGCATTTTGTGATGAAGCAGATGGGCATGCCACTGCGAAAGTCAAGCTCGCGAACAACTCACACGCTGGCAAAGGACGTGCTTCCAGAACCTGAAGATCCTGTCATGATCGGAGGCTACAAGGTGGTGAATGCGGATCCTGGCCTTCCTGATTGCCATCCCCTAGGTGAAGGCGCTTATGGCAGCGTTTTCCTTTGCTTAGACAAGCTTCAACGAAGATGTGCTGTGAAGGTCTTCAAGAAGAAGAGCGCACTCGAGGATCTCAACCATGAGCTCGTCCTTTTGCAGGCAGTGCAAGAACAAAGCGACCAGAAACTCCGAGGATTTTACCCCTGCATTTTGGAAGCACAGCCCTGTTTCAAGCCTTTTCCATTTTTGGCTCTTGAATATTGTGGCTCCAGCTTGTTTTCTTTGCTTGGGGAAAAAGGAGCTTTTAGCGTAGATGACAGTCGCGCCATCGCTTTGCAGCTGAAAGCTGCAGTGCGTGGCTTGCACTCGTTGCAGATTTTGCATTTGGATTTAAAAACAAGCAATGTGCTTTGGTGCGTTGTCCGGCGTGAGCTCAAGTTGGCAGACTTTGGGATGTCTGAATATATCCCAGGGTATGGTCCTTCAATTCGTTTTCCCATGTATGTAACAGCAAGTTACCGAGCCCCAGAATTGTGGCACGCTGCTCAAAGGGACCTTTCCAAGTGGTTGGGGCCTGCAGTCGATTTATGGTCGTTTGGTTGTGTTCTCTATGAGGTTGCAGTTGGAAAGATCCTTATGCGCCCACTGCGCAACAACCTTTGTGGTTGTGAGAACTCCATCAAGGAGTGGTGCCAGCAGTGGCAATCCTTGCAGAAATCATTGCAGGGATCAATAAGACCAAGTCTTTCAAATGCACAGGTCAGCCGAAATTTTGACTATCGGCTGGTGAATCGTTTGCACTTGCTGGAACCAAGCTTCAGGCCAGCAATCAAGGCTATGCTCAACCCGGATCCTGCTCAGCGAGATTGGGCAGGCATTGATTGAGCTAAATCTGTAGGGTTTCTAGGGGCATAGAGACCTGCTGTGCGGATGATGGGGTAACTCATCCTGGCGGTTCAGCGGTCCAGATTGCGAAACAGCGACTTCCATCAGCTTTCTGGAGAAACAAATGTGCTCAGGGAGTGCAAGTCATGAGCGCATCGATCTGGTATCCATGTCATTGTGTAGGAAGTTGAAACCAGCACCATTTTGCACTTCATATTTGCCACTTCCTGGCGGCTGAGGTCTTGGTGCAAACGGATGGCGCATGTGCAAGACAGAAAAAATGGCAGCGGCTTGAAATATACCCAAATCCCTTAATATTTTTCGGCACCGTTGAATTGCCATCCGAGAATATGTGTTTGTTTGAAATAGAGTACCCCCAAGTCTCCTGGTGGATTATCATTTCAAACCATGACCAAACATCACACAACCATATCCACGAGTTGCTTGGCTGAGGCTTTTATGAAAAGTCCCTACAATATTATCGACATCTTGGCCTTTCTGCCATTGCCCTTGCGGATCGCAGTGGGCGTACCAACAATGCCGACGATGGAACAAAGTCCAGTAGCACATTTCATCTTGGTGCCTGGCTGGTGGTTTCAGATGTTGTTCTTTTAGTTCCAAATGAAAGTCGGCTTTCATTTCTGCAATCCCTGAATGCATCCCTGAACGTAGCAGACATGGATATAAAATCACAATGATAAACATGGGCCGTTCGGAGTTCACCAAAGTTCCCGAACCATTTGGGATTATGACCTGGATGGGTGTTAAAAGGAAACGGCCGCAGGTGTGCTTCGTGCCTTTGATTCGCATGTTGAAACTGGTGAGACGCTTCCAGAAGCTTCAGCTGCTCTTGCGCCTTGTTGATTGGGATATGCCCATTTTGGAGGGTGATCATTGGGACCCCAAAATGGGTTTCCCATGGGCTTTACTGGTACAATCTACAGTACGCACATTATAGATCGAGATAGAGATAGATAGATAGATAGAGAGGGAGAGAGAGAGAGAGAGAGAGCGAGAGAGATCGATCGGATTGGTCGATTGATGGATTGATGGATGGATGGATGAATGGATGGGCTCTTAGAATTTAAGGACACGGTAGTGCTTCAATTCTTTGCCATTGGACAGGTTCAGCCGTCCCGTTTGCCCAGGCATGTTTTATCAACAGTCAGCGATGCCCTGAAGCTATTGCTCTACATGGTCTCAATCATCGAGACTTGATGGCACCAAGATGTAGGTATGGAGAATGTACTGGTATTTTTGGGGTTCTGTTATGCTCTATTTTCAAGAGACATAAGAAACTGAGTATATACCCCCAAAGTTGGAAGGATTGTTTGGCCCAATCATTTCAAAGCTGGATATCCAGGTCCAATTGCACACCCCATATCAAGATCATGTTGATTCCCAACATCTCCCAACAGCCTTGTACATCTACTCATGACCCCTCATCTCCATCGCCCAAGGTCTTGTTGTTTTCGACGGTGCTCTATGTGGTTGATGATCCTGACAATGTGGATTCACTCTCTACGGCCATCTATATGAGCACGGTCACTGTCACCACTGTTGGTTATGGCACGGAGCTTAGTGGAGGGATCTTTGATGGTCAGGTAGCCTTTGGTAATTTATCTATGGAAAAACACGTCATTTTGTAGTTTTTTTTTTTTGGGTTTGTGGCAGACACACACACATACTATATTCGATATGCATACAGTACGCCTATACTTGGGCCATTTTTTTTTCGATAGAAATGTCTTGGAACTGAGGTGATGTCACACCGAAGACCTGGCCTGCCAGAATCGTTTCGGGCTGTCTTTGCTTCATCAGTGTCTTGTTCATGGCGATGCCGCTATCTGCCACTTGGATGTGCTATGATGTGCGACAATAAAACCTGTCAAAACACTGTGGACCGCACAGGTTTTATTGTTTTTATTGTCCTGGCCATGTTGACATCAGCAGAAAAAGGATGAAACATGGTCAGGGATTATTCTTTGTTTCTCTTGTCGCATTGTGATGTTTGCGCAAAAATACACCGTAACTTTACGCTTTGGATCCCCGCAGCGGCCTGCAAAACCGTCGCAGTGAAACAGTGGCCAAAATCAGGGACATCCGCGGCAACCACTATAAATTATAACTATATTATTGCCAGGGATTTTGACTACTTATGGTAGTTTGAAATCTTTTCTGAGCAATGTCAAGGATATTTGTTCATATTTGTTCTTCAGTCTTCCAGCATTTTCCACCGGAGGCCAGGGGTGTGCAGGGTCTATCCCATCCAGGTGGTTGGAAATGCCATGTCGCAGACCTGGTCGGATCGACATCGAATTCTTTTGGTGACCCGAGCGCGGCAGAGATTGAAGAACTGGGGGGTTTCTGCTGGTGCCATGGCAGCTATAGCTTTAGCCTGGACACCAGGCATCCCACACGACAGATTTGACAGAACTACGAGCCATCAAGCCATCAAGCCATCAATCGCATGATTTGAGCGATTTGAGCGCAGAACTCAATCGATACATAAAAGCATTACATTTGATAGCGTTGATAGCTACATTTTCTACAGGTATGTACATATTTTGTGAACTTCCCTCCTGAGCTGCAGAGATGCTTGCTTGCTGGTAACAACAGACAAGACCCTGTCAAAGACAGCTGGTACTGTCATTGTGGATGATGGTGGAACCTTGGGGTTGCATGACATAGCACCACATCCTGCTGCAACATTTCACCAGTCACGCAGTGTCCAATTTGTCAAGGCGACATGCCGCGGTTGTTCAAGAAGTTCGATGCAGATGGCAACGGTGACTTTGTCTTGCACGTTTGAGCCATAGGAACGCTTGCAAAATCAAAAGTAGTCTGTTGCATTCCAGTGTACAGTTGCAAGATATGGCGTGCAGATACAGAAACTCACCTTCACGCATATCACGCATATCACGCATATCACGCACATAGGCGACATAGGTGACATAGGTGACATAGGTGACATTAGGTGAGGCGCGCCGATCGCCAGGTGAGCTTGGCATGGACGAGTTCGTGGTGACCTGGCAGAGTTCACGAACTGCCGGAAGCGTGCAAAGCCATGGCGAGATCCAAGAACAACTATGAACAACTCATGGCCATTTTGATATATTTTGATGTATTTTGAATGTTTTTTATGATTTTTGCACCATGGTACAGTCGAACATTGTAACATGTCTTCGGAGTCAGACACTCACCCCAGCATGCATTCACAAGTGTCACAACTAGCATTCAATTCAATATGGCTCATTATATCCTTTACATCGCCACACAATGGCACACGCAACTCTTCGGTCTAGAGATTGGAACCCAACTCTGAAAAGAAATGGAAGGAGTAGAACTGAGAAGCATGTGAAAATGGTACTTGCCAAATTATAACGGGGATATGAATATATGGATGGATACGGCTGGTGGGTTCAGTGCTTGCCATTTCTTTAGAATTTCTGGGATGTTTGGGACCAACCCCCGGTCGCACTGTCGGCCAGTGCCCATCGGGATCAGGATTTGATCAGCAGGATGAAAATTGGAATGAAGCCATCCGAGGTGTGGGGGATTCCCGGGTTGGACAGCCAAGGACAAGGCGTTTTTTTGAATGTTTTTGAAGGGTGAAGTCGGTTAAGTTAGGTTTGAGCAAAGCGCAGTTGGTTTCTTTTTTTTTTTGTGTGTGTGTTTGGTGCTCCTGCATTCAGAATGTCAAAAGAAAGTAAAAGACTCAGTTCCCCAGAGCTTTGCAGAACATTGCAGAACCCCAGGCATCTGATCTCTTTTTGGCCTTTGACACGGATGGAAGTGGTGGCATTGATGAGAAAGAGTTCATGAAAGCGCTATTTCCCCTGGACTATCGCCGAATGTACAGACGAGCATCTGGAGTGACCTTTGGTGCCTGAGGGCGCTGTGCCGGTCTTTTTCCAACCTGGCCAAAGCCAATTGCTACTCTCGGTAGTTAGTAAAGGCCAGGGATGACAGCACAGCTGTGAAGGGACAATGAACTGAGACAAGTAAGCAAGCATGACACCGGGGGAGAGTTTGATTTCAATTCTTGCCCTTTCTTGCCTTCATTTATGTTTGGTCTTCATTGCAATCCCATTCAGTGAACACATACTTGGATGAGACGTCTTTTGGGAGCTGCCTTCTAAGCGTGCAATGTCAGTCAGTTGCTTAATCAAAGTGTTTCACACTCGCAGGGGCCAAGACAACATGCAATCAATGATGAAGAGTGACAACTTCTCATCTAGACGGCTGGTGGTTTCGAGTAAGGTTCATTGCATCCCCTGTTTCCCCTTTTTTTCGCTGTTTTCTTAACTGATCAATGGCTGCGTTATAGCTTAGTTACATTGTTGGGCCGGGTTGCTTCGTGCTTGTTGTGATGCATGGCTTCCTGCAGAAGACACATTGCAGCACCAGTGGTGTCAAATCGCAACTTCCGTTGCGTTGATGGAGAGTGTACCTCGCCCCAAGGGCAGGTGCAGAGACGTTTGAACAACAAAAAGCACGCTTGACACCGGCTTCAAAGGCGGCATGATTTCTATAGTATGATTTCTATAGTATGGTGACCTTCCACCTAAGCCAGGCCCATCCCTGGCTTCAAGGGGCATGATCTTGCACTCAAAGCTCAGCACTTTCAACTTGAACAAATGGCGTAACCACCCCAAAAAATGTTTGCACATCATCAAATCCCAGCAGACATTCATCAGTTCCATGGTTTAAATAGTTTAAATGCGTTTAAATCCTCCACTGGACTTGGAAAACTGATGACCAAAATTGTGGAAAACGATCCCGAACATGGTTCCCTGGGATGACCATCCAGCCATATCCAGCCATCTCATCTCCATCTCCATCTCCAGCAGGAGATTCTCCCGGCATGCAGTTCCAAGTGCGCAAGGCTGTGGCCGGCGCTGCGGCCGCGGCTTTTGACCTGGAAATGCCCAGTACCAGCTCGGTCAATGACCTTATGGAGGCATTGGCCTGGGACCCTGGAAGCTGCATGAACTGGCATGAACCTGGTTGGATTCGTGGGAGCACCGAAAAAGATCTGTAGAGAGAGGGAGTGAATCCGGGTCTGTGACAGGACTTGAGCAGGTGTTCTTCAGACATGACACGAATCCGGACATGAATGATTGTCAAATTGAGAGATCCCAAGACATTCATATTTCGGCTTCTCCAGTTCAGGGATAGAACATGATAGAACCATGAAAGTGATTTGGATTGATTTGATAAATATGTGATTGATGCATGATCAACATACGATTAATAGATGATGTTTAGATATGTTTAGCACATATTTATTGTAGGAATAGATACTTTTGGAATATTATATGCTATACTATAGGATATACTATAGGAATGCTATAGGATTGATAACCATGAAATTATTTGTTGTAATTACATGCAATTACTGACTGATCAATGATTATTGATTGTTAATAAATCCTATTCAAAGTAATTTCTCATAGAATTGCCAGATTAGTAGATCATTATTGATTTTGATTTATCATTAAATTTGATAATGGTCATTAATTCCTACTAAATGATCACTAAATCATGTTTGTCAGATTAATAAATTACATGTCCAAGATTCTTCTATAAGAAATTCCACCTTCAGCAGTGCGAACTGAGGCCACCAGGGAGAGCTGTGCAGTTCAGCTCATAACGGTGGTCAGCCGTGGCAAGCCACTGAAGGACGGAAGGGTTCTGCAAAACTGGACCTTCATTGCCTTGGAGATGCCTCCTGGGTGCCTTTCTTTGGGGACAAACAAAAAACATGGTTGTAACATGTCGTAACACGGTGGAGCTTGCTTTGTATATGGGAGACTCAGTGACTTTGATATTCCCAAATGTGTGTGCGTGGGTATATAATGTCAACACAGGATTAATAAATCCCTCCGGATTAAACACCACCTTTTCTAGCAATATTTTTTGGCAATACTACTTGTCCTCTACGTCAAATATACCTCCCAAATAGTCGGTTCCACCCCTCCGATTAAACACCCTCCTCTCTGAAACCCTCGATTTTGTTTTTTCCCGCCAATTCAAATTTCAATGGAGCGCCCCCCTGATTTAAAATCAACAATTGAACAGCCTTCACAAGCCTTCACAGCCTTTTTGGTGAAAGAGAGGGTGAGATTCAGGGAGGGTCTTGGCGTCATTATATGAGGAGTTATATGTATGTATATATATATATGGCTCTGGCACATGGGTGCAACTAAGCGGCGGCCAAGCATGCTAATTCATGGTGAGAAGCCATTCAGCCTTGTGGAACAAAATCTGGCCCTATATAGTCACCTTGGAAATCCTGTTGCATCGCTTTACAGCAGGGAAGAAACTCCGGATCAATCTCTACATCAACGGAGGTTGCGCTGCTAACTGCATCGTACGTATATATATATATTACACATATGATCATATATGTATTAGCACTGTATATTTATATGTTTGTGTGGGGGTGGGTTGTGAACCAGTGACTCACCGACACCCACAACCACGAACACTTTGGGACCACTGCTCCAGCCGAGATTCGACGTAGGATGCGAGTGCAAAACTGGCGACCCTTGCAGATGCAGCAGGTGGACAGAACTGAATCTGACATGCTGGTCATGTTCCGTTTTTTTTTTGGGGGTAGTCAGTTAGATTCAACAGCTGCCATCAAGTCTAAACATCAAGTATATACATCAAGATTATACATGTATATATAATTGTGGTGTGCGCATTTGTGTGGTGTTTGTGTGCATAGGGGCCAGAAGCTTTGGGACTCAGCCCAAGGCCTCAGACGGGGATGATCAAGACCAGTATCAACCATAAAACCACTGGGAATAAACTATTGACATCTATTGACCATTCTTAAACACATTTAAAAACAATAGTATAACCAATAGAACTTGTAGAACCAAGTCACCATAGATTCAGGTCACCCATTTGTTTCAATTATATATAGTTCCAATAGATTGACGCGACGAACACCAAAATTAAAGTGAAGGGCTAAATAAGGTTTATCCATATGGAGGTTTCCTGAAATGGGGGGTGCCCCCAAAATCATCAATTTTCATACGATTTTCCATGAAATAAACCATCCAGCTATTGGGGTACCGTTAAAGACCCCACCGGAAAGGTGGGAAAGTGCCGGTGGTCTACATCGTCCGGAAGCCAGCTGGCCCTGCAGGCTCAGAAAAAACGCTGGACGGGTATAGAATCGATACGCGCATAAGTACGGTTGAGCACATAGATGCGCATGTTTTTTCCTGGAGTATCTATATAATATATGTAATTGTTTATTCAATGTGTATATATATATATATCTCTCTCTCTCTCTCTCTCGCTCTCTCCGCACATGCACACATCTTCATGGTTGAAGCTGAACGAAAGGATAAAAACGTGCATTTTTTAAAATTTATAATTACACACACATATATGTATATATATATATTCTATAGCTTACAGCTGAATGCCTATGATGGTTTCCTCCAGCAACCAACAAGGTGCCTGAATCGCTTTGGCAGGGTATCCTCCTTGAAATGACAAGGACACTTTCCGGGACTCCAGTCTGGTCTCCAGGGGGGCGGAGCTTCCTTGTCAGGGGATTCAACTGGTGCAAGTACCTCTTCGACTGCAGCCTCTACTACCTCTACGGATACGGACAAGGCATGTTGTGATTGACCCGGTGCATGAAGGTCAAATCACCCAGTCATGTGCCAAGCACAAGCCAACGACAAAACATGCGTAAGGTCTGGCGTAAGCAATGTTATGCGACATAGGCTGGTAATCTCACGTTTCCGACATGGCTCACTTACATAGAAAAGGAGGCTTACAGCTTACCCCCACCATCCCCGCATCCACGGTCCCCATCATCCCCATCCCCACCATCAGCATCCCTCACCACTGCGTTGCGACCAGGCTCCAAGTGCTGCGAGTGCCCCTGCAGCCGCTCCCGGGCGCCGCATCATTTTGATGCTGCGCCATGGCCAGTGCTGCCACGAGGGCGAAAGGGACGAGTTGAAAGAACTGACGATGCATGGCCACAAGCAAGCAGAGGATAGATGCGGATCTGGTGCTATGGTCGTCAGAAGTTCCAGAAGTTTGCAGATGCCGTAGATAGACAAATAGATATCATTAGATATCAGAGAAGTTAGTAGATAGTTAATAGTAGATATAAATATGGAACACCCACACATTTTAGATCAGTTGCTTCGCTGAGCAATCCGCGAAGGACACCGCTTGCTTCATCAGCAAGTGGCCGGCTCAGTTTCGGGTATCCAATATGTTTGGAAGTATGTGGGCATACCCCAGGTGTACACACAAGTCAAACAAACAGTACCAATCAATGCTGACTATATCCCCCATATTCTCAAGCCATTTTGTTGGGGGTTCCCATCCTGCCATCCTGCCATCCTGCCATCCTGCGCTAGGCTGTTTGCGGCAGGGAAGCTTCCAATGAAACGAGCCCTGCTGCACAGCACCAGCAGGCATCCCAGGGTGGTGTGGTGAGGTCACCCCATCCCATATGGGGACGGTTTATGGCACCATAGGCCTACCACATTACTGATATTACTGGTATTTGCATGACAAAAAAAACAACTGGCTTGTGGTGTCCAATGTTTGCAAGTCTATTTCCCATCTCTTTCCTGGGAATGTTCATGATATTCATCCACATTTATCCCACTTGACGAAGCCAACACTAACTAAGCACCTGAAATTGATCTCTATGGTCTCAACGCAGGCGAGCAAGAGAGACTGCAGCTAAGCTACCCATCCATATCCAGGAACTGGAAGTGTGGCTCCTTGCCTATCACGCTTGGTGATTTTGGTGCTGGAACTGCTCGTTGATGGGGAGGAAAATGGAGGAAAACCATCTTGATTTTTGGAAGGTGAAAGTCATTTCTTGATATCTTTGTATGTGATTCTTAGTTCTCAAATTTGGTAGCCAACGAGTTTTCCTCCTTTGTTTAGTCCTGATTTTGCTGGACAAAGTTCTCGGTGTCATCCCATGGCCATGGCTTCAAGGA